GTTCTGTTGGAGTTGTTTGTCTCTCGCCTCTTCTCTTTGCTTGCGCTTGGGCCCCCCTCCCACGACTCATTTGCTGGGCCATTTGTGTTAGTCACGCTTTCACATAGAAACACATGCTACTCCATACTCCGTATATTGAAGGGAGGAGAGTGAGAAAAAAAAGTGTGGGGTAAGGCCTGGGTCTCCTGCTCTTCTCCAGGTTTTCTCTCGTCTTCCCCACGGAGAGGATTCTGGAGAAGAAGGGAATAGGCTGTTGTGGCTTGATCCGGGGATGGATGGGAAGAAAACGCGCCGTCTCTTTTTTTCCCTCCTTGTGCCTCGCTTCGAGAAGGGCGAGTCATCATCACCTAAAGCATAACAAATCAGCGCGTTGTCCTGTTTGAGGAAGAAAGAAGAAGAAAAAAACCCTATCTGATAGATAGATAGCCCATCTTTTTTTTCTCCGTTGCGCCTCTTTTTTCTTTGCCCATCAGCATCCTGTTGCCTTGGTCTGGCGTGGATCTAGAGAAAGAGGGTTAAGATAAGAGATTTGGGGGGTTGGTGGATACAGGGGATTATCTTGCACAAGACGGGAGCTTGGATGTATCTGCCTCCCAATCTTTCCACATCTCCGGGACTCTGTTCTTGATGGGTGGCCCGGCCGTTGATTACGGAGTTTGCTAGTAAGTTAGTTGTTCACGTCCGAAAACTGCTTGGGGGGTGCGGCGGGAGGGGGTCAAACGACCTGGACTTGTTCCTTGTTGGAGCCAAACCAAAAAGCCAGAAGCAACAGCATCATCAGCTGGAATGGACCAGGCCCTTTTCCTCTTTGCTAAACTCCACCCCCTGGATGCTCATGGCCGTCTATCTTCTCAACTGACCAACTTTTCTCGTCGTTCTGCTATCTAGAGTTACATTTACTATCATAAAAAGCGGCCGGCATCCTCCCCCCCTGCTGCCGCCTTTCCGTTTCCCATCTGTCAGGTTCTATGCATGGTTGAGTTTGCCTGTCAGCCATCAGCTGTGCATCATCAATACGACCCTCTACTAGCCTGGGTGACAAGAGAGCTCTTGAGCGCTTCCAGCAGGTCGGTGTGCATTGAGCTAAGACTTTTGTTATAAAAGCTCCGGCCGCATCCCAACCTCGCATACACGCTCGCGGCCTTGCCCTTTTATTTTGTCTTTCCTCTCTTCCTCCTCCCATCACAACAATTCAGAGGGGTTTGCCGTCTTGAATTAATATCATCATTAATTCTTTTGTTGGTTTTCATTTCACATTTGTATCAATTGTGAAACGTTGCCGTCATCATGGCCGTCCAAGAGGTCGACAATGCCGTGTCCAAGGACATGGACACCAACGACCACCTCGACCAGGTCGAGAGCCAGAAGGAGGGCTTGATGGAAGAGACGGCGCGCGTCGTCGATCATCCTGCTGAGCGAGCTCTGTGCTTCAAGTTTGATATTCGCATCCTGCCTGTGCTGGCTATTATGTGTAAGTCGAGTCTCCCACCTCAATGCTGGACACGCGTGTCTTGATGAAGAGAAAACTTCTCTTTCCCATTTCTTGACAACAGCCATCATCAATAAAATCAACTCAGCAACTAACTTATTTTCATCTGATAGACCTCTTCAATGCCCTCGACAAAGGAAACTTGGGTAACGCCCAGACCAAAGGCCTCAGCACCGGTACGCCTCTCCCCCTTTCATCCAAGGTTCATATCTCGTGATGGCATCAACTAAAACTCCCCCCTTTATAGATCTTCACTTCAAGTCTAACCAGTACAACCTCGTCGTCTCCATCTTCTTCGTGCCCTACGTCATCTTCGCTCCGCCCTTTGCCATGCTGGCCAAGAAGTTCGGAGCCTCGCGCGCCCTGCCCATCATGATGTTCACCTTTGGCTCCATGACCCTCTGCACCGCCGCCACGCAAAACTTTAGCGGCATCTTCGCCGTGCGCTGGTTCCTCGGAATGGCCGAGTCCGCCTTCTTCCCGACCGTCATCTACTACCTGACCACCTTTTACCGTCGTGGTGAACTCGCTCGACGACTGGCCATCTTCTACGCCGCGTCTAACATTGCCAACGCCTTCTCCGGCCTGCTTGCCTTTGGCGTCTTCCACATCAAGGACAGCAAGATCCTCGTCTGGCGCTACCTCTTCATCATCGAGGGTGGCGTGACTTTCCTCTTCGCCATCTTCGCCTGGTTCTACCTCCCGCGCTCCGCCTCCGAGGCCAAGTTCCTCACCCAAGACGAGCGCTCCCTGGCTTTCCACCGTATTCAAGTCGACTCCTCGTCCGACGTCGCCGAAGAGTTCAACTTCCGCGAGGCCCTCAAGATCTTCACCTACCCCTGGGCCTACGGCTTCCTGCTCATCGAAATCTGCCTCGGCGTGCCCATCCAGTCCGTCTCGCTCTTCCTGCCCCAGATCATCTCTCGTCTGCAGTACTCCACCGTCAAGACGAACCTCTACACCGTGGCCCCCAACGTCACCGGCGCCGTGATGCTGCTCGTCCTTGCCTTTTGCTCGGATTACACCCGCCTGCGTTTCCCCTTTATTATCCTGGGCTACGTCTTCACTTTTGTCGGCTTCATCATCTACGCCGCCATCGACGACGTCACCAAGCAGATCCACGTCGCCTACTTTGCCACCTTCATGATGTGCTGGGGAACTTCTGCTCCCTCCGTCTTGCTGTCTACTTGGTACAACAACAACATTGCCCACGAAGGCCGCCGTATCACGCTTACCTCTGTCGGTGTGCCCCTGGCCAACGTCATGGGTCTCGTGTCCAGCAACATCTTCCGTACTCAGGATGCTCCCCGATACGAGCCTGCCCTCATCACCACGGCCTGCTTCGGCGCTGCCGGTGCCCTCATCACTCTGTGCATGGGAATGTTTATGATTTGGGACAACAGGAGGCGTGATCGTCGCTCGGGTGTCAAGATTGACCCTCGGGATATTCCTACTTCGCGACTTAGGGACGGACCTAGCGCTCCTGAGTTCAGGTGGTTCTTGTAATGAGTTTTCTTTTTGCACGTTGTTTTAGTTGTGGTCAAATGCCATAGATTGGCTTTGTTATGAGCTTTGGATGAGTATGAATGATTATTTTTTAAATCTATGATCTGTATATTGGTAGTAGCGAGTTGTCCGTGTGCCCGGTGGTAGTGTTCCGGCTCTAATAGGATGATGAATATGAAATATGATATATATACATAAAACTCCAATGACTTTCAATCATTACAATGACCTTTGCAGCATATTAAACCCATTGCCCGCCTGTGAAAAATCCTCGCCTTGTAAAAATAGTTCCAAATCACCAAGCAAGTCATCGCCTTGGCTGACCAGCCCGAGATACTGCTCTCGGAATTCTTCCTGCGCTAGATAATGACCCGGGCCGAGATTTGGTATAGGAATATTCGGTACTGCCGAGTCATATTCGATGGGAGCATATACATTCGGATTCGAATTTGACTCGGAAGGAATCGTTTCCACTTCTGCGATAGTTTTCATATCATTTGCTTCTCTAGGGGGCCCTTGGCCGGCGCTGGAAGAAGGTGGCACAACGGCATCTGACTGCATCCCGTGTAATCGAGCGGCAATCGAGCGGTCGAGATAGTGCAAGAAAAAGTCGAGGACGTTGATGTTAATGCGCCAATACTTTTGGACCTCTTTCAGACAGAGGAGACATGCTTCTGCGCGGTGTTCGGCAAGACGTCTTGTCAGGCCGGTGCCGCGACGGATGGTGATGGTGTGAATGCAGAGGGCGGAGAAGATGCTTGTGATGCTGTCCAGAAGCGTAAGAGAGATGTTGTTCTGAGTGGAATTTTATGAATGACTTACAGATGCATTTGGCCGTAGCGGAGGATCCCCTGGGTGGACATGTCTTCGGCGATGCGGCTGATGCGGCAGGCGGCTTTGAGGACGACCTGGGAGCCAGGAGTGGTGGATTCGAGGCGAAGAAAGCTATTCCTGTGGATAAGAATCTTGAGATGACTTTTTTTCTTGGTAGTTAGCAAATATTGGAGATTAAGTCAAAGCTGATTGAACAGGGAAGCCTTACTTGTATGCGAGGTGAAGGAGGCAGGCCCAGACTGAATCTGTGCCATGATCTGGAGAGTACTTCATGTTTTCTGGAAGACTCGCCATCCAGGCCTCAAGAGACGCATTGAGATCCTGAAGAGTGTTTGGAGAGGCCGAGGACATGGAGGCGTGTCCAGGCCCGAAATGGAGGTCGATGATTCTGCCAACTGGTGTTTCCCCCCAGTTTTTAGTAAGAGTATGAGGCGGATTATAAAAGAGGAAGAAAGAAAAAAGAAGAAGAAAATCAAAAGGGCGAGACTGTGGTGTTCTCACGTAATTTGGCAATTTCCACCATCTTGATGGCATATGTGACGTGCTCTGGCTGGCATGAGCCAAATGACGGGTCGACAGGGCTGGCTTCTGACTCCAGGTCCATTGGGCTGAGGGGCTCAATGTCGCAGTCGTCGTCTCGTATTCTGCTGGGAAGACCTAGAGCTGCGGCAGCTTGTCGCTCTCTCACCTGCATTGCAAAAAAGGATGAGTTGGGTGGTCACGCTGCGGAATAGAGTAGACTTACGTATATGGACCACCAAATTCTTCGTCTCATACAGGCGGTATATGAGTCCTTTGACATGGATCGAGACCTTTTGATGAAAATCATCAGCACCAGAATTCACAATAACGAAAAGAGACTCAAGACTTAAGTAAAAGGAAGAAACCCACGAGCGATGCAGCCCATACGACTCGGCAAGCGTAATAACAACCCCAAGCCAATACCGCACATCTCGCACATGCGCCGGCGCCCCTCTCCAGAAACTCATCAGAAACAACGACACAATCAGCACAGTCTCGTCCTTCTCCCAGTCGGCATGAAACAACACCCGCGCCCTGGTGTAAAACGCCGTCTTCGCCTGCGACCTGTCCTCGAAGCCCATGGCGCGGATCGTGCCCACGTCGCAATACGTCGCCCCGATCAAGAGCATCCCCTGCAGCAGCATCCTCGACAAGTCCACCGACGAAAAGGACGACGCAGAGGCTAGTTTCCGCGCCACCAGCGCCCTGTCGAGGACGGGATAGGCGGGATGGAAGCGGGCAAAGTACGCTTCAAAAGCCGGGCGGCAGCTCTCGAGATCCGGGAGAGTCAGGGCGCCTTCGTCGCGGAGGTAGCGCATCATGGCGGGACTGCGGCCTGAGTTGCCCTCGGCGGTCTGGGCGGTAGATTGCGGCGTAGTTGGCATGGGGAACGTGAAGCGCTGCTTTTGGCTGTTACGGCCATTGCCAGCGACGTTGGGCTGAGTTGAAGCGCCCTCGTCGTCGCCTGGTATCAGCGTGAGGAAGTTGGACTCGCCGAAGAAGCGGGTTCCGGGCGTTGTCGTTGGCGATGATGGCGATGAAGCGTCCTGTCCTTGGGGCTCCGAGGCCGGATAGTGCTGAGACGCCGCAGCATCAGGCGTCGAATTGCTGTGAGACGGAGTGCCGAGGGGAGTGACTTGGCTGGTGTGCGGGAGATTGGCCTCGCTGAGAGCCCGAGTGGTGATGCTGTTGCTGTTGCTCTCACTCGGGATCTGCTGCAGTAGCCGACGCGACCTCCGCGGATATCTTGAGCGATGGTGAAATGGCGCCAAATTAGCCATCGACTTCATGACTACAGAATCACTTCAATTCAATGATTAATACCTTCCTCTCCGCGACGGCAGAACCTGGCACGTCGCGCCGGCGGCCAGGCAGTTGGAGCACGGCTGCTTCTCCATGACATCGCAGCGAACCCGGCGGGTGTTGCACTCGCGACATGCGTGCTTGGCCCGCGACTTCTTGCCGTCTGCTTCAAAGGGAGACGATGACGCTGCTTCTTTGGGGGAGACCATTTTGATGGAGATGGACTGCGAGAGGCATATGGGAAGAAAAGATTTGTAAGATGTGAGTGTGTGATAAGATGTGTTTGGTCAAGGTTGTTTTTTCGCAAAGAGTTGCCGCTCCGGGTTACGGACTCGGACGGATCTGGTGGGGCGCTTCTAGGAGGCTTGTGTCCGGCTTTTGCTGCTGGGAATGAATTGAATGAATTGCGGTGCGCTAACGGTTCCTTTTTATATACTTGTAAATGAGTGAGTCATTTTATAATGCCGTGTTCGTCTATTCCCATTTAAGCTTATTATGCAACTTCTATTTCAACCCGGTTTAGGAGTCGCAAATCTGTGTCATTCGGCCTCGTTATCATACATAGCCGTCTCACTTACACATAGCCTTCAACTACGTTTCCTGACCTGGCACTTGTACTACTCACTTATACTTGTACTCATCTCAGAACAACATCAATGCCAGATAGTGCATAGCAAAAAAGGAATTCAGTAGCTCTTTGGTAGTCCCAATGCCTTCTCCCCAACGTAATTCAAAATCATCTCCCGACTCACCGGCGCAAGTCGCGGCACCAGACACTCCCTAAACCACCTCTCCACATCATACTCAGCCGCATATCCCATCCCGCCATGAGCCAGCACCGCTCTCTCACAAGCCGTAAACGCAGCCTCCGCAGCAAGATACTTTGCACTATTCGCCGCTACTCCCACGACCTCCTGCGTGATGGAAGAGTCCGTCTTGCTCGCGTCGTATAGCCTCGCCGCGTGGTACGTCGCCAGCTTGGCGGCTTCGAGGTGCATGTATGAGTCTGCCAGGGGATGCGCAACGCCTTGGTTCATGCCAATGGGTCGTTGGAAGACGACTCGCTCGCGGGCATACTTCGCGGCTCGAGTTAGTGCCGCGTAGCCTAGGCCGAGCGCTTCGCCGGCGAGGAGACAGCGTTCGGCGTTCATGCCGTGAAGCACAATCTTGAAGCCTTGGCCTTCTTCTCCTATGAGTGTATTGGCGGGGATCCGGTAGCCGTCGAAAAAGACCTCGTTGGCATCGACTGCCCTGCCGCCCATCTTCTTGATCTTGCGCATCGAAAGGCCCGGTTGCGTTCGGTCCAAGTCGATGCAGAACAGCGAAAGCGCTTGACTCGGCCTCGGAGCGTCTTCATATGCCGTAGTTCGTGCCAGGAGAATCATCTTGGAAGCCACTTGCCCGCACGTCGTCCAGATCTTCTGTCCCGAGATAACATACTCATCGCCCTCCCGCTTAGCCGTCGTCGATAGTCGCAGCGTGTCCAACCCGGCGTTGGGCTCCGTCACGCCAAAGCACGTCCGCCACCGTCCCGAAATGATGCCCGGAATTGTCTCACGCAGCTGCTCGTCCGACCCGAACCTGGCCAACGGCTGCGTCGCATAGACATTTGCATGAACGGCCTGCGCACCCGCCATGCCGGCCCCGGACTCCGTAATCGTCTGCATCATCACGGTGGCTTCCGAGATGCCCAGACCAGATCCGCCGAGGGTCTCCGGGAGGGCAATGCCCAGCCAGCCGTCGCGGGCGAGGGCGGCGTGGAAATCCTTGGGGTCTTGCTCTTTTTGATCAAGATCTTGCCAGTATGTGTTGGGGAAGCGGGAGCAGACTTGGCCGACTGCTGCTCGGACGGCGAGCTGCGTCTCGCTGAAGCCCGTCGTGTCCATGAGGCGCCGATGGGCAGTGCATGACAAGTTTCTGTGCTTGGATTTGGTGATGATCTGCCGTTGCAATCGTTTATACGAGCTGGCCCGCCAGCAACTTGATTGCCATATCCGGGAGTTGAGGATGCTACACATGGCGGGCGGAGTCTGTCAAGTTAATTCATGCACCGGCTTGATTCACATGCTTCCAACTAAGTACTCGATACAAATTCAAAACGAGTGTACGGAGCACAGCATCTCAAGATGCATGTACAAACAGGATGATGGTGTTGACGTCTCGGCTAATTGGACAAGGTTATGTGGAGTCTGGGGACTCATATAGCCGACTTCAATGCTGGCCTCGTGGAGCTTCAATGAAATGATCAATACGGAGTGGATAATTATGACTTATAGAAATGAAATTTATTCTGCACGTGCAGCAATTTCTAATTACATGTCGATTCGTCTTATTTTGGTTCTAAGCGGCGGCCAGGTATTGAGATGAAGCCCGCCGCGATTAGTTTGGTTTGTGAGCGAGTCTCTTACACAATAGCGGCAAAGCACATGAGTCTAAACCCTATCTTATAGCATTCTAGAAGGTCGGTCTCCATAGACACCAATTCGTCTTATTCATATACAGAGCCCTGCACTGTATATCCATATCAAAATAATCGTTATTACCCAAGCCTCATCCAAATTAAGCAGTCACAGGCTCGTGAAGGCTCTTCCTCCGCTGCATCTGCCCCTCAAACACCTTGCGGAAACGGAGGTTGCACACATCCGCCACAGTTTCCTTGACACCCGCCCAATTCTCACGCACAATCTCCGAGGTAGGGCGCGAGAACACAGCGTCAATCTCCTCAAGAGTCTTGTCCTTTGTCTCAGGCATGAAGAAGATTTGATAAATCTCGCCGACAAAAGCAATGCCACCGTAGAAGCCCAGCGTTAGGCCGGTGCGGGTCATGGCGTCCTCCATGGCTGTAAAGTTGTATGTCACGATAAAGGAGGCGAGGAAGAGGAGAGCATCCGAGGTGGTCATGCCATAACTTCGGAGGTAGGTTGGGTACACTTCAGATGGGACAACTGATCAAAAGCGTTAGTATAGAAGAATGAAAGCGACAAGCAAATCAACTTACCCCATGTTAAGCATGCATAAGAGCCAAAGAACATCATGTAGATGATGAGACCGCTGAGATAGAGCCCCTCTGCTGCCTGCAGGTTGGTATCGATGGGAATTTGATACGCCACGCCAATCAAGACCAGGCCAATAAAGAAGCCCGGAAGCATTATGATGGCCCAAAAGCGTCTGCCACAGGTTTCCATGAGGAAAATAGCGGGAATTGTTCCAATAAGCAAGGATCCGCCTCCAACAAGTGACATGTATGTGGCCTTTTCATCATCGAAGCCAATCTGGTTCATGAGGACGGACATGTAGTACATGATGGCATTCACACCCGTCAGCTGTCCGAGGAGAATCATAATGTTTGCGTAAACGAGAGCACGACGAGCGCGAGGAACGCTGTCTCTCCAATTAGTAAAGGGGCAAACGAAAGGGCGTAGTTAAGAAATACTTACGTGAAAAAGTCCATCCAAGGGAATCGTGTGTTCTTGGCGCCTTCACTGACTTCCGTGTTCTCCTGCTGGACGGAATTGGCCATGATATAAAACTCCTCGCGGGATTCGGGAGACTCTGTGCCGCGGATGCGCTTCCAGACTTTGTAGGAATCTAGAATTCTGTTCTTGTGCATGAGGAAGCGAGGGCTCTCTGGCAGGAACAGCATTCTAATCGAGACATATTGTTCAGCATACTCTTGTGTCTGTTCTAAAGGTAGAGACAACTTACCCAACAAACATGATGGTGGAGAATAGAAGCGATGAACCCAGGATATAACGCCAGTTGCCAGGAACCTTGAGGAAGATGGCCGCCACAGCATATCCGAGGACTTCTCCAAGCGCAATGTTAAACTGGTAGAGCGATACGAGGTTGCCTCGAATACGGCGCTCGACAGTCTCAGCGACATAGACGGGGACAGTGCCGCCCTCGAGGCCGACACCAAGACCCAGAATGACACGACCAGACACAATCATACCTAGAAACATGTTATCAGCATATGTCAAAGGTTGAAGTTATAGAGAAATAGTATCGGCATACCAAAGTTGATGGAGCCAGCTTCCAGCGCAGCACCAACAGTGTAGAGCAGAATGGAGATAATAATCGCCCACTTGCGTCCACAGTACTCATTCGCAGGCGACAGCAACAAGGCGCCTCCCACAGCCCCCAACGGCATACCCGCATTCACCAAACTATTCTGCCTCTCCGTCAAGTCCAAGTCCTTGGGCAAGAACAGATTGGCGCCGGAGATCAAGCTCTGGTCCAGGCCAGACAGCAGGCCGCCCATGCTGGCAAAGGCGACGAGCAGCCATGTAAAGTGCCGCGGGTCACTGAACTGCACGTGGAAGAAGCCCGTCTTGAGACCCCCGGAAGCCTCGAGCTGGCCCTCCATGTCATCGATGAAGGCGTTGACATCTTGTGGGTCTGGCGCGGTAGAAACAAAGTCTACGTGAGACTCGAGTTTCGCCTTTTCGTGGCCGTCGTCTGACATGATGTTTTTGTTGCTGTTGAACAATGCACAGCTTTCAAATGTGTGAGTTGGAAGAGACAAGATCTCTTCTTCAAACAAGGCTGGGATGAGATTATGAGAAGCAGGTCCAAGACATGCAGGTCAAGGGCGTACAGATCGACAAGAGCTTGTCATTGCCTCCACACGACGCGAACCGTGTTATATATACTCATTTTCACATTCTGCCTGCAACCCCAAATTCCATCACATAAAGGCGCCATCTCCATGTCCCACATTGCCTCCGCTGGAGCAAATACCACCGTGACGGGGGAACCCCATGGGTCACCCATTGAAGCCTTTTTCCATCCCACAATCCCCATCGGAATGGAGACCGTGGAGGGGCGAAAGGCTTCCCCATGCCGATCAATGTTGGAGGGGTCGGACGAACCCGCGTAACGCCCACATTGATTGCCTTGTTTTTTTTTGGCGGGAGAGATAAGAAACAGATGCAATACGCCAACGTCTGTTACGGCATTTGGTTGCGTTGCAGATTCTTTTGCTGCCGATATCCCGGCTAGTGATGGCATCGCTCCAGTCGTGAATAGATAATGATTGACAGTCACGGTTCGGCGGAATAAAAAGCCCAACAAGAGCCGGACCACGCCATCAAAGCAGGTTCCTGTATGCAATGCACCATCACCAAGGTTCTAGCTGGCGACGCCACCTTGTTCTAGAAACAACAAAACAACCAGCTAGGAGCAGATCTCGGTCCTGCTCAGTTTAGTGCCCATCACATCAACCACAAGCCGATCTCGCTCTGATTGTCTGACATGTCATTTCCCTTGCTTGGTTGGCACACACACCATCAGCCTCGTCAAGAGTGAAGCCGTGCAAAGCTCCTATCTCCTTCGCTTCCTCCCGTTGGCGCCAAGTTGCTTGAATCATGTCCTCGTCCTCTGCAAGCTGGATATATCTTCATCCGGACCTTGTGTGCAAGCTAAATCTCCACTGCACCACACCAGACAAGCTCTCGGGCTTTTTTCGCCCCATTCTTTTACGCAAACGGTGCTTCCCAAAGCTCAGCTAGTCGACGGCAATTGAACAAGCCATCGGCTATCGATGCTTCGTGCCCGGCATTTGAGGCAGCTGATGCCGTGCTTTGCGAAACAGCGCGAGGGAAATTTCCTCACAGCTGCGATAGTATCTGCAGACTGCCGCTTGTTGGCCCGTTTCTGCGCCACCTGAAATAGAGTCACATTCGGGATCCCGTTGCAACACCTCGCGTCTTCTTGGTACTCAGCCCAGCCAACCAGTTTCAAGCGGAGTCGTCCGTCTTGGGAGACTCGCATCTCATGTCACGCAGCAAATGGACCGACTTGGGGGGCATTTTTGAGCCATTTTCGAGAGACTGGCCAGATCCCTCCAAGTCTCACTAGCCACTGATTCGCTCATGTTCAGAGGCTCGACTCAAGACCTCGCTGTTGTGGAGATTGAAAAAAGAAGGATCGGCTGTTGCCTGCTTGACCCCTGTTAGCAGGAAAACAGCTCCAACGGCTTTACCTAATGAGTTCATGTGAGTGATGCTTCATGTTGCTTCAATAAGCAGTGTTTCAACAAGTGGTGCTTCCACGTGGTAGAGAAATGTTAATTTCAAGCTCAATGACCATGGTATCTATCGCAAAATGCATTCTCCATGCTGCCCAATTCCAATTCCAACGCCAATACCCATTCTATCATGCTTTTTTTTTGTTACATGTTCCAGCGTCCAGTTTCGCCGGTATGCCGTAATATACCCAATGCAATTCAGTTTTCGAATTGTTTTTATACAGACGCACCGGAAACCGACTTCTCTCCTATCGATTCCGTCTGCGTGCGAATCTCCATGTCTTTCTGCCATCGGGTTTCGACCGAGAGCTGCTTCTTCTTCTCGTCCCCGTCGAAAAGATATGCCAGCTCTTCCAAAGTCGGTCCCGAGGTTTCGACAAAGAAGAAGTATACAATGAGGAAAATAAACGCCACCCAGATGCAATAATAAATGTAAAACTTCCACCCAATGTTTTGCAACGCAATCGGATTCACGTAGTTCCCAAAAATGGTGGCCACCTGGATTGTAAGCAGGACAAAGGACCACGTCTTGGCCCTCATTTGGTATGTAACTATCTCCAGGGGGTATGTTACCACCAGATTGGTCCAGGCCATAGTGTAAAACGCCTGGAAGATGAAGATGCATGCAAGGACCAGCCGGCCAGCAGCAAGAGAACCATGCTCGAGATATTCTTCGGCCCCAATCGTCCAGGCAATAAAAGTCAGCGAGACACCTCCAGAGCCGATGAGGAAGAAAGTGCGTCGTTTGAACTTGTTGATGCAGACAGTGACAGCGAGAGCCACGATGTATTGCCAGAGTGTCACCATGCCATTGACAAGCGTAATATCCTTTTCAGACGTAACTCCGGTATCTTTTAGGATTTGTGTCAGATAGTTTGATACGAGCAGGTTTCCCGAGCTCTGACTGAAGACGGCAGTTGCGAAACAAAGTGATAGCCTCTTCAAATTGGGTATTGAAGAGAAAAAGGCCACCCATGTCATGTTCTGTTGCGCTTCCTTGGCAAGGACCCGTTCAATCTCTGCGCATTCGACACTGACGACCTCGGCGGTCGGGTCGCATTCGCCATGGTATTTGACCAGAATCTCGCGGGCCTCTCTCATGCGGCCCTTGGCAATTAGCCATCGAGGCGATTCTGGACAAAAGAAGATGAGGCTGAGCTGGTAGGTTGACGGAATGATTTGGATCAGCGTCGGTAGTCTCCATGACCATGATCCAGGGATACGGAAGCAGCCATAGGTCGCCCATGCGCCAATGACGTATCCTAGCACGATTGAGGTGTTGTAAAAGGTGGTGATTTGGACTCGTTCTTTTGGGTGGCTCAATTCCGTCACCAGCACCGGGGCGCCCATCTGGATCAGCGAAGAACCAAAACCCAGCACAATCTTGCCTCCGATATACATGTTGAGCGATGTAGCGAAGAATTCGATCAGGACACCTGCGATGATGACAATTGAGCCGAGCGCAGTCGGAACCCGGCGTCCGCATCTATCGCTGATCCAGCCAAGGAATATGAATGGGATAACGCCGCCAATGGCGCTCGATGCACCGAAAAAGCCCAGGGTTGAGCCTTCGGGATGTCCGAATTGATCCTGCCATGTCGGGAGAACTTGCATTCCGTTGGTCATTGACTGCGATGATTTTCATAATTAGTCCTGGCTCATTGGAGGGAGCCCAAACGGGAGAGCTGAGGAGACAAAACTCACCCCATCAATACCGAGCGCAGCGCTGGCGAGCAGCGATGACGTGAGTAGAAAATATAGCAGGATGCCATTCTTGCGCCGCCAAAACGGGGGATACGATGCCAAATCAATTGGCGATGAAATACCGTCAGCCGTACGTGCCGCAGCAGGAGCCATAATCCAGCCTCTTGTCCCTCAACGACGATGTGTAGAGACCAAAAGTTGCGACAGACATGCGCCCGGATCTGGCTCATCTGTTCAGCTGCTGTTTGTCACGCCATTGCGCAAAGAAGGTTCACCGAGCGCAAAAAAAATGCGCTGGTCGCCTTGCTTAGTCAACAGCTCAGCCATTCTCGGTGAAGGCGAGCAGCCACGAGGCAGCGTCGGGCGGCCAGCCGTAGATGCAACCCAGAAGCGTTCCATTCTCTCTCCATCTCGAAGCATCTCGTGAGATCACGGATGAAGATGGCTGAAATGGGTTACACGAGATGATAAAGGTTAGCAGGCTAGCAGGCTAGCAATGCAGGGCAATTAAGTAAGCGCGCGTCCAGGGCAAAGGTCCCTTCCCCACGGGGGGGACAGATCGAATCTAAATCGGCGATTCGGAGAAATCAGGATCCGCGGAGCGACCAAACCGCTAGCTGAAGAGGCTTTCCAAGAGGGCGGATAATTCGACAAAGGCCGGCCAAACCCGCACAGCCAATCAAGGCGGCGAGCTGTGAGTAAGATGCTCATCCTTATTTCCCCATTGGGGCAGCTCCGTCTCATTGGCACGGGGTATCGGGCAGCTCTGGGGCAAAAATTGCAAATGCAAACTGCTGATTGCCTCGTGGGACTTCCCCAGCTCTGCTCCCACACGTGTCCGGGGAAGCGGTGCGAATCTCGACGGGCGTCAGGCAACGGAACGACTAACTGGAACCGTTCACGACGGAGCAATCACGGACAATGGGAATGGCAATGTGAATGGTCTCCACACGGCCTGGATAAGAAGAGGATCAAGAAGCAAACCACTGACTGCGCTCACGTGTGGGTATAAAGCTGTCCCCCCTGACGCGAACCACGAGCCTCATCGGGTCGGTCCGTTTCAATAACGGGCTTTCTCACCTGGACTTGTACTTGTCCTCGTACTCGTACATGTACATGATTAGCCTGAGTTGAGCTATTATTCCTACCGTCGTTTGGCGAGCAGACACAGACGCACCTTGCAACAAACACAGCAAGAAAGGATCAGCCCAAGGATATACGAGCAGCAGAAAAAAAAAAAGATAAGCCAAAATGTCCGAGTCGCTATCTCTGCCCAACGATTTCGAATGGGGCTTCGCTACGGCCGCCTACCAGATCGAAGGGGCTGTAAAAGAAGGGGGCCGTGGGCCGTCCATCTGGGACACGTACTGTCACTTGGAGCCCTCTCGCACCAACGGCGCCAACGGCGATGTTGCTTGCGATCACTATCATCGCTACGATGAAGACTTTGATCTCTTGACCAAGTACGGCGCCAAGGCCTACCGCTTTTCGCTGTCGTGGTCGCGCATCATTCCTCTTGGTGGCAGACTTGATCCCATCAACGAGGAGGGGATCCAGTTCTACAGCAATCTGATCGATGCCTTGTTGAAGCGGGGAGTTACCCCTTGGGTGACTCTATATCACTGGGATCTTCCCCAGGCGCTTCATGACAGGTATGGAGGCTGGCTGAATGTGAAAGAGGTCCAGCTGGACTTTGAGAGGTATGCGAGGTTGTGCTTTGAGCGCTTCGGAGACCGAGTCAAGAACTGGATCACCATCAACGAGCCGTGGATCCAGTCCATCTATGTGAGTCTTAACTGGGGTTCATACCCTATCTCCCTCTCTCGTGTATCAAATACAACCATCAAATACTAATCAACGACGCAGGGCTATGCCACCGGCAGCAACGCTCCCGGCAGGAGCAGCATAAACAAGCACTCCACCGAGGGCGACACAACTACTGAGCCATGGCTCGCTGGAAAAGCCCAGATCATGAGCCATGCTCGCGCCGTGGCCGTCTACAGCAAAGACTTTCGCGCTTCTCAAAAGGGGCAGATCGGCATCTCGCTCAACGGCGACTACTATGAGCCCTGGGACAGCAGCGATCCCAGAGACAAGGAGGCTGCAGAGCGACGCATGGAATTCCACATTGGGTGGTATGCGAATCCAATCTTGTAAGTTCTCCTATCCGTTGTGAACTCTCTCTCTCAGCATACTAATTAATATATATAACAGCCTGAAGAAGGACTATCCTGCTTCCATGAGAAAGCAGCTAGGCGACAGGCTCCCCGCTCTCACCCCTGCGGACTTTGCCATCCTCAACGCCGGAGAGACTGATTTCTACGGCATGAACTACTACACCTCTCAGTTCGCCCGCCACTATGAAGGCCCCGTCCCCAAGACGGACTTCCTCGGCGCCATCCACGAGCACCAGGAGAACAAGGACGGAAGCCCCGTCGGCGAGGAGAGCGGCATCTTCTGGCTGCGCTCCTGCCCGGACATGTTCCGAAAGCACCTCGCCAGAGTCCACGGCCTGTACGGCAAGCCCATCTACATCACCGAGAACGGCTGCCCGTGCCCCGGAGAGGACAAGATGACGTGCGAGGAGGCCATCAACGACCCCTTCCGCATCCAGTACTTTGACTCGCACTTGGATTCCATCTCAAAGGCCATCAGCCAGGACGGCGTCGTCGTCAAGGGCTACTTTGCTTGGGCTCTGCTCGATAACCTTGGTACGTACACACACAACACCCTTTCCCTTTTCCCCCTCTTCTCAGCTCTCCCTCCACCTCATATTGATTCAATAAAACCCCCCAAACTAACCACTCATACCTTGACAAACAGAATGGTCAGACGGCTACGGGCCCCGCTTCGGCGTCACCTACACAGACTACACCACCCTCAAACGCACGCCCAAGAAGTCGGCCCTTGTGCTCAAGGACATGTTTGCAGACAGGCAAAGGGTTAAAGTAGCCGCTTGAAAAGAAATAGCCTTTATGCTTTTTTTTCTTTACCCTCCCCCATGTCACCCTCCATACTTTTTTTTTTGTGTTTTGCATTCTGCCTTTTTTCATGTTGCGTTGCTATGTTTCACCTTCTTTCCTTAACAAGCAAGCAGCAAAGCAAAGTATATAAGCGGTAGCGCGCGCAAGTTTAGCCATGAACTATATCCCAAATGCAATGCTACTCAGCCATTTTAAACAGAAAAAGCGAACGAGACATGGGGTCCGTAACTTTTTTATGCTCTTCCAACTTCTATTCCTCGATAAGAAGAGACCGTTATATACCTATGTGATACTCGTATGTATGTGCGGGGAGCGGAGAAATCGTAAAAACGTGTTTAACAACGTTGCGTCCATGTTTCTCCGAACTGTCTCGGCATTTCCCCGATCACTCACCTTTTTTTTTATCCCAAATCCTCCTCGCTTCGCTTAATTGTCTCACAAGGGAAGCTGCATGTCAACCCGTCCCTGGAGTCACTCACCACGGAGTGAATCATCAGGGCTGAATGAATCAAAAACGAAGACGGCAGATCTTGGTTAATCTCATTAATGCAATGGAAAATAAGGTACCTATACACAAAATAAAATGGCTCCATACGTAAAATTACACCCATGCAAAAAACGCCTTTTGCCCCCCATGGAAGACAACACAATACCCAACTCGCTGAACGGGGGGGAAGAATAGGGAAGAATAGGGAATCCCTGCCATATTTACAAAAGTTACAAATTTTTTTGTGTCCTTTGGCTTCTGTTCCATTCCGCACATTTAGCCAACAACGGTATTAGACGTGTTCCTAAGCTGATCCGAGGCCTTGGAGTCCAGCCGCGTGAGAATATCCAAGAGCACCGTAAAGTCGCTCCTAGCTCGCGTCGCCAGGGGTGAATCCTGGTTCCGATGGATAATGGCTAACAAACTAGCTCCGATAAGGCGAATCTTTTCCACCTGCGGTATCAAGATAGGAAGTGGTCAGCAAAACAAGTGCCGAAGTTTAAAATATAAATATCCGCAGGGTGATAAGAGAGAAACGGTAGAAGAATTACAAAGAAGAAAAAAAGACTCACATTCGGCTCGCCATTGGCCTGGAGGCCCCAAAAGGGCGCTTCGTTCATCACTCTCAACATGTCTCGTACAATCTCCGACTTCCTCAAATCGGCCTGCTCAACGCCAGGAGCAAAATAAGAGAGATCTTCGAATTTCTGTGTAATCACCATGCGCAGACAGTGAAACGTCACCTGCAGGTTAATGCATTGGATCACGTACTGCTTGGACTCGGCCGACCCGTTGCCCTCGGCCATTGCTGCCATGGCTAGCGTGCATGACTGGAGGTACGGCGGGAGGTCGTCCAAGCAGGTGATGAACCTGACATAGAGGGAGTCGAGGTGTTGCCTGTCGGCAGATGGCAGAACGTGGTTGGGGGGCATGCTGCCCCTAAAATGCTGCATCATCTGGTCCTGAAGCACCCGGATTTCCAGGAGCAGATCGGCGGCGGACTGCCACAGCCGCACGTTTGCGTTGAACCCGGAAATAAAGCTTTTTCTGGGCGGCTCGGAGGCCGTGTTCAGAAACTCATCCTCAATACCAGACGGGTAAAGGGTAGTAATACCCGTGTCGAAGCAGTACTTGTGGATAGTGATGGGACGGTTATTGAGTATAGCGGCGGACTTGTCGCCCAGATACAAAATCCAAAAGCAACGGCGCCGGAACTCTGCCTCGATGGGGACGAGCCCCTCGAGCGAAGCCTCCTCGTGGAGGTGCATGACCTGCGCCAGGCGGATGGCCTCGCCAAAGATGTGCCACGAGTATTTCGGCTTCCCCGCGGCGTGGAGGCAGTTGGAGTGGAAGTAGCGGATGGCAATCGAGTTGGCCGTCGGATTCTCCAGGTCGGCCTCGAGATGCTGGTGAAGGCAGTCGCGAGAGGCCTCGAGAAAGATTTCCGAGACGGATTCTCCTTCGGGGAAAATGTCCTTGGGTAGCATGAATGCTGCCTCTGCGCAGACGGCCGTGACCAGGGTGAAGGTCGAGTCGACCCAAGGAGCCAACCTGCTGCCAACGATCCTGGAGCCGCTGGGCTGGCCGAAGCCCGTCCACGACTCGGCAGAACTGATGGGGGTGGTGCCAGTGGTCGGGTCTGGCGTGAGCTGGGACAGCGGCGATGGTTGGTTCATGCCGGGCAAGGGCTGCGAGAAGATGTATGCAAGGACGTCCCGGAGGGCAGGCTCGTACACCAGGGGGGTGAGAGGATAGAGGTAGTCGAAGAAGAGGTCGATACATCGCTTCGAGACCCGTTCTAGCGTCGTGCTGCGCAACGTCATTGCGTGGGCGAGGTGTAGCCACCGCTGGCGAGTCGAGATGTTCTGAATTGTGGAGAGGCCGGGCAGGTCGCCCAGCGGCTGCCGTGGCAGGCCATTCTCGATGCTGAGAGGCTCGACGGGCTCCCACGCCGTCTCGGGCGAGAGCGAGGACGAGTTGAAGGGCTGCAGTCCACCTGCTGCGGGGCCGGAGAAGCTCAACGGCGGCGGCATCTGGCCGGATCCACGAGCCCCGGTGGAGAGAGAGCTCGGGTCTGGAGGTGGCTGGCCGGGCTGATCGCTCTTCTTCCTGGCTTTGGGACCGCGTCGGGCCAGTGGCAAGTCGAAAGTGCACTGCACGTGGGCATCGCGGCAGTGCGTGCAGCTATCGACGGCGCTGAGGTATTCGCACTTGTGTGGTGTCAGTGGGGAGATGGAGGAGAAGGGATCAAGTTGTAAGACGGAGGGGACGGAGGAGTAGCGCAGCATCAGACAGACAGACAGAGTCGACGGTGAGTTGTGAATACAAATTTACATATACACTCGTATGATGATGTATATGGTGTCAATGTATGCACAACCCAACATTACAGACGTGAGGTATAACGAAGAGAGGGAGAGGAGGGAGCATGCAGGAAGAGCAAGCAAGCAGGGACCAGGGACCGAGACATGAAGAAGGGAAAGGAGAGGATGGGATGGGAAAGCGATGCAATGCAATAGGCTAGATGGACTAGACTGACCTTGGCCTTGCGCCGACGGCATCGATCGCAAGCTCTGCTCACCAGACGGCCTCGTGGATGGTGGTGGAACGAGGTTGCAGCCGCTCCAAGTGACTGCTGAGGCGGCGGTGTTGAGGCCGTTGGTGAGCCGGGCTGGGAGGTTGAGGCCGACTCTGGTGAGGTGGTGAGCGCGACTGCTGAGCCTGCTGAGCCTGTGCCTGTAGAGCCTCCACAGGGCGTTAGTTATAGGGGCCACCACCGCTGCACTGCGCTGGGAACTGCGCTGGACCTGCGCTGGACCTGCGCTGGAACTGCTGGAACTCAAACTGACCTGGACCTGCTGCTGCTGCTGCTGCTGCTGCTGTCGCCACTGATGCTGCTCCCCCTAGCGGTGCGCTGGCCATGGCTCTGCCGTGCCGATCGCTATCAGTTGCGTCTCGAGGGCTCTCCCTCAGCCTCCGCTTCCCACGCTGCGCTCACGGTTGGTCGGAGATCGGAGAAACGCAGGGCGCGCAGACAATGTCGCGTCTTCCGGTCGGAAACGCCTGGCTGGAGACTCGAGGCGAGACGGGGATTTATCAACGGTCAAATACAGGGAGGAAAAGTGGGCAGAGGCTTGGATTTTTCTCGTCTGTTTGGCCCCTCCACTTTTAAGCCATTTCTCCGCATGGGGTCGGCCGATTATCTAAGACAGCTAGCACCGAACAAGATTGAGCCCAACACACTCCAGAATCTCAATCGTCCATCATATTCATCAGGGCAATGCAATCTTACAGTACTCGACCCTGTCTCGACCACAACTCGAGCCCCCCTTCCGGGCGCCAGTCCGATTCGGGCTCCCGTGCCAGCCGCTAGCCGCTGCGCAAAAGCCTGGGGAAGACATGGGGGTTGGTGAAGGATGCAAATGCAATGCAATGCTACGACAGATGCGGCGCCGCTTGATCGCACAAAACTCAACTCAGCGTTCAGGCGAGCCCGGCTCGAGATTTCAACCGTCATCAGAAGGCGCCCCCTTTGCCCTTCCATCCGTCCATCCACCCCGTCCTGCATTCATGGCCGGTCAGAATAGCTTCCTAATGGGCAATCTGGTGTCGACGCAAATGCGGGGTTTGCATAGCAACCTTGTCACCCCGGCAAGCCCAGCCTTGTACCCACCGGTAGTCGTGCAGCGCCGTTTGGGCGCGTGCGCTACCTGTCGGTACCTGCCGGCTATCAACTTCGGATGAACGCAGACCTCAATGCAACCCTGGATGGGTTGGTCCCTACCGCCTTTAATATAAATTTTCAGCATCAACCTGAAAAGCTCTCGAGCCAGCTCTGGGTAATGATGGAAGCTGCATGTGTCGTGTCACATCGGCCCATAAATCGCCTCCAACTGGGTTACTCAACGCGAGTCCAGCACGGAATATAGCCTGAGCATCGACGGGCCGCCATGGGGAAGCCACTTGAGATTCAAGGTTAAACGACATCGTTGCCAGACCCCTTTCCCTTGTGACTGCAGCCGCCAGCTACGGCTACGGTTGTCTCGGCCCCTCGCCATTGATGATGACAATCAACAGCCGCGAATAAAACCAAGTCCTGGCACCTCCCTGCCGATTTGCCACTCAATCGTCAAGCAAGACGATGTCTTCAGCAGCCCAGGCCCCCAGCTTGGTTTCCCAATGCACTCAATTGCATGCCTAGGCGACTGTTCCGTACCGTGGCGAATCCGCTTTGACAACAATCATCGACTGCACGTGGAGAGCGTATTGGAAGCCAAGGAACATTAAGTAAGTTGCTTCTCGTGTGTGCTTTTGCCATTCAGTCCTGCAATCCCCCATCTCAGTCACATTCGGAGGCATACCAGTACGTAGAGTACGTAGAAGAAGAGTATAGCAATGGTCAAGCTTCGTCTCGCGTGCATCGCCAATAGCTGGCTGCTCACACGCAATTTCCGGCTCACCGCAGTCCTACGGCCCCCGCTCGAACCCGCCCCTATTATAGCGAGATCAATACCGCGGAAGCAAGCCTTCCGCTTCAATCAAGCATAACCCGGCTTCGGAGCATTTGCCCGGGAGCAAAGGCAGCTAACCGACCTCGGGTTTATATCAATTGAGTGCCATGATCCGAGAGTCAGCGCGAAGCTCCCTGACAGCGCCTACATGTCTTGTTAAAATTCAGTCTGCTCTGAAACGAGCGGGCCGTGACGGCCTCAACCCGTCTTTTCCGCTTTCCCGGAAAAGCAAAGAGTCATTATGATGAATGACGGCCGGCAATTAACAACCTGGAGAACCCTCGACTTAGATGCGGAGAGCAAAGTGGGATCCGCGTCAACTGACTGGTTCAATGTTACCATATGATTAAGCTTATACCAATTACTAACAAGAGGGGCCAGCACTCCGAAATCCCTAGGTTTTGAGCTTGATATTACAGGAACTTGCTCATCGGGTGCGTGCAGGGCCTTATCCTCGGGTTGCGCAACTTACACAGCTTCCCGAATTGCCGTATCACAGCGTTGAAATAGGAAGCTTGGTTGGTTTTCTTTCTTCTGGCAAATTCCAGAGATGATTCCAGAAATGCGCAACACTTTTCTCGTCCAGTGACCATTCATCGGTCTATATAGGCCCTTGTGACACCTTATTGACAGAGAACAGTGAGCAGCCCGGTTACCACTCGCTCCCCTGCTCGATTGCTCGACAGCTATCATGCATCTCCAGTATTTGCGAAACAGACAGTGAAGCGACTTGACGTTGCGATCAGAATGACCAGGTCTAGTGTCGGCGAAGGGCACTGCGCTTGCCTGGTGACACCATTCACCTACGAGTATTTGACAGAATCGGAGCCGAGACGGTTCGCTTTACACACTCCTGTCCGAGCCTCACATTCTTCATCTTCGACTCGAGACACCTGTGCGAAGTTGACAAGTCATCCCATGAGACCAGATTTGCAACTGACACATAAGGGCACGGATGTCACTTTCAATTCTGCTCTCTGTGATGTAGCAAAGCTCACGAGCAAGCAGATGAAATTAGGCGACATCTACAAGCAGAGCATTGATGCAGTGAAGGTGTCTCGAGCCCCCTAGTGAGTGTAATAATTGTAATACCTGTGGCAACAAGTAGCGCAGTGCTGTTACTCCCTCTAGAAGAGAAGTGCTGGTCGTAGAACTGCGCGTGCTGTTTGGTGTAGACTAGAAAAAGGTTTGCCATTACAAGACATGATTTGTCTATTCTGTCTTACCCATTCGCGCGCAGTAAAGTGGCTCTGAATATGTGTTCTTTGAGCCTCTATCGCGGAAAGAAATTGCTTGCATCGGCAAACACTCCAGTCTGCTTTTATACATCTATGTAAAGAACATTGAAACAATAAGCAACGACAATGCAAATTTGCTTTTCCCATTGTTGCCACGCGAGCGAGTTAGATGATGTTGTTTCTGATGAAAATTTGTCCCCTCTAGGGTAGAGCGCCATGATGCCCTCGTTGGCAGCCCCTTTCTTTCAAATAGACAAGACACAACCACAATTTCAACTCCTCCCAAGTCCTGGAGATGGAAACGACATAAATCTAATTTTTATCGTAAGATAGGCCAATAATATTTAAGTTCCTTAATCCTGGTCAGGCTGTTCTTCACAGCATTTTTAACTCCTCCCAGGTCCTGGAGATGGAACCGACATAACTCCAATTTATACCGTGACATGGGCCAATAATATTTAATCTGCCTGAATCTTTTCTTCACAGCATTTTTAACTCCACCCAAGTCCTGGAAATGGAACCGACATGTCTCTAATTTGTGTTGATAGGCCAATCGTGTGGCTTCTCTGTAACCACTTTTACATCTATTGGTATCTTTCACAGCACTTGTAAGATAAAAATAGAAGGTAGCTTGCCTCCCTCGGGTGAGGTTAAAAATGCTGTGAAATAGGAGGTTCTTTGCTTTTTTTTTTTTTTTACTGCCAGGAGGGCAACGTGCGTAGAATGGCGGAGCGCAGACTTTTCACCCCAAACAATTGATACCACTGCGCCGTCTACTCAAGTGATATCTACACAACCTTACAAAAGACAGTCAGCCTACGAAAAACAGAATGATAGTGATTCTCGTGTGGGGCATCATGGAAACTGAATAGTCTCATTTTAGCCATCTTCAAAGCATACAGCCCGCTTGGCTAAGCGGTATAGCGTGTCACTAGTAAATACTTGACATGACAAGGTGATCAGTTCGACTCTGATAGTGGGCACTGTGTTTTTTTTGGTTTTGAAGCTGCCATTGACTTTTTGCACTACTGGTTCGTTTATAAGTAACATGGCCCTATCTTGAAACAATGACAGAAAGAGACGTCCCAGTCATTCCCATCGTGTATCTCATCCTCCCCAACGTTGGCCAAGGAGCATCCCCAACTCCTGACCAACCAGTAAAGTCATTAGATGAAAAGATTTCTCCAGCTTTTTTTTGTAAGAGATGCAGCTTAGACGGAGATGGTCAGAGCCAAAGAGGCGTGGATCTGGCTCAGCAGGGCCTGGGCCTGGTTGGCGTAGGCAGGGATACGGGCAATGATGGCACCGGCCAGGTTGACAACGGTACGCTCAATCAGGTTGAGGACAACACCGATGGGGCCACGGAGGAGGGAGTTGGCAACGAGGCCATTGGGGCCGACGAAGGCATTGATGAGGTTCGTGTTGGCTTTCGTGAGCTGTTATGGTCGTTAGATTATATGATGTCTTGATATTTGGCATGAGATTAGGGAGATACGTACAGTGGCGAAGGCGTTGTAGATGGACAGCTGGTCAGCCTGGCTGAAGGTGGAAGTCACAGGAGTGGTGATGATGCTGGCGACGTTGGTGACAAGGTTTCCAGCCAGAGCGCTGATGCTATTGATGATGTTCTGCCATTCTTGTAAGTACATGTATACACTACTTGTTCACTCCTTTACGAGGGGAGCTTATAGGGAGCTGCTGAGCAAGTGTAACAGAAGTGATGTTGCTAATGGCATTGCCGGTGGTGGCAAACACGTTGGCGACGCTGTTCAAGGTAGAGGTGATGCCAGTGGCGTTAAGTTCCGGGAGAGCAATATCGAGCTGGTGAAGCTCGGTCATCTGCTTCTGGTGGATGTGGTGAGCGAGCTCCTCCAGCTGGTGGACCTGCTTGCTCTGTTCGCTCTGCTCCATAGCCTGGCCTTGCTGGGTGGCAGACATGGCGTAGGCAGACTGGACCGTCAGAGCGGTGGCGAGGATGGAGATGAGCTTGAACTGCATTTTGGCGGGTTGATGCTGGAACTATGATGGGGGGATTTTTTGGGGATGAATATTTAGAAGACTGGAGTTGTGGGATTGGGTTGCTGGTGATGAATGGGACTAACTTGGATTGAATCTTATCTCGTCTTTTATATCTATTAGAACTATTATGTCGCTTGGGAGTCACGGGATGCGAGATGTAGAGAGGCGTTGCCCAGTCATGGCCCCACGGGTTCTGTCTGTGCCGAGACACTCGATGTAAAACACATTCCTAGAACTTTTCTTTTCCAATACAGGACACATAAGGGAGATCTCCAGGAGAGCAAAGACGACTTGTTTCAACGGTTGGTAGTGGCGAATCTCTGGGGAATGTGAGCTTGGTTCCAAGAATATTTCTCTCAGACTTGCGGCTGGATCTCATAGATGACATCAAGAATAGAAGCTTTTTGCTAATTTGGGGGGACAAAGGCGTCTTTCCTTTGAATCATGAAGTCCCCGTATCCTGACAAATCGGCCAATCGTAATTCATGAACCGTAGGTGTGCGGTATATTTCCATTCCACCATGTCTTGGGCTGTCCGGAATGTTGACGAAGTCTCACCGCGGCCCGTTCATGGGGCTAGACAGCTTCCTCTCCCTCTACGTAGTGAAAAGATTCAAGGAGACAGTAGTATTTGCTTTAGAGCATGATATTTCGCCACAAGTGAGATGACTGTTATGAGGTGGATGAACCCATCTGCCATTGATCTGGCAACCACGATGACGAATTCCAAGCTGTGATATTCAGCGCAGTTCGGATGTCCTCCTATCCGACGTAATTGACCTTGGAATACTCCTTAATGTATTAACGTCAAAGGGGTGGAAAGAATACAGCGCTGCTGATCGCATACAAATTATAGTGGCAGACTGGCGGTGTTTTCTTTCCACCGCATGGACGTCGAAGAATATCTGGTCCTTGAACCTATGGGTGGGCGGCCCAACCGTGATGCAAGTCAATTAAGCATTAATCCGGGGTACACTAAGAGATGTTGCTGCTGCCGAACGTAAGAACTTTGTACGTGAGCAAGGTCATCCTTACAGACCGACATCGCCTCCTACGGATGTCTGAGGCTTAGCTTTAATTCAAGGGTCGTGTTCAGATCTCGTCATCGGCCGAGACACTGCATCATCTGAAGAATCACGTCTACTTGGGGCAAGCTCCCCATCATCTTTATGATTCTGCGGCCTCTGGAGCTGTCGAGTTATCACTGGTGTAACATTGCCGCTGGCCTTTTGGCTTTTCCAACCCGGCCGACGGACCTGAATAGGCAATGCGGCAGCATCCTTATATGTACGCCTTCTTGTATGCGTTGTAGAATTCGAAAGCGACATGTCATACAGAGTACGGAGTAGTTGATCCTGAGACGATATAATAGGCCCCTTTCTCTCGTCCCCGCGAAATACGAAGGAGTAACGAGACCCGCAAATAAAGGCAGATGCTAGATTCTGCAGTTGAAGAGGGGCTCAACAAAAAAAAAAAATATTACTGCCGAGATGACACCCCTCTCGGTCAATTGCCATAGCAGTTGGACAGGGAAGAAGCCATGATGATTGCCTAGCCGTCGAAGGTTCGAATTGGCGCCAAAGATGATCTTGAATGAGACAAAGGCGTCTAGAAGGCTTCCATCCTAGAAAGCACTAAACAGGCGCTTAGAGGCGCCAGTTAATAGGCTTAGCACCCGCCACGCTCTGGAGCCGTGGCAATCTGGGGAAAGCAATTGGCTAACCGCCCGCGGGCCGCGCGGATCCGCGACAGCAAAAGCTCTGCCAACGCTTTCGACGGAGGACGGCGGTATTTCGTGGTGATTGCATGAGTACGACGGCAGTGATAGCATATCTTGCCGCTGTACGGAAACTCTCCGGGCCGCAGGACTTTTCAGAGGCCTCTTGCGGAACAATATCGACGGGGCCAAGTCTGTGATTGATTGTACATGGTGCTAGTTCCCATCTAGGCAGGATACGCGATGTGCGTAAAGGAGGAGCCCTGGCAGCAGACAAGGCCTTCAGCAGCACGCCATTCCATCTGCTGGGCAAGGAGAAGACAAGATTGCAATGGCGATTGTTCCCAGCCGGCTGGCTCCTTTCCGTGCGATGGAGATTCGTCTAGAAGGCCGACCGAAGCTTCTGGATAGGAGGAAATGAGGCATCTAGTGAAGCGAATCTGATAGTCGAAATTGCCAACAGATGGCAAATGAAGAGGGCAGACGGAATCTGGCGCTGTACTCGTACCTTGCATGAATGGGCCGCAGAGAGGACCTTGCTTGTGCTCTGATTGCATTTTTTTCTTCCCTTGAACCATGTCATGGCCCATGCCTGAAGCAAGGTTGGAGCATGGACAGGGTAGAGAGAGGGGTCCTAAGGCAAGTCATTCAAGTTGGCAGCGGTCGCAACAGCAGACATAAGTACCTCGATGCCATTCTAGAGAGCAAAGGTACTTGCGTGGGTTGGTTCCAGCGTTTCATTGAGCTTTTTCGGGAGAAGGGAGAGCACGCGGTTGGCAGCTTGGCAGATGGTCTAGAGCCGGATGTGCTTCCGCATCTGGGCTGCCTGGTTGCTATTCCGTCTGTGTGAACGAGAATGACTCGGCAGCCTACAGGTAAACGGGCAGCTCATCTACCTCCCTACTGTCCTGTACCTTGCCTTGGTTCATTAATATTGGCGTGTGGAACTTGCTCGTGGAAAATGCCGTAATAGAAGCAGCAATAGAGGAGCAATAGAGGCAGACACGAGTAAGGTAGATTTAGTGAAAAAAAAAAAAGGATCTCATCAGCCGTACCCCATGCGGAGAACCCCGAGAATACAGCACAGAAGGTACAAGCACATGCCATTCTACACGCAATTTAATGGTAGCTGCCTGGACAAAGAGGGGAAGAGAGACAGAGACAGACAAACAAAGCATGAGCGTGTGAGTGTGTTAGTGTGTGTGAGCGAGGAAAGCGCCATCGTGGCTCAGACCATATGGCTGCTGCCGCTTGTCTCAGTTTCACCGCTTTCTGCTGTGCTTTGTACCAGTACCAGTACCAATACGCGGGGCATGGCGATTGGCAGGTGCGTCCTGGAGGCCAAGTCACGAGAAGCCAGTCCTCTTGCCTCGCTTGGCCTTGGCTCTGACCTTGGCTCTGGCTTGTGGCAAGTGTGTGTGGCTGTAGCACCTGTTGTGTGAGTGTGAGCGAGCGGCATTCTTGGTAGGTAGCAGCACTAGCAGAGTAGTAGCACGGAGGAAACATCCAAGGCAGGCGCTGCTGCTGTTGATCGTGACTTGCTGTGGCTTCGGTCTCTTCTCATGACATGTGAATGTCGAACTCTATTTTCTCCTGATTTAGCAACATTTGTCTCTCCCTGCTTACCGTGATCGTGATACCCTCGGGTCTAGCCTCTGCAGCTGAGGGCGCTGCTACCACATGATGCTTGCACGGCTGAGAAGCACATACCAGCAGCTATTCTCAAGCGCAGTGACGACTCGTACGAGTACGCACGGCCACCAGCTGAGCAGCGACATTCAATACTGAATACCAACGCCAGCGCCACGGCCAGCATCAACACCAAGACCAACACCAAATGAGCGACTTTGTCCCGATCAAACGTCCGCCCCTCATTGTCTTTTGTGTCCCGGAGAAATGGTGGCGGATTTGCTCCCTGGATTTCCTCGTGGCCACCATCGGCTGTAGAAGCCGCTACGCTCGACTAGAAGCAACTGATGATCATGGCGTCCGTTTTTGCAAAAGCCAAGTCCCGTCCCGCAACTTTCTTTTACCCGCGTGGCCAATGGCGCTTCTGGGGAGGCATCCATCGTAGCGACATCGGATGCCATCGTCCAACCACCACTGTCTAGCCGACCACACTGCGTATCGACTCGCCCTGCTTCTGGGGGCGATGCGCATGACCCCGACCCCTCTGCTGCAAAATGCTGCAAACACTGCCGTCACTGCAACGGACAAAGTTGCAACTCTGTGCTGGGGCCCATCACTGCGTCTGCATGTCGACATGGTGTTTGTAGCGCCGCCTCCACTTGGCCTGCAGCAAGCAAGGTACTAGACTAAGGTAGTACGCCCAGAGCAAAACTACGCGAAACCTGCCACAGGAGGAACTCGACTCTGCTGCTTGGTGTGATTTGATTTGCTGGTGGGTGGCGGCATGTGGTCCCTTGCGCACTTGGTTTTTAATAGATCAAACGGCATGTCTCTGTACGTGCTAAGCTTGATGCAAGCGAGAATCATGATGACTTCGCAATGCTGATCAGCGCACATGACAGGTACCAGTACTGTACGGCAAAGACACATGCATGGCTGGACCTCGTTCACGGACACTCCCTCGGCTGTGATTCTTTGATTCGACAATTTGCTGTCCTTTGACAGCTGCGTGCACCATTCCAAGTATATCATTCATCTGTGGCCCCCCGGCCCTCGCCTTTGCCTCTGTCTTTGACGAACCAAGTTTTCGTTGCAAAAGGGCCCTTGTTCAACTCAGGTTTGCAATAGCGCCCTTGTAGCCCCTCGCGTGCTGCGCGGACTCTCGCCGTCAACCCACTTCTTTGGTCGTTTAAGCGTTCAAGACTGAAAAGAAGCGAGAGGGGCCTGGTGAACAGCTCTCCACTTGGTACCCAAGACTACTTAACAGACTGGACCTCAGCTCCCGCAGCTTGGCGATGGGCCTTTGCCAACCGCCAAAACATCCTGGACTCTGTATTCTGGGTCCAATCGATTAGCCACGAGACGGCGTCAGTGCATCTTGCCTATAAGTATCCATTACGAGACTGGTTACCATTTCAACTGACGCCTCGACGCCCTCTCGACGACGCCCTTCGCCTTGACTCATCAACAGAACTTTTGCTCCCATTTCTAAGCGACTGCTAGCCTCAGCCGATCTATCTATTGTCCATCGTTGCTGTTTCCGCCAGAAGGAAACAAGAACAATAAGAGAGGCGAGAATAAAATACATGCCGTGCAGCCCACAAGTAGTAAATGGGAAGAGATAGTCGCCCTGCAAATCAGGTTATCAAAATTGTCTGAATCTCGTCATCGCCAACCTACCCTTGTTGCCCTGGTTTTTGCATTCGCTCACCGCCGACTGGTGATTCGACTCTGCCATTCCAACAAACTCCACAGCCGACTTGGACAAGCACCCCGGCCCTGCATACTGGGGCAGGGATCGGCTCACCAGCAGCGGATCCCTACTGAGTGGCCCCCTTGGCTCTCATTTTTTTTTCTTTGTCCCCGCCTGCCGTGGGCCCTGAATCGGACACCATTGACCGGACCAATCGAAGCGTTTGCCGTTGCCAGTCGCAATCCCGCTTGTCGCTCCCATCGATTCGAAAAAAGACTGGGCGCCGCCGGGAGACCTCTCGTTGCACGCACAGGCGACTGATTTATAACTCTGCGTTATAATCATCCTGTGTGGCTTTTTACGGGCGGTTACCAAAACCACAAAATATTTGCTATTTCGTCTTGCCCTGGTCTCAAGTCGCTCGCAATATCCAGGGGCTTTTCTTAGTACAGGATACATAAGGGACCTCCAGCTATATACTCCTCCATATCGCACTCACGTCAGGTCTCGTCCTCACACCACTCCTTCTTTGACATATATACAATAAGCCGAAAGCTGGCTGTAACCTCGCTTTAACCAACTACCAACCCCTCCGCCGACTTATATGGTTGACACCCACCACACCCAACCATCACTTATACTGCGCCGGCCGCAAACATCTCAAGAATTCCACCATTATGGCGCATTCGACACGACGCACGTCCGAGATCTCCTACCACAGCTTCCGCGATGCTGAGATGGTAGACCCGCTATCATCGCCTCCTTCAACTTCTCGGGGCCGCCAGCCCACTCGATCTCCCAGGTCGCCCAGGTCCCCGAGAGAGCAGTCTCCAGCCATCGCCAAGGTCCAACGAAAGGATTCTGGATACGAGTCGCACACTTCTTCGCCACGCACGTCGGCCACATATATTCGACCCAAGCCCTCACGGCGTACTACGGGATTGTCTACGTATGGCACTTCGTCAACTCAGTCGTTGCGCTCCCGCATCCGCCCGCCTATTCATCGACCCGCAACCAGCCAAACATCTGTCTCATACCAACTTCGAACTGTCGAGCCCGCCAACCAGATGTCTTACTACCAGTTTGGAGCTCCCGACCTCGAAGAAGTTACAGAGACAAGCCAGGAGGCCCAGCATACTGTCCTGCCGCCCCAGACCACCCATTACTGGACCAGCGATAGAACTCGTCGACTGGAGTATGCCGCCATTGATGCTGCAAGCAAGGGCGTCAAGGGCTGGTTTCGAAGGAATCTGCTTCCAGACTGTTTTACAAGCAAAGGCAGGCATGTCGCCTTTGATGACGATACTGGCAGTGTTCGTCGGTACAGGCTAGACCTGGAAGACGACCAAGAGGAGAAGTGTGCATCTGGCTGCCCTGCCTCATCCTCACGCAAGGGCCGGTTTTCCATCCGGGTTCATCGCAAAAGCGTTGCTTGATTTTTTTCCCTTTTGGCCTTTTTGTTCAAAATACCCCATCTATCATTTCTTCCTTTGCATTTCGGCGCATCACATTTATTCGGCGTTGTATACCCCGATTGATCTTTTTCTTTCACCGTCTTTCAGGTTCTTTCATGTTCTCGTGTGGGTCTGGACGAGATGAGATACCAAGCATGCGCATATACCAGGAGAGCGTTTTCTTTCTCTTTCTCTTTCTCTTTCATTATTTTATTTTATTTCTTTATTTCAATTTGCATAGACATGGGAGTGGGACAGCAGGTTTTAGAGCTGTGATTTGATGCCCCCCTTTTATTACGTCTTGGCTGGCTCATGTTGAGTGGAGGACGCTGGTTGCAGCCGACCAACGATGTGGATGAGATGAATGAACATATTTTTTCTTTTAGAGCTGATGGATAGAATAAAGAGCATGGCCTTTGAAGACTGGAATGCAACGAAAGTGGAGGGGCGGCGTTGAGGGCCTTTCTGAGGTCCGTGAGGAAGACAAGCAAAGCCAGGCTTCTTTGATCCTCCATTCTGGCTTTAGATAGAAGCAATCAAAGCACACTTTCACAAACAATGAAGTTTAGTCGTGTAAATGGCGATAAATAGTGGTTATTCCTTCTATTTTCTCTTGAACGCTTTTGCATGGTTGAAACCCGTAATGTTCGTTTCGTCAATACCGCAACAATGGTGCACGCGACCGCCTCGAATGAAATGGAGCAACAGGAGAGCCGTGAGCTAGCCTTGACGGCGAATCGGCCCCCAAGCTGCTCGAACAACTACTCTTGCCCCTCAAAATCGCCACTCGCTCTCCGAACTCGCAAAACTCGAAGTACCGCTCCTTCAGCCGTGCCCTCGGTTTCGGCTCCGAAAGGGCTTCCGGGAGACCCACCCGGCTCCGAGCCTTATTTGCGGGGCATGGGTCTACGTCCCGGCCGAGCAAACCGGCGCATTACGCCCAAAAAGAGCATTGTGCCGATTGTTCGAAACAAAAAGGACAATACTAATCCAAAATGCGTCGAAGAATCGGAGACTGTGGTGGCGGTGGACGTGTTGGATTACTTGCCGATGGAGGTGGCCAAGATGGTGATTAACATGCAGCAGTACTACGCGGCGGGGGTGGAGGAGCTGATGGGCAAGTTGGGCAGCATGAGCGAGGAAGTGAGGCTCGCGAGGAAGGAGAATGAGGAATTGTTGGAGAAGTTGGCGGGTTTGAGTGAAGATGTTGTGCTTGAGAGGGAGGAGGGTGAGGAGATGAGACGGAGGCTGGATATGCATTTTGTGATGCTGCGGCAGGCGAATAAGTTTATGCAGAGTGTGAGGGATGGGTCGTTGGGGGGTGTTGAGGGGGCGGATGTGCCGACGCTTGTTGTTGAGGAGGAGGAAGAGGAAGAGGAGGATGTTACTATGAGAGGGTTGGATATGGAGGTGCCGCCGGTGCCGAGTGTTGATAGGGAGCCTGTTAGGAGTACGGGGCGAAAGGTGCCGAAGAGGAGGGCGGGTGGGAGTTATGGGTTGAGGAGAAGAGGGAAGAAGAGGCAGACGAGGATGAAGAAGACTTCTACGGCGGAGAAAGGGGTGCATTTCGAAGATGGGCCTGATGCGATGGAAGTTCGTCAAACAGAGGAAGAGGCTCCCCAAGAGAGAGGGCATAACGTGGAGGATGATGATGAGGAGGACGATGACCATCTCAAGATATTAGCTGGCGCACCTCGACTTCAAGCAATGCTACGCAAATCCGCATGGACAGCAATCAACCATCATCACCCAAACAACACAGATCCAAACGCAGATTACCGCCCTTGCTCGCCATCCTCCGCATCAGAATCCTCTTCCTCACCATCACCACGCTCACCTTCCCCCACACCTCTCCCCCGCCGCCCTCAAACTCCAACAAAACCATCATCATCATCATCAACAACAAAATCACCACCATCATCATCATCCTCCCGCCCCCGCTACTCAACCCCCCGGCATACCACCCTCCCCCGCTACGCTTCCGGCCCTCCCTCCCGCCCCTTCCGCTTCCACCGCATGGGCCGCACCGTGCTCGACGTCTGGACAGAATACAAGCACGGCAAAAAGGGCAACCCGGCGATAGAATCCCTCGAAAGGCAGTACGCTACAGGGTGGCGCACGGGCACGCTGCGCGAGATCAAGTACGCGAGCAATTATGTTGGGGTTCGGCAAAAGGTCGTGAGTAAAGTGGAGGAGATTTGCGCCAGGGAGGGGATCGAGCCGGAGGAGGCGTGTAGGAGGTTGGATGAGAGGGTGGATGGGAGGATGCAGATGTTGATTACGGCGGTGAGGAAGGGGGAGGATCCGTTTGAGGTGATTCCGAAGAGGTGAAGCGTGTTACGAGTAGATGGATGGATGGATGGAGGCAAGAATGGTGTTTTGGAGTATTGAAGGGGGTGAATTATTATCCTGAGTTGATTCAAACTATTTTCCTATTATACTGACATCAGTCAATTCCTTGGTATCCTTATAAAGTCCGTCACTCATGACACGTTACAGAGCCCTCGGCTTCACCTTGACGTAAAAGTCAATGGGCCGGATATTAAACCATCCGTCCATCTCCAGCTTATACTCTGGATCCACCAACTCGAAATCAAACTCCTTAATCATCTTGGCCAAAAGAACCAAGCTCCACTGCAAAGCGTAATATCTGCCAATACACACTCTCTTGCCATTGCCGAACCACTTCTTGGCTCCAGCGGGCAAGTTGTCAAAGGCCTCGCCCATCATGCGTTCGGGCTTAAACGCCAGGGGATCCTCAAACACTGCTGGATCTCGGTTCACACCGTGTAGGACGATGATCATGGCTTGGTTGTGTGCGACCTCGTACTTGCCTCCAGCGAGCAGCACGGGGCTCTTGTCACCCTCGGTTGTTGGCCGTGGCTCGATGTTGAAGCCTGGTGCGGCCGAGGATAGGCGGAGTGACTCGCGCATGATTCCTTGCACGTACACTAGCTGCTCAAGATGCTCAAGCTCAAACTCTCCGTTGCCAATGACCCGGTCCAGCTCCTCACGAGCCTTGACAATGGCCTCTGGGTTCTTCTGAAGAATGTAGATTGCGTATGCGAGCAAACAGGGTGCCGTGCTGCTACCGATGGGCATCGTAACAATCTCATCAATGACTTGTGAGTCAGTCAATGTTTTGCCCGTTTCGGGATCTGGCGTGTTCATCAAGGTGGCCAGCATATCTTGCCGGTCTGTAGGGTTCTCCTGGCGATACTTGACCAAGTCTGCGGCATAGTCCCGCATTGTCTTGATTGACGACTTGAACTTGCGACCATACAAGAGCCAGTTGAAGAGTCCTGGCCGTGTAGGGCGCTTCATGGCTTCAGAGGTAGAGTCTTCCATTGCCTGGATCATCGGGTGTGGAGGACCCGCGAGTCCATTGAGCCGCTTGCCATAGAAGATGGAGGTGTTGGTCTCGAGATTCAGCCTATTGAGCTGCTCTACAGGAGAGATCTTGTTCTGCTCTCCAAGGCCTCTCCAATTATTCAAGAGCTCCGTAGCTAGATCTCGCATCTCTCCAAAATGAGCCCCCACAGCGTCGGGTCTCAGCGTAGGGAAGATGATTCGATGATGGATGCCCCAGCTAGGCTCATCGTCATATGCTACGAAGAGCGCATCGTGAACTGCTGCTCGGATCTCGACAACCGGTCCGCCGACAAACTTGCGGAATCGCTTCTCGTCGCAAAGCTCCTCGGCTAGAGCCACACTGGCGACAAAGACGATGGTCTGGCCAAGGACTTTGATCTGAAAGATTTCGCCGTATTTTTCGGAGAGCTTCCTCAACGAGTCCCACGTATTGCTGGGCTTGACGTCAAAGATGTTGCCGAGCAATGGCACACCCGGTGGCTTAGGAATCGGGGTCGTCATATTGATCTTGTTATAGAATTCAAGCAACAACAGACGAGTAGAGCACCACAACGGAGGATGGGGAAGAGAGGGAGTCAGGTTTGGAAGAGGAAGAGGAAGAAGAAGAGGGAAGAAGAAAAGGTTGGGGGAGATCTCATCTATAGACTAATACAAGTAGGTCAGTGCCGTAGCTAGTAATACATGCAGTAATTAGATGAAGTCGTATTGGACGGCCGCAAGCCCGTGGATCTGTAGTGAGACATTCACCACCGCAATCACAAATACGGCCTGCGTGCTTGGTTCACGGTGCCAGCTCACCCATGCAGCAGCCACTAGCTCTGCAGGATTCGACCAAGAGCAAGCATCAAAGCCCGGGCATGTCTTTGCTTTCTGCTTCACGGTCACTCTTGGCCCGCGTACAAGTGGTAAGAAAACATTGCGGTCCAGAGGGTCCACGAATTGCAAGCCGCAGAGTGAGACATTCCCCGCCGGTGTCTGTCGTCATTTGATCCCGTATCGGGAATCAAGCTGTCTTACAAGGGGTCGCATCAATTGATTCCAGGCCGGTTGCTCCTCTGACCTTCGACCGGCACATCGCAAGGCCTGCATTAGCGCCCGGGCTCTGAATGGATGGCACCGGCGATTAGGACGGCTGGGAGAGAGCAGATGCAGCTTGAGAGCTAATTGCCCGTCTCCTAGTGGCCACCGTGCAACCAAAATCCACTCCCGGCGGTGCGCATCTCTGCTCGAATGGGCCTGTTGCGACGCTGGCTACTGCCCCAAGTGCCCGTCACTGGACGCCACGCCGGCCAGAGCAAAGCTGAATACCAGGGTCGTCTGGATAGCCTCTCCTTTTGGACGTCTAGCACGGGTGCGGGTGGATGTTCCCGTGGGTTGGACTTTGGGTTGATCCTGGTAAGCTGAAGGGTTAGATGGGCGATCTGAATGGAGGGCGCCATCCCTGCGCCAGAGCAGATCCAACTGCATGCCCTATTTTCGATTAGTGAGTATGTCCATCTGTATAGTACAGTGGTATTTGCAAAATCAAATACTGCTAGCACAAACAACAAACAAAAAGAGGAGAAAATGTGAAGCAGAGAGAATGAAGAGATGATGTTGTTTGCTTGCTTGTTGCTCTTTTCCTGTGCCATGACAAGTGCAAGTGTCCCGGGACTTGCTGTACTGTAAAAAGGACACCAAAACACACTGGAGGCTGCTTAGTCACCCGCCTCTAAAATTTACAGGCCGACTCCCTCAACGCGCCTCCCCTAAGCCTTAGACCCAATAAGCTCCAAACTCGGCCGAGGCGCCACGCTGTTAGTTAGTTCGTTCGCGGAATTTCAACTTTCGACCTTTGATCATCTCGCAAAGGGGGGCAGCACTCGACAGAACCACCAAACCTTTACGCTCATTTTAACACTTCTGTCACCTCGCGATTTCACTTCGCCTCCAACATCCACGTCGTCAACATGACCCGCGCACAGCAGACCATTTCCATTGGCCTCTTGGTCTCCTCTGTACGAAATCCCCCCCTTCCCCTGCCTGGCTTCTTTCTGGAGCGCGATACCAACTCACCTTGCTGATTTTGCTAATTGTCGCTCGAAAATAGCTCTACTTCGCTCTCTTCCTAGAGCTCATCCCCCTCCCTCCTCTCGTCCAACAAGAAATCGTCCCAGTAGTACGTCGCCAACTCCAAAACCCAAACCCCCGAGTCTTGACCACACGCAAACTAACATCTGCAACAACATCAACAGCTCCCCTTCTGGGCCCTCATTTCCTTCGGCGCGTTCCTCCTCTTCCGTCTCGGCTGGGGCGTCTTCACCTTCAACGATGTCCCCGGGGCGCACAAGGAGCTCATGGAGGAGATTGAGCTGGCCAAGGTCGATCTGAGGAAGCTGGGCGTTGACGTGGACTAAATATCGTCGTGGTATACGTGGCGCAAATTGGACGAGAGGGATAAACAAAATGTAAAAATAATCGTGTGCAATAACACCCTGGGGATCAAACCAACGTGTTTTTTTTTTTTTTCATGTTCACGTTTTAGGCGTACTCTTGCCATTGATGAGGTGGAATCACGTCAAGGGCCATCTATCTCGAGGAAGGTTGAAACATCTTTTTCATTCATTCCCTTGGTATCACGTCGCTCAAGAGCTCCAACACTTGACTATTCTCCTACAACTAATGCCACAATGGTTTTAACCGCGAGGGACGGGTCCTGCCCCCCCTCTACAAGATCCTCAAACAACTTTGGGAGCTTTCCCAGCACACCACGTTGATCAGCTTTGCGCCCTGCGTAGTAGATATGTTAGCATGTAGTTTTAAAGGTAGAGAAGAAACAAGATAATGGAGCTCTTACATTTGCCAGGGACCCCAATCATGACAGTCACCTTGTTTTGCGCCTCTCCAATCCAGTCAAAATCAATCTTCCACTCCAACCGAACTGACGATGTAGGGTCCGACCGCTTCGTCGACGGTATGTTAAACTCAAACGCTTGCTGGCCCATGAAGTGAACCAATTCGGCCTTCTTAAAGGATGGCGCGGATGTTGATTGCTGCCCCCCCTCGTCTTCCATCTCCTCAGCTGTTCTTCGCAACGGCTTTTTCCTCCGCGCCTCGGCAACGGCTTCCAGAAACTCTCCCTTGGAAGCTAGCTCCCGATCCAGTTTGGACCATAATTGTGCTCTTTGAACTGCAGCCTGGTACCATTCCCCCATCGCCCATGATAGTATTCCTATGTTGCGCTGCATGCTTCTGTTGCAGTCGCCCTCGCATATCTTGGCGACAAATGGCCCCAGCTCAGCTCTCGCCGCGGGCTCAAGTGAGTGCACCTTGAGTTCCACAATGCTCGAATTGGTGGCATTTATCACCATCTCGACCTTGGATGTAAAGAGCCCAGGTGTGTCTTTTGACCGGAATGTCATGACACGTCGCTGCCGCAGGGGCTGGTCCCCATCCGCATGCAAGACGGCCATAGTTGACGTAACCTCGAACGGGCTGAATAGTTGCAGATATGGCAACTCTTCTTCCGCCGTCATCCGTACGGGATGGTGAGATTTGATGTCTGTAGTGCTGACCTGGTCGTCTGTTGTAGCTACAACCGAAGTGGTCCTTCCAAAAGGCAATAGCGCCGTAGGATTCAATGCTGCTCTTAACAGCTGCTGTGATGGTGGTGGCGGAGGTTTTGTTTCGGAGTCGATGAGATGACGCCGCACCACGTCAAACACCTCTTCCTCATCTGCAAAGCTTAGAATACGACCAGAAGACTGCATCAGCCGTATTCTGTCGTTCTCTTTGCTTACTATCTGCAGATCCTGTTGCAACTTTGCAATTTCTTCATCAAGAGCCTCTATTTCCTTCTTCTTGTCTCTATTCGGATCAAAAACGCCAACTTGACGAGCGGGATGGGCTTTTTCGTGTAAAGGATCCTCTTGTGGATTGCTATCGCTGTCCCTGGGAGGTAGTTGAAAGCTGTGCATCGGCAATACAGCTTTGCTGCCGGGTTTCGCCGGAGGGTGGCTTGAAGATGGTTTTAAAGGTGAGCTCTTTTTCGTCCTTGGTTTGTCTCTCCATCGCGACGGACTGCTGTGTATGCCCTTTGGAGGTTTAAAAGAGGCGGCATCAGGCGCAGATGGCGGCAACTCGGGTTCTGGGTGTAAAATGGGGCGACCGCTATTTGGCGATCTTCGCTGTCTCCTCCCTAAGAATGAATCTGCCTCGTCGTCTCCTTCGGGTGCCGGTGGCGGTAATGGCCTTGGCCTCGGCTTGAATGGCGATCTGGTAGGTATTCCAACCGGGCTGCTGTCGGCTTGTTCTGATAATGGTAATGACCCAGGGCTCTGCGTGGCTTCGTTCTCCTCCTGCGCCGGATCCCTGGCTTCCGTAGTCGTCGCGTTGGCGGATTCGTCCCCAGCTTCTTGTGCGCCTTCGTCGCTCGCAGAGGGCTTCTTTGGTAGCTCTGTTGGTGGCGCAGATTGTGTATTGTCTAAAGTCTGTGGCTGCGAACGAGCTGCACCGGATTTTGCCTGTGCAGCGTTTGCAAGGCGATTGGCTCGGGCTTTTAGGGGTTCCGGGGATGTTGGAGTCGCGTCGCTGCTGCTGCTGCTGGCAATGTTGACAGACGAATTACGAGGAGAGACCCGGCGTCTCTTTGACGCAGGCCCATCCATTGTAGAAGAAACAGGGGCCGGTGAGTTGTAAAACCATGTAGCGGAGAAGGGCGTATTGTTGGACTAAAGAAAATGAACGAGAGAAAAGAAAGAGAAAAAAAATGCAAGATGCGAGATGCCTGTATGAACAGCTTGGCGATGTGGGATTGGTGTTTTTGGCCGAATGGAGCGCGTCACAGCAAAGCTGCAGCTAAACAAGGTGGGCTTGGACCAAAGCGGTAGGCGGTAGCGCTTGGTTTCTGTACAGCTCTAAGTACTCGAGGATAAAATCAGGTCATGCGAGTTGCCAATTTCTACTCGCTGTTACTTGTTGTTGCATGAACAATGAATCAATGACATTATTATTACAGAAATGAATTCAATGAATTTTTTTGCATCTCTTGCACAAACGGTATCTGCTCAAGACTGGAAATGAAGCTCCGTTTAGCACAGAAGCCATCACGTGTGACTCTCTACCTAGGCCTAGTAGACAAAAAATGCCGGTTTGCCCGATGACGTCCGAATTGCCCCCCACAAAAGCTCTGCGAAGCCGAAGTGCGAATTCCGGCTCATCGCCTTGCTCCCATCCGGTCTCTTGCCGGCTCTTATAAATTTGCCCTTGCGCATCGCATCGCCTCTGCCGCAGCGCAATTCTCCAAAGATATCGAAACAAATCACAATCAATGTCGTCAAGAAACGTCGTATCGAGGCTGGGGCTTGTGCGACCGAGCGCGGCTTTGTCGCAAGGGAAATGCTATCGACGATGCTTTGCCAGCGTCACTGGAGCTGCCTCGGAGGAGCAGTGGCCGCAAAGAACACCTCTTGGAGCATACTACCAAACCATATTCGAAAACCCTACTCTGTATTCGCCTCCTAAATCAGTTAGGAGAACAACCGGTCCCGTCTCCACGGACACGGACACAGCTCAGAAGCAGCAAGACGCAATCTCCAAGACCTTCCCTATGCTAGCACCCGAAGAAACACAAACACCTGAAGCAAGAGCGCGCGTCATCTTTGGCTCTCGTCTTCTCGGTCCCGCGGAAGAAGCCGACCGCCTTGCCAAGAAGAAGGCGAAATCTACATACATCGCCGGCATCCTCATCCCCCCTCGCCCGGAAGAGCCCGACAACTGCTGCATGAGCGGGTGCGTCAACTGCGTGTGGGATCGCTACCGAGAAGATTTGGAAGAGTGGTCGGCGACCAAGGCCGAAGCGAAAGCACGATTAAAGGCCGGAGGACGTACCATGGATGCCGATGGCGGTCGATCGGATTCGGCTTGGGAGCTCACAAAGGATAGATGGGATGAAGAAGCCTTCCAAAACGTTCCGGTTGGCATTCGCGAGTTCATGAAGCAGGAGAAGCGGCTGAAGGAGAGACACCAGCGAGAGGGAACATTGGGCGGCTGAAGATGAGGTATACAAAAAGAAGAAAAGGAATAGATTTCAAGTCGGAGTTTTAGCGGGCGGCATTTTGAATCGGGCAATCAATTGCAAATGGAGTGGCATGGAGCATTTTGTATAGAATCGAATATCTTGTATCATTACAATAGACATCAAAGAGAGCAGGCTTAGAACAAAGAGCAGAGGAGCAATATTAATGGTATCGTTATTTGTTATTATTTTTTTGCTCTATTTCTCATTTTACATATTCGCAGGCTTAGATGACGAAGCGGGATTCTATTTCTTCAGGGCGGCAAGGCGGTCGTGCTCATCAATGTCGATGGCCTCCCAGGGATAGTTGATCCACTCGTCGCCGCAAGTGACGGCAGCCAGGTATCGGTTGTTGACCATGTCCTCAGGCAGCTGGCCCTTCTTGTCCTTGTTCTTGTTCTAGAAAGGAGTTAGTAAATCGTAATCTTTAACCATGCAACCTCGGTAGTAAAGACAAAAAAAAAAAAAAAAAAAAGAAACATACGTGGAGAACAAAGATGCTAAACTCGGCCTTGGGAGCATCAGATCCGATCCTCTGGCGGGCAAGCTCGACATCCTTCTCAAGCTCCTTGACGGCATACTCGAGCGTCGTCCGGGTGTCGTCGACCTCGTCCACAATCAGGACTCGCTTGCCGACGAGGTTCGCCATCTCGCCCAGAGCGGTGAGGTCGAGCCACTGGGTGCGGGTGACCTTTGTGCCAATCTCCTCGACCTGGGTGTCGTCGCCCAGGGACTCGTACAGGGAGAGGCCGATGGCCTGGATGGGGATGTTGGGGGAGCCGGGGCGCTTGAGGAACGAGCGCAGGATTCGCGCGGGCACGTAACCGCCGCCGCCGATGGCGATGATGAGCTGCGGCTTGAAGTCATCGAGGATCTTGGTAGCGGCCTGCTGGCACAGCTTGTGGACCTGTTTTGCGGGAGGGATTCGGATTAGCATTTGTAAAAGACAATGTGGCGGGTTTGTCGTGTCCAAGGGGCGTATTCATACGTCGTTGTAGGTAACGTAGAGCTTCTCAACCATTTTGGCGATTTTTTTATTTCGTTATTTTTCTAAAAAGAGAGGAGGGGTATCAAAGAAAGAAATAAAATTGGAACAAGTATTGTCAAGATGGAAAAAATTTCTTAACGAGGCCGGTGACCACGGGAGCGAGACGGGATACTCAGAATGCCCAAGAGGAAGAAAAAAGAGGAAGAAGAAAAAAAAGAGGGAAGAGGAGCAAAATATAGAGGCTCTCACCAACCCAGCAAATTCGCTTCACACATGCTTATCGGCGGCTCCCGATGGTTAATTTTTTTTTTTTCCCTCCTTAAATTTTTTTTTCTGGGTCAGCAAAAATAAGTCCCGTTTTCCCCCTCCCCCACCACGATTGCTGCGTCACTCGCTGTATGTGATTCATGTCCTAGTACAAAGGACTTCATACAGACTCACGTCCAGCATTGGATGAGTTTTGCCCTGCTTGCTCCGTAACGGCGCATTAGACATGCTTTTTTGGGTTTAGGCGATCTTGGGATCGGGATGCTGGAGGCAGTGAGAATTTTCCTCGGCTTCATCCATATGAGGGCTTATTATAGACACAGTTGGTCGTATGATGTTTTATATGTACATGTATCTCTCTTGGTGGTAGTGTGTAAGACACCCCGAGTATGTACATGTACCTCTTTAAGCAGCTGGTTGGATACGACAAAAGGATCACGGAGACAGACACCCATAAGGCGCATTGCAGGCAGCAACAGACCAGAACAGCATCCATCTGCGAGTTTAGGCATGACTCAATCGCCGGCATGAACCTACATGCAGATGGAGGCTAGCCAATTCTAGAATGGCCGCCGTCACTTTGCCGTGAACGAGAGCAAGATGTAGTAAAGGGTTGGTTCTCTATAGAGGGACAGTCTTCACTCACTGTTGTTGAAGCATCATGAATCAATGAGAACACCTTTTGTGGTAAGCTTGCTGGGACGGAGAAAAGCCGAAAGAAAAACGAGAGCTAGCACAGCCAAAAATGTTCAAGCCATGTTCGACTTTGCCATCGCCAACGACTAAATAGGAAACGCGCAATAACCACATGCACCCTTGCTCCCCGAATAAGCATGGTTGATAACGTTGACGCCATCATCCTGCTGTCAATGTTGAGCCTCCAGCTTCAACTCGGAGTGTTAAGACTATTTCAATGTTTCCTAAGATGTTGGCTAAAACAAGGATTAAACTCGAATTTCACTCTTCTATAATGTTGGTAAGAAGAGACTGTAGATTGCGCTGAGCAGACAAGCTTACCAAAGATGCTATTGATTTGTTGTAAAACCTTTTGCAAGTCCTTATTATTTACAACAGAGTAAAAATCCGTTAGGGCACATAATTTCTTTGTACTTGGCTCAGTGTATATTGGGTAGTTATTTCGCCATGTATGATTGTAAAAGATCAAGTTACATCCTACATCTACACCGGTCCTGTCCTCGTTATTTTGCATGTTTCATCTCGAATCCAAATTGACTTTCGCATGTATGATTCACTAAGGATTGAAGATTTGCAGAAAGATGATAGATATATTGAGGAAACAAGGCTGACAATCAATGTTGAACTTGAATTTGGGATCCTCTTATATAGGTCAAATCTTCACCAGGGCCAGGATCCATGCGATTAGACATTTTTGCATGACACGTAATCCGTGTGAAATACGCACGTTATAGTTTCTTGTTCTGTATTCACTTATACTGATACAACAGAATCTCTTCTACCGCAATAAGTACGGTTATTATCTGAAAGGCGATTCTTCATATGGACAATGAATTTCTATAATATACCGATGGAAGTACATACCTCCCTCTACGCAACTTTAACGTAGGTAGGTACTAGTAGATAGTAGAAAGCTACCAATTCACCCACCATGGCACAATTTGCATTTCCACAGCTATGACTGTCATGGCAACTGAAGGCATCGATTGCTAGCTGAACCTTGATGTGCCTCGAAGTTGTGGTACGGGACCTGCCATTGAGTTACTGATGGATGTCTACCTATCTCGATGGAGACTCCACTGGTTATAGACTTTCAAATACCTGCTCATTGTACTTATACAGTCCACTCGGTTATATAGCTGAGAAGAATCACATCTATTAGACTCCATCCCGCATCAGTATATACAATATACATCGCCCTAATCTCCGTCTCTAGCTATGACATTATTCTTCGTTTGGTGTGATCCAACGGGGACCTGTGTATGAGTGACTTCTTGAATATACAATTCTTCACATGCGGGTGGAACCATGCCCTATAATTATCGTACAAACTCTCTCGAGGCGTGAGAAGTCGTCAAGGCTTTTGAAAGTTCGCTGGAACATAAAGTATAAGCTCCGTTAACAAAAGCTTGTGAATTGGTCGGATAATTCCACTCAAGATTGGCTTTTACTTCTTTCTGTAGGCGGGTCGTCCAAAACTTCTAATAAAGCGGCCTCATCCTTTGATTTCTTTCCCTCTTCATATCAAGAAAAACAACAACATCTCTAGCCTCTATATTCTCATACGTTTGCCATACGCCTACTGGTTATTCGTACACGACTGGCAAAAGCTCTTTCAAAAATTTCTAAACCCTTTCAACAGTCTTGTGAAGCTCTCAAATTTATTGCAGATATCTTTTGGGCGATATAGCGGACCGAGTCCTATCCCAACATGTCTCCCCAAGCACCAGTCGAAAAGATTACCCAGGAAATTAGCAATCTGGATCTATCATCGACTAAAAATAATAAGAAGGATGAAGGTACGCGTTACTTCTATAAGGGGTCATAGCACATTTCTATTTTGTTTATATATTCTGACAACAGACGAATAGAAAATCTTCTTTACGATATCGACGAATATTTCTGCAAGCCTAATATAAAGGCACTATGGCAAAGAATCAACTCAAGGATTCGAGACTTTTTGAGACTCAACCAGATTGAGCAATTCGGACGTCGGTTACCGACCAGAGATGTCGACTTGTGTGATACCCGAGAAGAATGGATGGACTGCGTACTGATGGCACTCGAGAGCCACCGCAGCGAGTTGATGGCGGTTGCTTTGTTGGGGACCAGGAACCTATCCCGTCGCATCATGGGCATCTTGGACCGCCACAATGAGCTAGAAGGGCAAATGAGGGAGTGTATCGACGAAGTGGTGGAAGATGCTATCAAAGATGCTAAGCACCGCGAGCGCCGTCTAAGAAAGATGACCAAGCAGAAGCAGAAGAAGATGAACCGTCAGAGTGCTAGAATCGAAGCCCCCAGGCGCCAAACAAGCAAATTCAGGCCATTCTCCCGCTCATCGTCTAGGCTATTTTCCAGTCTCAAAAAGCCATCCACCAAGATCGAAATGAGACTAAGCCCCGACATCAATGATGGCTTCTTCTTCAAGATTGGCAAGGAGTGGATGAGAAATATCGCCGCCTTGGACAAGGCCAAAGAATTGATGCAAAAGCAACAAATACTCATTTCCTTGGCACATAGTGCGATAGTCTGGGATCCAACGAGCGTCTTTTTCCGCGAAGGGAGGGTCCAGGGTCAGCTCTGGACGGACGGGTTCAAAGATGAGCATATCCGCAAGGTGGAAGGCGACCTATGGTGTGTCCAGATGAAATGGAGACCGGAAGAACGAAGCAAGTGGAGGCCCAAGACCATCCATGTTAACGGGAAATTCGGCCGCCAGGACGCGGAGGAGGTCAGCTGGGTCCCCATCAGATATAATTGTTCTGAAGCTGAACTTGACGTCGAGATTTTCGTTTATGACGACTTTTATGACGAGGATGAATGGTGTGATTGAAGGGGCGGACAACACTTTTCGATGGCCGGCGTCGCACCATTCTCTCACGAATATTCTGAGGTGACTCAAGGGTGGAGGATGGCAGTTCTTGATATTTGAGGGTATCAATGAAGACATACGCACATCTCTTAGAATGGTTGTTTCTTTTATATGAAGTCATGGGATTATGAATAGTATGTATATAATTTGTTGGTCATATATAAAATAGAGGGCACTTGAGTTGTTAATTTATCATGAGCTCTGCAGACTTGTCACAAATGTGTACTAAGGGGAATCTCCTTTGTTTACATCTAAAACACCACAAACGCCAGCCTAATCTAGAAGTATTCAACTGACGTTAGTTAGACCTTGTTAAGCTAACCTTGACTCCATCTTTGCATGTTGTGGCAAGAGCATAAAGCTCTATCCATTCCGAATCATCAACTGCGCTCATGGTCTCAAACGTCTGCACCATTCTTGAGACAAGATAATACGTTTCCAAGAGGGCAAACTTTTCTATGTCGACACGTTAGATTATGCCAAGCTATTTGGTAGCATCAGATTACTTACGACCAATGCAGATTCGTGGTCCACCATTGAAAGGTAGATAATTCCAACCTGGCCTCAAACCATTCCACCTCTCAGGTACGAACTCTTCAGGATCTGGTCCGAATATCCGAGCGTCTCGATGCATAGCATATATATTGTACATGACGAGATTTCCTTTCTTGATGAGAAGAGGCGAGTTGCCATCTTCGCCTCCACCATATGGTAGGACGGTATCTCTGGATGCTTCTCGAGCATTCGTCGGAATCACGGGATGGAGTCGTAAAGCTTCATTGAGATTAGTCAACCGATGCTCACGGAAGAACTCTAGGTCTTTGACTTACACTCTTGAACACACCACTTTAGATACTCCATGCTGTTCAGCTGGTGGTCTGTAGCAGGTTCAACACCTGCAATGGAGACGACTTCCCTCCTCAGCTTGTCGTATATGTGCGGCTTCTTGGCTAGAACAAAAAACAGGTTGCTTAACAAACAGGCTGTGGTATCACGGCTCGCAACCAAGATATGGAGGATCTGATCCCTAAGCTGCTTTCGATCCGTCGTCACAGCCGAGAGACACTGAAGAACATTGCATCCCATATTCGTAGATTCACTCTCGTCCTTTGTGTCCAAGGAGGCGTCGATAAAATCGTCAATGTACCTGAACACGCGACTTCGAGCTCTCATGGCGGCAAAGTTGATCGAAAACATCTGAAGTGGACCTAGTTGCATCTTTCTGACAATCTCCGTAGAGCAGGTCAAGTAATCGTCTACAAATTGCTTTTCTTTGGCATGACTTGATGCGCGGTCGAGCACGTGCGTCGAATGGCCCATGAGAAAGTCTGTCGCAAAGTCCATAGTGAGCCAGAAGAACAGCGGCTGCAGATCGATCGTGGCCTTGTCATTAGGAATCCTCCTCAGAAGGGCCTGAAAATGCGTCTCGAGCATGTTGACGACGCTCTCCTTGTTTTGTTTCGCGAAGCATGGCCGCAAAACTCCTCGAGCATGCGACCAAGAGTGTCCGTTTAATGTGAAGATGCCACTCCCAAGAAGCCCCATCATTGCATTGACTCGCAGGCGAGGGAGCTTGAAATCATCAAAGCCAGAGGCGAGAACGTGCTTGATGTTTCGGCTGTCGCATGTGTAGACGGCCTCCCATGTCCATCGTTTGTATGCGTATGTGGCTCCGAGCTGTTGGAACGTCTTGTATGTAGAATCGAGATATTTTTCGACGGGTTTTGCAAATAGACAGTCGTAAATGAAATCGAATCCGATAAAAGGGTCTTTAACTGGTGCTTTTGATTGCGCATCTTTGCAACCTTTGCTTCGTGAAAGGTTATGCTGACGAGCTTGCTTATATATACAGTGAAATGTGTAAGAGAAGAGAAGTAGAATGAAGGAGTAGAGCATTAAATATTGATATTCGAGGAATTCAGACATGGCTAATGGTATTTCACAAGGTATCAAGTCAAAATAAACAGTCTTAAAATTCTCTATATCATGAAAAGCTTTGGTGTGTTGGGACGAAACAGAGTACGACTCCCTTTTCTGAGCCAGCCCAATGAAGCCTCCGTATCATTTAAGCCAAGGCACGCTAGTAGTATGTCCAAGCCATTTATCAAGTGTCTGACAGCTACTCTATGCGCATGCTCATGCAGAAGACCTGGAATTGGAATTCATCATGGCTGTGGGCGGTACCTGACTGACGGTATCCGGACAATACTTGAGGAAAAGGGGCTGCCCTAAGCCTGTTCATAAACGTCACAGCACGTCTGGTCAAGGTGTGTTTCACAAATTCATCTCACAGAATGCCTTGCATACATAGGACCGAATAATATCAATAGTTTCTTCTTTCGTGTTCCTGTTCTCTGCTGTGGAACTTGTGAGCGCATCAACCAGGGTCTAATGGAAGCTCTCATTGACTGAGCATGTCCAACTGCTGGTTTCTGATTAAGAAGGAATAGTATAATAATAGATTGTCAGGACCACAAAACCGTAAACTCTGACACGTTTTGTTCCCAGCAGCTTGGAAACAGCCCTTCGACAGTGACCTCTTGCGTCAACCCACGATGGGTGTCGCCCTTACCGCTGTTCCTCTCCCGCAGTATGCAGTCACACCCAATGGCCATATCCCCTGCTTCTTAAAAGAGCCAAGATAGGATGAAAGAGATGCTGACAGCTGTATGTCTCGCAACCGTACAGGATCGTGCTGCTCAGATAGCTCAACGCCGATCGGATGCTGGCCTTGCGCACCGACATGTGTGGAGGAAGCAGATATCCGACACGAGAGCTTCCTTTGTGCCGGGAAATACCGCGCTGACATGATTAGCTGCAGGCGTCTGGAGCCAATGGGCGGTGTTTCTCTTCGCATGAGCGACATGAGGACATTACGATATGCAACCACTCGAGACACGACTTGGAAGAGGAGGATCAGAGGTGCGTCTCAATGACATGGTACAAGTCGTATTCGCAGATCAAAGAGGATCACGGGGCCAGGAAATGGGCTACTTGGCAAAGGAAGTCCCTCTTGAACGAAAAGACTTGACGATAAAGGCTATCTGATACATTTGGTCACGGTTTATTGGAGTTTCTGCATCCTCCACTGTTTGATGAAGCCAGTAACTTGCTCAGAGATTGCATATGAGCAAGGCTTGGGATTAACTCCTTCGGGTTCACTCTCGTCCGGTTCCGAACTGTCAATACGTTACTCTCTGATGTCATGAGAAAGCTGCAATTTCTTTGTGTCTTTGCTTCATCCGTCAATCTTCGCTACGAAAACAAAAAGGCCGCCCAACTTACATAGACTTACATGGTTAATCCCGGGCACGATCAAATCCAGCGAAATAGATTGGATACTAAGCGAAAGTTGACTTTGCCAGCGTGAGGCGGAGCACGTCAGCAGTTTTCAGGCTTCTGCCCTCATGAATTTAAAGTCTCAGACAACATCCCAGATGTGTGTAACTCCGGACCAACAACTCATTACTCTGGAGAGCTTATTTTTGACCTTGTGCGAAGCAAAGTCACGGGCACAGGCAACTACCGTGAACCGCTCCCCCTGTCCGACTTTGCCGTGGAGATTCAGCAATGCGCCGCGTTGGACCCAGTGTCTTGGAGGGAGACGCTGCTTGCCGGTACTCAGAATGCGTACTACGTTATATAGAGCTTCTATTTGGCTCGCTGCCAGGGCGAGTGGCGTTTTCCCGGTCATGTCATTGGGGAGACGCGGCCTTTGTATCACAAAGAGATACGATGGGTATCAACCAACAGCTGCATGGTTGATCGAATGTGCTTTAGGCTCTCAGGCTAATGGACAAGGTGAAACTGCGTCGCCTGTGTTTGGCACACAACACTTGGAGGAATCTGCTCTACGGAACGGAAACTACGGCGGGCTGTGTGAATAAGATAAAAAGATGGGGATGGAGAAGTACATGCCGACAACTCCAGGCCTCCAGATCTCATCGTGTCGATTGAACATATGAGGTTATATATCTTCTTGATCCGCCGCCAATTTCTCAATTCAAATCTAAACATGCCCTTTTATGTCTTTCAAATCAACCAACAGTCAATCGCATCAAAATACTGAGATACAAAGAAGAGACGAAGAAAAGAAGAGCTCAAGATGGCCAATCGGGAAGACGAAGACGCCATCTCTGACACCACCATTGCAGAGATTCATGGCGAACCCCTCTCTGATCTCGATCAACAGCTCTGGGATATTTTTGCAGCCACAGCTTCCGCCCATCCTGAGAGAGAAGCAATAGTCTCTCTGTGGCAACCCGCAGACGCCAGCCACGTATCGGAAGATGAAATCTCGACTGCGCGATCGGAATGTCTCAGATGCTCGTATGGAAACCTCCGGGACAGCGCTGAGCGTCTGGCTGACACTCTGGAGAAGCTGGGCGTCGGTGCTGGCATGCATGTCGCCGCTGTGCTTTGGGATTGCGCAGAATGGGGCTTCTTGCTCTGGGCCTGTGTCAAGATCGGGGCTGTCTTCGTCCCCATTGATCCTCGTATGACCGACGACGTTTGCTTGATGCTCGAGTCCATTACGCCTCGCGTGTTAGTGGTCCAGGACACTGAGGCCGCGGTGCTTCTGGATGGAGGAGTATCCAAACCTCCATATCCCCTTCTCCGTATACACTGTGGAAGTGGTTCTTACGATGGCTGGGTCAGCCTCGGCCAACTCCTGGCTCGGGATTTCGCCCTTCAGGGGCTGGAAGCACTCGGTGACACAGACGACGATCAAGGATCGCGCCGAGCCAACGGAAACGCTCCCGCCCTCATTGTCTTCACGAGTGGAACGACGGGCAAGCCCAAAGGATGCCCTCACACAAACCGCAACCTGGTGTCTCAGACCAACAACTATGATGCCAATGCCGACCCGAGCTTTGTCGACCGCTGGCTCGTCCACACGCCTGTGTGCCATGTCTTCGCCATCAACAACGCGCTTCGTGCGTGGCGACACGGCGGCACCGTCGTATTCGCGGCCAAGTCTTTCCACATTGACGCCACGCTCACGGCCTTGGTTCAGGAGAAGTGCACCGTCATGTCAGCCACTCCAACCCTTGTCCGGGCTCTCTTGTCCCACGGCTCGTTTCCGAGCTCACGGGACCTGAACCTGTCTATTGTCTCGCTGTCTGGCACTATGATTGGGCCGGAGCACATACGGCTCTGCAGAGAGGGGCTTGGGGCGCGTGACGCTATCCAGGCTTATGGGATGACTGAAGGGGCGCCAATTGTCAGTTGGTCTCGACAAGATGAGATGTTGGTGGACGGATACCATGCTGGAGTTGGAAAGGTTCTTCCCGGAGCGGCGGTGCGCATTTGTCGTCCAGGGACTCGACAGGTGCTGTCTCGAATGCAAGTTGGAGAGCTCCATATTGCTGGGACTTCAGTGATACACAATTACTTTGGTGATGCTGATAATGAACGAGAAGAAGAACGGTTCTACATTGACCAGTCGGGGCGGTGGTTAAAGACGGGAGACCAGGCGATGATTGATGACAAGGGGGTTGTCTATATCCTTGGACGTTACAATGACCTGATAATTCGAGGAGGGGAGAATATCAATCCTCTAAAGATTGAGTCTGCGCTATCCGAGATCCCAGGCCTTCTACATGTAAGTCTGTTCACTTATCTCAAGATAGCTCAAGCTAATGAGACGCACAGGTGCTCATTGTAGGTGTCCCAGATGACATTGCAGGTCAGGTTCCCGTCGCCATTGTCAAGCTTTCTTCAGGGGCATCCAAAGCAAAAGTGATGGAGAAGGCAAGAATGTTGGGACCTCAATACTCCCTCGATGCAGTATACACACTTGAGGAACTGGACATCGAAAATATTCCAGTCACATCCCTTGGAAAGCCCAAAAGATCCATTCTTACCGATATCGTCTCGACACATCGGAAAATCATCCAGAATACAGCCTCCAAGATGGAAAATCAAGACACAGTGTCTACATTAGAATATCGTTTGCAAGAAATATGGGATCAGCTCGTGGGTGTCTGTCCTAGCAAGACGGGTGATATCTTTTGCATGGCGGATAGCATCACGCTGCTTCGGTATTGCGACGCTGTGCTGCGAGGGCTTGGAAGGCAGCTTTATCTCCAAGATTTGAGCAAACACGCGACGATTGAGAAACAGGCCAAGCTTCTGATTACTAGGGATGTGCCGTCTGAAACAGAAGCTAAAATGGAAAAGAAAACCGTCGTCCAAGTCAACCCGACAGATGACGGTTACAATTTTCTACCCAGAGGGGGACAAGGTTACAACTTCAATCAACATCCGTTGTTTGAGAATAGGAGTAAATACGGCCTTCTGGTCGCTGCTCAGGAGCAAATTGAGAGATTTGATCTAGATGGATCCGATGTCGAAGATGTCATTCCCATCAGGGGCTCCATGTATCGAACGATTGTCGGCCAACGACCACAGTCATATCGGATTCGTCTCATTTTTTGGATTCACGATGCTTCCATCTCACAGGTTTACAACGGACTGTTGAGATGGATAGCATCCCGACCTCTTTTACGAACGGTCCTTCTGGGTGCTCACGGATTACTCTACCATATCGTTGTGCACCACAGCCAGCATCTCTTTCAAAAGCTGGTGCGTGAGATTGAAGCGAGAACTGAAAAGGAGGCGAAGGATATCTATGAAGACAGCTCTTCAGATACCAACTTTCCCATGTTCATGTTCAGTGCCGTTATTGTCAAGATTCAAGACACGGGACAATATCTGCTATGTATAACTTACAGTCACTCCATCGCCGATGCCTTGACGCTCTTGCCTTGGCATAGAGACTTGGATCGACTCATCCACAATCCAGATGTGGCAATTCCTATGCAGACACCTTATCGACTCTTTGCAGATCTTCTTACAGAGTATCAAGATAGTCTGCCAGCGCAGAGAGCCGTTTCGTTCCATGCTCAACGACTACGAGGCATTTCACGTTACAAATCTGCATTATGGCCCGAACAACGCTCTCCGGGGATGATGATTGGAAACGACAAAAATTCATTCTACGCTGCCGAACGTGAGGTCGTCAGAGATTACATATGGAAGGGAGAGTGGCAACATCGAGCAGACGAGTTCCGGTTGCCACGCCGTAGCAGAATCGTCCGTCTACCAAACATGGCGAAAATGCGTGACTTGTATAAACTAGAACCAGCGCTATTCACGAAATGCGCCTTGGTGTTATTCAATGTCATCCAGACAAAATCGTCAGTTGCCCTCTTCAACTCGTGGGAAAGTGGCCGCTCATGGCCGTTTGTGCCAGACTGGATAGCAAACACCCTCCCGCCCGCCATGAGCATCGATGGCCCTACAGTAGAATGGATCCTGCACATTTTTGAAGCGAAGCGTGAAGAGACGCTCGCAGAGTTTATTCAGCGCATGGTTCTTGAACAAGAGCAGATTCGCCGCCATGAGCATGTGCCATGGGAAAGGGTGGTACGGGAGCTTCGCGAAGAAGGCAACGCAGCCATGGACGCGTCATTCCGACAAGCTTTTGTGTGGGATGTGAGTATGGGAGTAGCGGCGTCTCGAGGATTCCGCAGTGATTTCGAGACTCTGGAGCCGGTGGCGCGGTACGACTGGCCAGATTGGTGAGTTGACGAGCATCGTTTGCGAGGGTAGTACAGGAATCGATCAAGCTAGCTAACATCTGAATGGCAGTGGACTCTTTTGGAGCGCCTTTATGGTGGATGGAGATACTCTCTTCTTCATTGCATCGTGGGATACAGCACAGCTGAACGCGGAAGAAGTAGACGAATATTGTGATGGCTTGGCAGATGTCATGAGGAAGCTTGCTGATGAGGACAACTGGGGCCTCAAGATAGGCGACGTGTTTTCTGAGCTTTGAATGGGGACAACGAGAAGAGAAGGTACTTCTTATTAACTTGTTTGCTTGTAGGTAGCACGCGTAATGGATGAGGGATATCCCGATGTATATGCTTATAGCTAGGAAGGTATCGCTACAATAACTTCTCGTTTCACATTCCATTGTCTCTCTTTCAGAGATATTTGAGCCAATACGTCGGCAACCCGGCAATCGGCATCTTCTGTTTGTTCATATGTTGTACAATAGATGCTTGAATGACCATTGTCAATGCAAACGAATGCCTATTAAAGCCCCTTGCTTATTCTCTCCTCTTACACATTGACCTTTGTTCTTTCTCTCTTTCCTCTCTATTCTTTACTCCAATCCAGCTTCAACACTTAGATGACTATCTTCTCTATAATCGAGCTCAAATATCCCATCAAACTGTCACCATAAATACAAAGACATGCTCCGACAACGATCCCTCCAACACAGCACCGAACCTCGCCCCATCAGCGAACTCGGCTGGATCAGAGGCTCCTACAAAACCCATCTCAGCAACTGGCTCATCTCCCAATCCCTTCTCTGGGACCCCTCCATGCTAGCCACCAAGCTAGGCCGTGACATTGAACTGCAAATCACTCGTGACAGCCGTGTCTTTGAGGTGGCCAACTTGATGAGAGCCGTCACGTATCTGCATGCAGAGCTAGTCTACTATGGGGTGTCGACACATAAGGATCCTCTCCAGGTGTGGAAGGACGTCTTGCAGTATGCGAATCCGTGGTTTATCGAAATGAGTCCGAAGTTGAGGGAAATGGTGGAGGAAGAGCAGATTATGATTACGAATGATGACTTTTTGGTGGAATTTGATGCGTTTGTTAATGAGCAAGGGTTGAATGGCAAGGTTGTCGTTTTGATGAATTGCCCGAATTCCGAGAGATGGGATAAGCAAAACTTTCATTAGTGCTACTCGATGGGTTAGAAGCAACATGATGTGTTGTATCTTCTACTGAAGATGGTCTATATATAGTATTGACGAAGAAGAGTAAGGGCCTTGAACAAAGGAACATCAGTTGTACATCGAAGGACGACTATATACTCCCATGCCTATAGGAACTTGAAGATGACTTCAAACTCAGATTCTATCCTCAATCCGTTCCTCAAAACTCTTCATAAAGATCCAGGCCCCTAAAACGTTGCATAATTCTCCCCCTGTATCTCCCCATCAACCCTTATCTGTCCAAGCCCTTCAGATTCATCCAAACCCGTAACCTTCCAGATGACAACTGCTCTCAGAAATGCAAGTCCAGAAGTTCCCAAAAAGAAGACACTGCAGCTTATCCATACACACTTCACCATTGCATCGTCTTCCCCTACGCAATTCATCCACATGGCTGTTGCGGACACGGTAGTCAGTGCAAGAATTGCCGCCTGGAGGTAAAGTAGCACAACCGAAGAAAGAATATAAATCTCATGAACGATAAGTGTAATGGATGAGAGGATAAGGACAAACGTTGTTGCCAGAGACGGCACGTTGTTTAGCCTAGATGACTGTCAACACATTTTTCTCATATATGCGGAGAGAAGGGTAGGAAGTCGAGAGAGTATCACACGTACATTCCACCAGGAATTCCATTCAAACCTCCTTCATCGTCTTTCCACAAAGACATCCATACAAGAAATGTCAACACGCCCAACGAAACGCCGCTCTGCAGCGCCAAGACAACTCCATGCATCACAGTATGAAGAACAGCTCTTCGCATCTTCACTTCATCTCCCCCCCTAGTCGTGTAGTCCAACAAACAATCTCGTTCGTCCTGTCCATGTCGTGGCAAATCAACAGTTGATGAATCCATCACATAAGGCTGATTCTGCCACTGCTGCTGACCTTGACCATACTGATTATGCCCAGCAATACTTGTCGAAGAACCAATCTCAGAATTAATACCGTAAATACGAGATGGTCTGGAGGCCGGCGACCAAACAGAACTTTCAGTCTGAGATACAGCCGTGACCGAAGTCGCCACGGGAGAAACGACTTGTACTGTCCCAGAGGAAGAGACGCGATGAGGTGGACGGGCATTCCCAGGAGGAGTAATTGTTCGAGAAGAAGAAGAAGAAGATGACGATGATGATGAGGGCGGTAGGGCGGGCGTGATATTTGTCGTCGAAAGGGGCGAGTTTTGGTGCCGTCGCTGGAGTTCGGCCATCATTTTCGTCGTGAATCTGTTTTCAAGCTCTCTCTTGAAGCATAAACAAAGGAAAGAAAATCATTGCAAACGGAAAGAAGAGAGAGTCTTAAGATTTGAGTGGATAAAAATGAACAAACAAAGAACCTCCTTTGACAGAATTGCGAGCCAGCTGTAATCGACTGCCAGCTGGTCAAGTCTCCATCCTTTGGTCACTTGCTTGAGCCAGTGCTGCTCAGAATCAGGTATCACTAAGACTTCAACCTAGAAAAATATTCAAAGCGTAACAATGTATAATTTGTACAAGCAATAATTCATTATCCTTCATAGAAATGTGGTTATCCCAACGCCGCAGCCCCAAATCCCAGTAAACCCGCTAGCCAATGCTACTACGACAATATTGTTGTTACAAAGGTCTCATACAAACACTCCAAAAACAGGTAAGCAGAAGCCTGCCCTGTATAGCAAAAGCTGATGCACAGGTGCGGCTCAATGATATCTCACACGCCATTCATTCCAAACTCATGCGGGCTTCATCTCCGATCCCCCATTGCCCGCCTTCTTTGCCCTGCTTTTGCAGCTCCAGCGCCACTGAAATGTTCAATGAGCTCGTGTCGTCCTCTCCAGCGATGTCACTAGCAACGTCGCTCGTTCTCCTCGGCCTCTGGCTGCCACTTCGTCGCTTCTCCTGTCTCTGACTGTCCAGGCGGAGACTATCCCCGGAACGGTCCGTAGTGCGTCTCCTCAGGGTTGGCCAGAACCGTGATGATGTTGTCGAGTGGAGTGAGATTGTATCATCCGCAATCTTTGTATTCAGATCGTCCGCGACTTGGTCTTCGTCTGGTGGGGAGATGATAGGCTCAGCTCGCATCTTTTCGTTGGCGGTGCTGTAGGATGTGGTATGCGGCGGCGACGTAGATTCTGTAGCATCTAATTCATGAGCATGAGGAAGTTGGGATGCGTCCACCTCCACCAACTCGGCATCACGATACCACTTTCTGCGGCGTGTCCACCGACCCCATCCATCAAGTCCCCGCCGGCCATTTTGCCACTATAAGGTCAATGTTAACTCAGGGTAGATAAAAGGGGAGGAGAAGCAAGGTTCATTTACCTTGTTGTCATAGTATATCCACCCATTCTTTCCATCGGGACCATCGTAATCCACCGTACCCTGCTCTTCAGACTCACTCACGCCATCTACCCGCCATTTACTACTCTCCACCCACCGCCATCTCATACGACTTCCATCTTCGACTTCAGGAAGCTCAAACTCGTCCCTCGGTGGCACGGCGTTGTTGTGTTCATCTGTCCACGCAGGCCGTTCGTATGCGAAAAGATTAGTTGTCCACCCCAAACCGATCCACCGTCTCTGATTTTCGTAAATGATAAAAGTAAACTTGACGCCGGCGCTTTTAGCATCGTTTCCAGAACCCTTTCGTCGACGGTTCACTTGTAAGCTAGAAGAGCTTAGGGATGATGCCTTGCTCATCTGGGACTCCTTTCCGTTTGTGCCATTGTTACTAGGCGGTGGCTTTGGTGGGTTTTCAAAACGGAGACCAGTAATGGCTCCGGCAAGTTTGCGAACGGTTGCGCTTCTCCAAACAATGGTTCTGGAAACTCGCATCACTCTGGCATGCCATGTCAAGACAATTGATCCCGCAAGCAGCACAACGCGTCGAGTAGTAATGATTCTGAATGGGGACATGGTCAGAGCGACCCAAAACGGCGTCACTATAAGGAGGCGCATAAACATGGCTGTGAGTGCTGGCCTGGTGGTTGCGCTGGTAGGTGTTCGCTGAGTGCTTAGAAAGTCGGTCATCTCGAGAAGAGGATCCATGAGGACATTGCATCTGCCAGTAAACTCCTTGAGTGTATCGACGATTTCATCCAACGTCTTCTGATGTTTGGTATTTGTAATTTCCGACCTAGCCCGAGCGTGGCCAGGCTGCTTCCCATTGGGAGTCTCCTCCAGATGATTGCCGCCATTGGCTGTGGCCTTTTTGGAAGCAGAAGCTTCTTTTGTGACTCGCGCTGGCTCGGTCCAGCCACTGCTGCTCAAGGGACTATATCGCCGGCCGTACATGCCCGCTATCAGCGCCATGCAGACAACGATGGGGCCGGCTCGCATGAGCACGACATCGCCGTAGAGGACGACCGCCCAGAAGGCGCACAGCAATAGGAAGCTCTGCCAGGGGTCTCCGGTGCTCCATGTTAGAAGCCCGACAAATGTGTTGAGTGGAAGTAAGAAGGGATGGCTATATGCGAGCGCGCGGGTGATCTGCGGAGGTGTGGCTAGGAGCAGCGGGCTCTTCTGGTGAACTAGGACGGTCGATCGACGGCTGTTCCTCGAGGGTGTCGTAGCCGAGAGTGTAACTGGAGAGAATGAGGCGTATGTCGGAGGAGGAGCTCCTACGAGGGAGTCGAAGGCTGGCGGCGAGGCGCCCAGAGACGAGTCGTCGCGGGTAGACATTGGCCGGCCGAGCTGTGAGATCCACGGAAGGTCCTGCGAATGGAAAATGCGGCAGATGGTCAGCAAGGAGTTGCGACAGCTGGAGGTCGAGCACTCGAGCAGATGCGCGGCGACAACAGGCGCAAGCACTAGCACGCGGAATTGTCAAGGTGTAATTGTAACTGTGATAGCGGCAGCTCGACGACGTAACGACGACGAGGCATCTGGCCAGAGCTCGGATCGTGGCGTCAACGAAGGCTGACGAGAGACAGGCCTAGGCAGCGTGTCTTCATGACATCACCCTAACGAGCCCTATAAAGTTGGGGGATGTCGATCCAATGGCGGGCATCCTCTGTCTTGCACGGGGCGTCTGCGCATGGACAAGAGGAAAATAAACGAATAATGAATAACAAAAAGCAGTTTGTGCAATGTTGGGAAGAAAAGGGTAGAGCAAGCAACGCAGGAAGAGGCAGGGGAAGCAATGTCCGAGTACGAATACCAAGTACAAACAAGAACAAGGGAGCAGAACTCAAGCAAGACTCACAATGGCAGCCATCTAAGGCAGTCCGTCGTCTCCGCCAGCCCAAAACGTCATTGGTCGCGCAACCGCGTCAGGCTGCAGGCAGGAGCGGTTTGGAGTAGAATTTTAACATCAAGTAAAGCAATGGAACAAAAGGGACGCAAATAATAGAAAAGTATTGAAAGTAAAAGTAAAGATGGAAGAAAGTCACAGAGAACAGAGTACAGAAGTGAAAAGGTCAGCAGGCCGCAATCGTCCTCATCTCTATTGGCAAGAGCCGAGGGCAGGCTCCTGCTAGCAAACGGATGAGTGCGGGTTGGCCACGTGAGACACCTTGATCGATTTCAATCACATGCAAATCGGGCAGCGGGCATCCCGTTGCTGATGGGAGGAATGTAAGTATCGGGTACCTCTTATGCGGTGAGGAAATGGGTCTATGTAGCGGTATGGGGAACCTCGGGCTCCGTTCCAGGTACCTGATTGCCAGCGTTGACGGGCAGCAAGTGCCTTGCAGCGCTCCATAATGTGCCTGAGGGCCCCGTAGGTTTAGGGGATGCTAGCCAGAACCCCAGAGGCTTCCATGTTCCATGCTTACACGCATGCAGTGAGGCTGACTCTTAATACGGCGGTGTCGTTGCCCAATAACAGCAGATACAAGTAGAAATTAGTAAAAATAGAGAAAGTAACTAAGCCGCAATAACAGAATAGTTACTTGAGAAGCAATAAAAACTCTTCCTCTGCATCTTTTAATACATGTTCCCTTGAAGTGTAGCCTCCATTCTGGAAATTGCACTCTACAGGGCTCCCCAGTTCCCCCTTCGGTCTTGCGCAACTAAGCTCCCGCAGTGTTAGCTGTCAGCTGGCCAAATCCGGGGAAGTCCTGGCTGCAGGGTCCTGCTGGGTCTAATACGGGACGGAGCATGCACAAGAAGGAATAATTATGGATAGTTTAATAGTGATACATTGATTATGAAGTGTCCTAACTAGCCATTACTGAATTGCATTTGGTGGATATGTTGTTGTGTAGTTGAGAAGAATGAGCCAGTCCTGTAGATGTAGTTGGCCATATTTCTCTCAAGCATCAAGTGATGCAAGCATGTGCCCGAGTTTCAAGTTCTTAGTGGCAGCTGGAGCAAGAGCCTGCGTTAAGACGCCAGTTAGCAAGATGTCCTATGACTGTGGCTTTGTGGATGCTGATGACACAAGTACATACAATTGGAGCCGCAGCTACAGGCAGAGGTAGAAGAACAGCCGCAGTTTCCGCCGCACATGGTGAATAAGTTGCGATGGTTGGTGTTTTGAAGAAGAAAAAACTTGAGAATATGTTGGTATGATGTAGTTGAAGTAGCTGTAGATGATTGAATTATTTGCTTTATGATGATGAAGAGAGAAAAATATTCAGTGTCTCCAGAATCTCGCGAGTCTTATATACCCAGCGCTGCGTTATTTGTGCCGGTTTTAGACCCCTCGCGATGCGTGGTTTGTGCCGATTTGTGGCGGGTGGCAACCGCCCAGCCTCACCCACGACAGGGGGCGTTTCTCGAAGACTCCAGCTGTACTTACAGAGAAACATGCATAATCAGATCAATCTTGAGATCTCAGATTATTCATCGTTTCTAGCTGCTTTGATGCAGCACCTCAATTTTTACTTTTTACCAATGATTCCAGTTCTGAGGAATCTCTCTATGTAACGTCCACGTCTTAGTGATCATGTCCCTCGTGCCCTTCTTCCTCATCATCATCTCCGCTCCAATCCGGAAATCCATCTTCAAATAGCTCCTGCAGCATCTTCCTCCTCTCCTCCTCCTCCACCCCATCCTTCCTCATGACCGTCTTCCACTCCTCATACTCCCCATCCGTAAGCAAACACGCATCAAGCATCTCTTCCAAACCCTCATGGTCCAGTCCTTCGCCGATAAAGACAATCTCATGCCTCCTATCCCCCCACTCGCCGCCCTTGGCAATGTCATGCTGCACCAGAGTATCTATGTCGGGGCTTCCCGTCGTATACTCTTCTTCTGGCAAAGTGCAAAACCATGAACGTCCTCCCGTGAGAGTGAGCATGGCCCCGGCTTGAGACCATTCGCCGGCGCGGTGAGGTCGTGTGGCCAGGAAGAATTCACCCTTGGAGCGGAAGAGCCGGGCGAGTGTTGGGTGAGCACGCTTGTTGGCGAGAATGACTTCGTTTGAGGGCATCATCAAGGGGTCGACGTCCATGTCGTTGTCTTTGTCATCATCATGAGAAGATATCTCGGTTTCAGGACTTGATGGGGAATGAGAAGAAGACGTCGAATCTGGCTTGTCTTCTGAGGATGAGTTGGTGCTTGCGCTGTCTTCGCAGTCAACCATTTCAGCATCCTCAACGTCAGGCAGCCTTTCGTCTCCCTCTTCTCCTTCATCTTCTTCATCTTCTTCATCATCGTCGTCATCGTCAGGATGCTCCATCTGCAAGATAAACTTATCATACAACAGTGCAAAGAGCCGCCTTGGATGAAAAGGTCGGTAACGTGAATAGATGAAGCTTTGCACATTATACTCCTCCGTTTCCGGCTTAGGAGTTACTACATTGCGGCCATTTACCTGAAATATTTGTGTTAGCCTTCCCTAATAAAATTTACATGGTAAAAGAAACTATCAGATGGGAAACATACCTCGCGCACAGTCATGGCATGCAAATCCTGCAGCCAACCATACCCAGTTTGCGCACGTGCGAGATCGAAGAGGCCTGTGTTGACCAGCTCTTTGACGTCCACTTTGCTATACTTAGACTCTATTACCTTGGCCCGGTGGTTCAGCTGTTTAACAAGATCAAGTACCCGGGCCTTCGTCTCGTCGTTGATCTGGTTCATCCGTCAGTCTTCAAATCAAGATAATCTTTTCGTAGCCAGCCTTACCATATCAATCTTGTTCAAGATGATCACGTCCGCAAACTCAATCTGGTCAACCATAAGGTCCGACACGGATCTCTCATCTTCCGGAACAACATCATCCCTCCGTCCAGACAACAAATCCGCTGTATCAAAGTCGTTCAGCATCGTAAAAGCATCAATGACCGTAACGGTCGTGTCCAAATGGGCGAATTTTTCTAGCCCTCCGGCTTTCTTCCTATACCATGATTAGTCACAACGATAACAGGAGGCAGCCGTCCCACAGGATAATAGAAGCTTACAGTTTGTTCAAAACCTTAATCATGTCTTCGTCAAGCTCAGCAGAGCCTTCGCCTTCGGTCAAGAGGCTCATCTGCTCTGCAAGGCGAGAATCGAAAGTCTCAGCAACCTGCTCTGGCTCACTAATGCCACTGCTTTCAATGATAATGTAGTCAAATTTCTGAAGCTGAGAGATGCGCACAAGCTCCTCGAGCAAGTCTCCTCTCAAAGTACAGCAGATGCATCCATTCTGTAGCGCAATGATCTTTTCATTGGTTTTTGTAAGGGTGTGAGTCTTTTGAATGAGAGATGCATCGACATTGATACTACGCGAATTTCAGTACTTTTCCAACAGCAGACCACCGTAATACCTACGCTCCAATGTCATTTACCACAACAGCTATACGAAGCCCATGGTTGCTTTTTAGAATGTGCTGTAGTAGCGTTGTCTTGCCTGACCCCTGAAGAGAGATTCGTTGTCAGCAAACTCCAGACTAGATTTGTGTACAGCAGAGCAGATTTGGCCAACTCACTAGAAAACCAGACAGGAGCGTCACAGGTAAAGGCTTGGATGGCACCAAGTCTTCCGACTTTTTGCTCTTCTTTGACTTGGTGGTTCGTCGCAACCCCATTGTGATGAAGAAGTTTGGCTGGAGTCAATATCTTGTACAAAGCAGAACTTGTAGGAAATTTGTTCAAAAGAAGAAACAAGAAATTGTTTAGGATTTAAAATCGTAATTGCCCGATACTTTATTATATAGCATGCCTAAATAACCATAATAAACAATTAAAAGAGAAAAAAAAAAAAGGAATCGTCGTGGGCCATCAAGGTTGTCACGTCAGTGCCATCAAGGTGCTGACGATGATACCTGCTTCACTTAGGCGCGTCATCACGGACCCAGCCATTGGATCGGACATTGCTCAGACCCAAAGATAATTCGTTTTTTATTTCTCATCGCAAGTCATTGCCATTGTCATTGGTCAGTCTGTCTTGAAGACAGATGATAATTGCTACGCTAATGAATAATGAACGTATGATTATTGGTCTGCACGGATTGGTCTGCCCATATCAATACATGACGCTCAGATCGTCCGTCAAAGTGAAACTAACATCTCTCTCTCAATGAAAAAAGGGAAAGAAAAAAATCCGTAACTCCGGTCATGCTGGCCTACCCAATGGCCTCTGATGATATACGCTGCAAGACTCAAAAAGACTCCAATTTCGTCGCTACAATGAGCGTTCAGATCAACGACTTTTACATAACGCAGCAGTTTCCCCCAGCCCCTGCTTGGCATTGCTCCAAGTAGCTTGCGTCGTCAGAAATACCTTCGGCAAGATTGTACTTGCGTATCGGTCCCTTGACTGTCAGGGTCTGTTCTCCCTCGGGATGCCACCATCGTAGGACCTGGAGCAGTGTGCCCTGGCTGTTGTCAAGGCCAATCTCCCATCTGCCAGCCGAGACAGTGGTTTCGCTCTCCTGCTTGGGGAAGTGGTACTCGGGAAGGAATATAATGGTAGGGGAATCATCGGCTGCAGCCTGGGGAGCTGAAACCTTGATGTTAAAGGTGCATTTACGTAGGTCAAAGCCAGAAGAGAGCAGTTTCCCTGCCACAACTGTTGGTGTTGGGCGAATGAAAGCTTCTGCAGCACGGTAGCCCGGAGCGTTTGCTAGCTCAGGATCTTTATCGGAGGGGGCAGAGCTGATTGATGGGTTCGTAAGCGTGCGTTGAAGATTTCCCGGATTCACTCCAGCATCATCTAGAGTTTCCGCGGTAACAATTGTGGCGCCAGGTTTGACCAAGCTCGTAGTTGACTGATCAAACGCATGCTCGCTCAGTATGGATGATGTCTCGGGGAGCTTGTCGTCCACAGAAATGATGGACAAATCTTCTCCGTTCCATTGATCTCCCCTCTCGTGATCGTTTGTTGTAGAGTACACCCACAGACAATACCCTTCCATTCCTGATCCTTCAGCCGCAAAATAGTTAGCATCCAGTGCCGCCGACTGGCTCGAGTAGTCTCCTGTCTTGTATGCCTTTTTATCATCCATATCATAGGGAATTCCAAATTCTGTCATCAGGCAAGGATGATTGCCTGCCCGATCAAGACCTTCTTGTCTAAGAGTTGCCAACTGATCCCTTAGGCAGTTCCGAATGGCTGTCTCTCCAATTCTAATAGCAAATGCAGGGTGCCAATACTTGCCCCGAAGCACACCAACGACGTCGACGTTCCAACTACTGTTCCAATGCTTTGTCATGAGGGTGATGCCATCATAGAAATGAGGGGTGAAGGCCATCCTTGGATCATCATCCTCTGTGCCTTTGATCTCGGGAGGAAGCTCCAAAGTCGGATACTGCATCAACATGATACAGTCTTTGTGCTGAGCGCGACAAGCTTTGCTGTATTTCCTCCAAAAGTCCAGGAAATAGGTGTTTGTGAATTCTGGATAGTCAATCGTTTTCCCAGTATTTGGGTTCTTCGAGAAATAGTCCTTCTTCAGGAGCGTGTCTGTTGCGATATCCCACACACCGTGTTGGGCCCAGATGCATTCACCAAGCTTCCACTCAGCATCACGCTTCCATCCATACCTTGAGTCGTCGTATCCTTCTGGCAGCCAGGCAAACTCGCCGTGCGGATCTACAAGCTTGGTGCCCGTCTTGTATGGACCAAGTCCTCCCATGTCCCAGGTATCAACTTCGCACGCCCTGCCCATACCCGTTAGGAAAGTCTGCCACATTGTTGGGCACGTTCCCTTTTTGAGAGGATGCTCTTTGGGAATGACGCTCAAATCAACGTATCCGGTCATGCCTCTGTTCGGTTCGTTCATGCTCTCCCAACCAATGACGACTTCGTTTTCGAGATCTCCAGCCTCATGGATGCGCTTCGCAAGATGGGCACATGCGTCGATGAAGTGGTTCTGTAGATAATCTTGAATATTGACGCCGTCGATGATGCACTTGGGAGCGAAATCCCTGCCAGCAAAGAAAAAGGTGAAGATGGTGCCGGCGGCAAGTCGGTAGTAGTTGGTGGACCAAATCATCTTGGGGAAACTATCTGGCTCGGGGTAGGTGTTATGAACGATGGCCGCCTCGGTAGCAGCGAAGCTCTGGGGGTTCAGTCCACAGGCATAGATGGTCCACATGGGGGCTCCAGAGCCGCCGGTGAACCTGGACCAGACGTCCTGGTGGGGGTCCATGAAGACGTAGAAGCCATAGGATTTGGCAATCCTCAAGACCTCAATAGTGTGCTGGATGTATTCCTCGTCGTAGATGCCGGGACCGGCAGCCTCAAGGGCCTCCCAGGTAAACAGATACCGTATCGTGTTGAATCCGAACCGCCGGATCCTCGCAAAGTGCATCGGTGCATCTTGTTTAGTAAATGGTCGCTGGTGGAAGGTCACATTGTCGCCGTCGAAGAAGTCGTCGCCGACATGAGACGGCTGGTTGGGCTCGCTTGGCAGTTTCGTGTCTCCAGCAACATTGATGCCGCGGAGAACAATCTGGCGGCCTTGGGCATCGCGGAACTGGCCATCTTCGATCGTCAGGCGAAAGGAAGCCATGGTTCTCACCAGGCAGCGAATTGGGTCGAATGGAATTGAATCCACTCGTCGGGTATCACGATTAAATGAATGGCCGATGTACTGTAATGGAGGTGAGGAGTGATAACGGAAGACGGTTTGCTAGTGCTAGAATCTCTCCAAGTGAGCAATGGATGTCACCAGACAGATTCAGTTACCGGAAACTCCATTGCCCCACCAGCAAGATAGCGGTCTCACAGTCGCCACAGCTAGAGCCTAAACTGGCAAACGGCGATCCCCACAGCGGCTAGGACTTCGATCTGTGTTGCTCTGTTTCCCCGATTTCTCCAATTCGGCAGATCCGGGTGGCAACGGATGCCGATTGCGAATACGAACATCAAGATGTTGTGCCGTGTTAATCGCTGCTGCAGTACTTGAATACGCGTAGATGAATGAATTAGCCAACATAGAGACATTACATTCTACTTAAATGTTATTACATCTACAGTTGCTGAGATACACACTAACTGAGAATGCATGTACAGATATCTCCTCACATTTATTTGGACTGCAGGGTAAAGCATCACTGAACATACATGTTATATGAACCATCGTCAGTTAACATGGAACATTTATCTGTACAATAAATACCTACCTACATATAGATAACGCAGAACAAAACCATCCTCATCATACAGAACAAAGATTAAAATAAACCCAAGTAAACATTATAAACTTCATCAGAGCCAAGCCATCTCTTTATCATTCACACCCGTTTCCCTCAGTATCAATAACCAATACCTACCGGTCCTTCATTGTTTGTTGCCTGCATACCCTGAGCATAACTCTGATCTGTTGCAGATTGGCTTGCTCTCGGCTGGTATACCCCAAACCGCAACTCCTCCTGAGAAAAATCACTCACTCGGCCTTGACCTTGACCCAATTCTACTGGCTCCGGAATTGGAATTGATAGCTGAGTATCGCCCTCTATGAAATGGGCAGCTCGAAACGGCGCCAGATCTTCGCCTTCCATCGGGCCCCATATCAAGTCCTCATAGAGCTCTGGTCTGGGCTTTGAGCTTCCGAGGATGTATCGTTGGATAAGCCACGGTAGATATTCGAATAGCTGGTAACGCATAAACTTTCTTTTGGAAACTGCAAAGATGTGGTCCAACTCTTCGAGGGTGTGACGCTTTGTCTCTTCTACCAGTAAGAAGACCATGACTAGAGCCACGATATTGAGACCAGAGAAGAGGCCCAAGGCTCCGATTGCTTTTAGACCTGCATTCACACTTTGCGGCAATTAGCTTAAGATAGCCCTATGTTATGGTCTGTATCTTCACTTACCTGGGGTAGACGATAGATAAGATGCCGGCAAAGCCCAAGTTGATTGCAATAGCCCAAGAAGCTCCCTGATATGCAATTAGGATGGCTGAAAAATCTGGAGGGTTGATTCGATAACCTACCGCTTCTCTATGAGATAGAGGAAAGCTTTCTGAAGCAAGGGTAAACGGGATCGGGCCAAGACCTGGAGAATATACGGCTGCGAAGACTACTTGGATATTAGCTCGGACTTGACAGACGATTGGGGGTTTATCACTCATACCATATAAGAAGAAGGCAGCAACCCCTATTCTGATACTCTCAGTCGAAATAGTGCACGATAAAGCGGCAGCGAGCATGAACAAGGCCGTGAAAGGCAACGTTCCTAAAAGCCACTTTCGCCGACCAAGCGTATCAATACTTCTCACAGCAGGCAGTCCGCACAGAAAATTGATTGCCCCTATCAATTGAGCGGTTAGCATCTCGTACTACAAGAAGAATCTGACAGCTGGGAATGTATTTACCAAAGCCTAGGCTGTATGCCATTGGGATAATTTTCGAGTGTTGTTCATCTTTGCTACTGGCACCGGCGAAGAGGGTTCCTAATTCCCATGAGCTTGGAGTTAAGTCTGTCTACGTCACTCATGATTTACCTGAATAAAAAGCCAGAACATTGACTAAAACTTTGTTAGAGCCTGTCGCATTGGGAGAAATCCTTTGTTTGACTTACTTCCACAGAGTTGCTGGGCTAGGTTGACTGTCGAAGTAGAGATGAGAGCATTATACAGGCGCCTCTGTTGGAATAGCTGCATGTATTGTCTCAAAAAGTCTCGCATAACCCATATGAATCCCGGGGATCGAAAGGCATGCTCGTCCAGGTCTCCCAATCCCATAGCTTGTTGCTCGAGCGATTTATACACCAGATATATGTCCCGTAATGCTTGGAGCTGCCATCACGTTAACTTCACAAGGTCCATTCAAGGAAGAGCCAAAGAATGACAAACCTCTGTATTTCGGATCCTCGTCATGCACGTATATGCTTTTTGAACGTCGTAGTTGGGTCCCTTTATCAGATGAAAACGAGGGGACTCCGGGCAGAAGAACATGGTAATTATGAAGAGTGCTAGACTCGGCACTGTAGGTGATGCATTAATGAGTGCTAGTGTCGTCTCGTTCGACTGAGCTCTTGTGAAGATGAGGTTGAAAGCAAAGCCGAGCATGATACCGAATGCGACCCTTTTCTTGTATGTTAATTGACGGTTTCAACCGGATATCTATGCTTGTTGTCTTACCATAATTGCCAAGCCAGAATGGCAGATCCACGCCAGAATCCGACAGCAGTTTCTCCAGCAAGAATTGGCGTACTGACAGCCTTGATTCCCATTCCTAATCAACCATTAGCCTTTAGACGCCAAAAGACTTTCTTTGGTCAGACATACCGATGCCATTGATGATCCGGATTCCGAATAGTTGGTACCAGGTCTTTGCAAAAGCTGCACCAACGGAACCTGCCAAAATGAGGAACGCAGCGACGCAGATACCTCCACGTCTGCCGAACCAATAATTGATTGGCAGCGAGAGAGGGCAGCCAACCAATGCGGCAACAAAGAACGGTACTGCATTGGTGGCTCCAAACTTCCAATTATCCGAACTGGAGGGTTTGATGTGTTCGTGGAGCCCCCATTCTTCTTTATATAGAGAAGCGCCGTTGAAAGACGATTGAACAAAGCCTGTTACGAGAAGTAAAGTTAGAAAAGGGAGAGAGAGAGCTGAAGAATGACGTATTCCTACCTTGTAGTAGGGCGGCAATGGAGACTGTGAGGATAACAATTCGCATGCCCTTCTCACTGAAAGGAACGTCTCTTTCTCGAGTCAAAGCACGTTTCTCCTCCATCGTCAACTGTACCGGCAGACCGGACTCAAAATGGAAACCCTTTTTTCTTGCGACCTCATCATATACACGAATGTCTTTTGCAACTCGAGCGGCACGTAGAAGGTTCTCGTACTCGACGGATGGCAGATGGTTTTCGACAAAGGACCGAACATCCCTTTGCAATTCTTCGTCCGTGAGATGGACTAATCCCGTCAACTTCCGTCAAAGATCTATTCAAGTTTTTCATTTTCTTTTGGCATCATACCTAGAGGGTTTTCAATGATGGCATTGCCATTCGGGCGTCTGCCTCGAGTTGCGGCTGAATATTGGCTTTCGTTGCGAGCCGAGGCGCCTGTATTTCGACCCGACGAAGCCATCACGGATGCTGAAATCGTCAATTATACTGATTGACTGAAGCAACAATGATGACACTGACTTCTGAGAGATTATATCAAGAACAAAGAAAAATTGCAGGTTTGCGATTTTAGCGGGTAGAAGTCGCAACAACAATAGGACGCTCGAGTCACCTGGAAGACCGCGCGCCTCATATTCTGGCATTCCTATCTACAATAGCAGCTCACTTGTTTATACGCACGGTTAATGTGATGGGTCAAATCATATGCATTGGTTTCACATTCTTGGCTAAATAAGGCTTTATTACACAAACAGCCACGCAAGGCGTACGGGACCCTGTCTTGGATAAGGCACCGACATTTCACACGATGCCATTCATAGAACTGAAAGAAACTAGTGACACTCGAGTTACAAAGGAAGCAGCCACAGCATGGGAACAATGGTCTATGCACTGGTCGAGCTAAGGGGACGATCTCATTATTTTAGTCCAATGTGGCTTTTCTGGAAGCAAATCCTTGTCCACGATGACATAAAAACGAGGCTGCAGCACCTGCAATTTGAGATGAGGCTGGTACCAAGTGGTTTTTGGCTGCATAAAGGAACTGAGCTTGGATGTTCAAAACCTCTTGAGGTTGTACAGATCCCAGCCCTGCTGATGGTTGTCTCGATAGGCAACCTTTTTGGCTTCATTCTCATTGGCTCCCCACAATCTGCGGCTTGCTCTATACCTGGCAAGTTGACAAGGAGTAATTGACCGAAATCGGCGGTGATAAGACATCCTCTTGAGCCTTTCTTGCTCTGTACTACATTGGTCACGAGAGAAGCATCTGTTTGTTCAATTGTTTGCTGCAACCCACTTATTCGATGTCACCGGCAATGAAAACGTCCAGAACTGCAGCTGGATTATGTTATCGGTTAGCTTCATGTAAGTTATGAACTTGGCTAGATATTTGTATTCATAAGAGGACAGCGGGAATTGTTCCTTCATATGTTCCAATACTGCTATTTTAGTGGTTAGATGAAGATGGGACCTGGAGTGGTGGAGTTTGACAACGCGCTGTGGAAATAGCATCACGCATTACTTGTTTTTTGGCCTGAGAAGTGCTCGCCGATAATTAAGAAATCTAGGGAATCACATAGAATATTTCAGAAATATGGCAATAATGCCTCATGATGTGTCCCAAGTACTTTTATCCAATAATTGATGCCCTGTTGAAGTTGAAATGACTTGTCCAAGGGCAAGACGAGTTCCTTGGTAGGCACAACCGGTAAATTCTCGGCCAAGGCAGCACAGCGCCCGCGATAGCTGTTGAGGCTCTTGCTAACGACCTGGAACCAATAATTTCATTCATCATCAAACATTCGCTCGAGCTTTCAGACATGACAGTCTTGGCTTGAAGAATATCCAAAGGCAGAGGAATCATCGAATCTGCCATGAGATCCAGGCCGTGTGACACTACAGTCCATTCTTTGTTTTGTGTTTCTGTCTGATCCGATTCCATTCTTTGTGCATAACTCATTTCCCCTCCACAGCCTGCCAAAGACATCGGGCATCATGTCTAGCAAGGCGGCGCTCAAAGGCATCGCCGATGCGGTGCGCCAACAAAAGTTTGACGATGTGATTGAAAAGGCCCGGGACTTTCTGAAAAAGGAGCCCAACAACTACCAAGGGTACGTTGGCTATTCTACATCCAAGACTGGACCCTCATGTGCACAAAAGCTGACCCCTCAGTCATATTTTCTTGGCTTTTGCGTTGGATAAGAAGAATCGACTAGATGAGGCTGAAGCTGTCTATCAATCGGCAACTCAGCTGCGTCCTCAAGATGCACAGGCCTGGCAGGGTCTCATCAAGCTGTATGAGAAACAGGCTGCCAAGAAGCTGCGCGAGTATCAAACAGCAATCGTCCATCTAGCCCCCATCTTCCACCAGGCGGAGGAGCTGTACAAGTGCCAAGAAGCAGTCGATAAATTCGTCGACTTTGCTCGAGTCCACGGAGATCAGCTACAGTATGCAGATGCCCTGTGGATCAGACTTCCCGAGAGCCCTCTGTACTCAATTCTGGAAGGCTACTTTCCCCATCCCTCCAAGACTTACGAAAGCATCACTCATATTATCGAGACATATGAGAAAAAGGCCATCAACACACTCATTGGAGAGCGACGAACGAGATTGGGTGCGACACTGACCGAGGTCACCCTCGAGGTGAAGAGGGAAATTTACGGCGGGAGCAAACTAGAGCACCTTTACCGAGAACTCATCAACTGGACTACCGATGATGATGTAAGGAGAAGTTATGAAGAGAAACTGATCCAATACTGTCATGATCGCCTCCTTGTGTTGCCAGCAGGACCAGCAAAGACGGAGGAGCAGCAAAAGGTTCTTGGACTGGCAAATGACATGGTCATCATCAGACACCCCTTCCGACTAGCCTGGGATATTGCCATTAACTGGCAAGACAAGAAAGAAATCCGCGATTACGACGTGGAGCTTCTAAGAAACTACTGCAACTTCTTTCCGGAAAGCGATCTATACAAGATCATCACTGGGTTCCTAACAAGCAGCTTTTCACCTTTTGCAGCACTCGCGGTAGAAGAATCGAAAAAGGCCCCCTCCGCCGAGACCGAAACGTCTGACGATAGTGACGAGGAAGATGGTGGTGCACCAACCTTTGTGGTCCCGCTGACTGAAGAAGATCGGTTGATTATGATGACTGATGGCATTTCAAGTTCCGAATCCGTCTTTGGCTACAGATTAGTAGGGCAGTATCTTCTGCGGTCTGGAGAATATGAAAGCACAGTGGAATTGATGCGCAAGGCCGTCCCTTTTCTTGCTAGACAGAAGACAAAGATTGGCCTGTCATACGAAAACACAGAAGATGCCTATTCCATCTCGCTTGCGACAGCGCTCATCTACTACCAATCTCCGAGACATCACCAGGAAGCCAAGCGCCTATTTGACAAAGTTTTGGAGCACGACAAGACTTCAACTCCTGCCATGATTGGCGTCGGCCTCATCTTTGAGGAGGAGGAAGATTACGAGGAGGCGATTGACTTCCTCACTCGCGCACTGGCTCGAGATGCTTCCAACCTTCGTGTCAAGTCGGAAGCTGCCTGGGTCAAAGCTCTTAGAGGAGATTGGCAAACAGCGCTGGGTGAACTTCAGGAGTGTTTGGAGCCTCTAGAAGAACAAGGTGATGCCTCCAAGGAGCTCCTGGCTGATACTCAGTATCGCATCGGAATGTGCATCTGGAACCTGGACACGGACAGGCAATCTCGAAAGCGGAAGAAGGGCGAATGTGCTTATGCCTACTGGCTCAAGGCTCTGAACAATTCTTTGAATCATGCACCGACGTATACCAGCCTGGGTATCTTTTACGCAGACTACGCATCAGATAAGAAGCGATCGCGACGATGCTTTACAAAGGCCCTGGAGCTATCATCATCGGAAGTGACGGCGGCCGAACGCCTGGCCAGATCTTTTGCAGATGATGGAGATTGGGATCGAGTGGAATTGGTTGCTCAACGTATCGTTGACTCCGGCAAGGTTAAGCCCCCACCAGGGTCGAAGCGCAAGGGAATCAGCTGGCCTTTTGCGGCCCTGGGTGTTGCTGAATTGAACAAGCAAGACTTTCACAAGTCTATCGTGTCGTTCCAAGCAGCCCTCAGAATCACTCCCAACGACTATCACTCTTGGGTTGGGCTCGGCGAAAGCTACCACAGCTCTGGACGATACATTGCGGCGACTAAAGCCATCCTCAATGCAAAGAAACTGGAAGAAGATTCCAAGGTAGATGTATCTGGGGATACTTGGTTTACCAACTACATGCTCGCCAACATTAAGCGTGAACTAGGCGAGTTTGACGAGGCCATTACACTCTACCAAACAGTTTTGGAGACACATGCTGAAGAAGAGGGAGTGGTTCTTGCACTGATGCAAACCATGGTCGACAATGCCGTTACAAGCGTGGACAGGGGCCTGTTTGGAAAGGCAGTTCATCTTGCCATAGATGCCATCAACTTTGCGACACAGCGGAGTGGCAGTGTGTTGGAGACTTTCAATTTTTGGAAGAGCATTGCTGAGGCTTGTTCTATTTTTACGCAGGTCCAGAGCCGAACTACGGATTTTCCGATCGACTCTATCAAGCCTCTTCTGGAGTCTCGGCCACAGGAGGCTTTCGATGTCCTTTCTAATGTTGACAAGGTTGGCACCGATGCCGTTTACCAAAAAGCCACAACAGACGAGCATTTTGGTATTGAGATTGCGACATGTCTACACGCAACGATCCTGAGTTACAAGCAGGCCATCCACGTATCGGCCAATGATATCCACGCACAAGCCGTTGCGTATTATAACCTGGGATGGGCTGAATACCGTGCTCATACCTGCCTGCCATCACAGCTGCGGAAAAAGCCGAACCGATACATCAGGGCTGCTGTCAGGGCATTCAAACGATCTATTGAACTGGAGGCCAACAACGCAGATTTCTGGAACGCCCTAGGAGTAGTGACTAGCGACATCAATCCTGACATAGCCCAACATGCATATGTTAGGAGCTTGCACTTGAATGAGCGCAGCCCAGTGGCGTGGACAAATCTGGGGACTTTGGCACTGCTTGCAGGAGACTTTAAGCTTGCCAATGAGAACTTCACGAGGGCACAGTCAAACGACCCGGATTATGCGCACGCATGGCTCGGCCAAGGCTTTGTGGCCCTCCTGTTTGGCGAGGCAAAGGAGGCCAGGGGTCTCTTTACGCACGCAATGGAAATCTCAGAATCGTCATCGCTACCTGCACGCCGTCACTATTCGTCTTCGCTTTTCGATCACATCTTGACGGCTCCGCTCAACCTGAACGTGGCATCACTCATCCAGCCCCTGTTTGCTGTTAACCAAGTCCAGAGCTTACACCCTGGTGATTTGGCGTTTGTCCATCTCAAAACTCTTTTGCAAGAGCGCACGGGCGAAAGCCCTCGTGCGGTCGAGACTCTTGAGAAGATATGCGAAAAGCTGGAAGCCGATTACGAAAGGACCGAGTCCGCTGATGACCTTGCACGGTTTACTCTGGCACGAACAGATCTGGCGCGAGCATACCTCGCCTCTGGATCTTACGAACAAGCCGTTGAATGCGGAGAAATGGCATTAGGATTGAGCGGCGAGGAGGGCGAGAACGAGTTGACGAGCGAGCAACGCAAAAAGGCTCGATTGTCCGCACACTTGACTGTGGGACTTGCGCAGTATTACCTCAAGACGTACGATGAGGCAGAGACGTGCTTCGAGTCGGCGTTGGAAGAATCCGACAACAATCCTGATGCGACGTGCTTGCTCGCCCAGGTTCTATGGGCTCAAGGCACAGAGAGCGCAAGAGAAAAGGCTCGCGGTGCCCTGTTTGAGGTTATTGAAAAGCATCCCGACCATGTACAAAGCGTGCTACTCCTAGGAGTCATTGCTCTTCTCGATCAAGACGAGGCAAGCTTAGAAGCCGTGGTAGAAGAGCTCCAAGGCCTACGAACAAACGACAAGGTGAGTGCAGCAGAACAATCTCGCATCGGCCAAGTCTTAAGAGCAGTGGCCTCTCTCGGAGACGGAAAGACGGAGCAGGACATGATCTCGCAAGTCCAGACGGACATCATGCTCTATCCAAACCTCCCACACGGCTGGTCATCGCTTGCTGAGACGACGGCCGAAGACGGCGACTACGCGGCTGAGATGTCGCTCAAGGTTGCCGCAAGGGGCATTCCACCACGAGGAACACTGGAAGCGCAGGATTTGGCCAAGGCGTATGCTGGGACGGGCAGAGTTGCAGATGCGCAGAGAGCAGCGTTTTTGGCGCCGTGGGAGGGTTCTGGATGGAATGCTCTTGAGATTAGTGTTGAGGGCATGTGATGAGAGGATATATAATGACTTGTTGTATGTGAAAATGAAACAAAAGATGGCTATTCACGATGACGAAGGAGGAGTCAACTACGGCTATACAAATGACTTACCGTCTATAACAGAAGAATATGCAGTATATAGAAATATATAGGGGGTATCACAAAAGCAACTCCAATCTCCTGGGTCCAAATCCAAAAATCCCACGTCCTCACTGCGGCCGGTCCGCTCCCACACTCTCCCTCAGCCTCGCCAATCTTCCCTCCATCCACGCCTCGTGCCAGGCCTCAATCTTGCCTCCAAGCAGCGTGCAGTTCTCCGGCGTCAGCAACACCGTCCCTCTCGCCACCGCCGCGCCGGCCCTGAGCAGAATCTTCTCGCCAATGTGCGTCTTGCCTATCCCGATCCCGCTTATGCGCTTTAATTCCACTGCAAACACTTTCTTGCCGCGTCCATCCTGCAATACCAACCTATGCACGGCATTCGCTCCCCCTGAAGCCGCCGCACCACCAGCACGAGAAGCTTGCGTCTGTCCCGCAGTAGAAGACAATCCATCAACCTCGCCGTTCTCTTCGTCAGTCACCCGAATAACTTGTCGTCCGCGCGTCCGTTCGCCTCTCTCAATGGCCTCAAGCTCCTCGACTTGTTCCCAACGACTCAAACTCAGATTCTCAATATCGAGCACCTGAACGTGCGTGTTTTGAGAAATTGTAGATTCCTGAACGGTAGCTAAATCGATATTTGGCGGAAACACGGGCAATGAAGGGTCGACGACGGTGCCAGATGTGTTTGTCAGGTCGGAGGCGAGGAGGCGAGCTTTTGCTGTTGCGAGAAGAGACGGGATTGGCGGCGGGGGAGAGCGAGATGTGAGTGTCGTGAGGAGGGTTTGTGATGGTGGGGGGAGAGATTGGGCGAGGATGGCTCTTCGGAGCTGGGGGATGAGATCCATTGTTGTGGATTTTTGGGGGTTGGGAGTGTGTAAAGCTGGAGGTTGAAGCTATCAAGACTTCAATGTTTGGATATCAAGTAGAAGTAGAGCTCAGCTTTTTTTCCCCAGCCAAATGACGTACCTGGAGGTTTGATAGCGGCGATAAGGTTTAGGGGACCAGGGGCGCTATATTTTAGTGGCATCAGCTCCCAGCTTACAAGGCTGTGCTGCTACTGTCTTGTCACCCTGACAAAAACGTCCAGCCTCATCTGGTCTCTTCCCAACCTCCAACCTCACAAATCTCCAAACCTCACCATTTCCCTGCTTCCAATTCCCAACAATGTCCACCATCGCCTCCTCCCGCAACCCTCCCGCTCCGCTCCGCCGCACTCCCTCCGGCACCCCCACCTCCTCCGCCCGGCCCTCCTCCGATGTCTCCCGTTCCGCAGTCACGTCCCCCGTCCTGTCCGCATCTCAGCCGGCAACCGGTTCCAAGAGGTCCAATAACCGCGCTGCTCTGCGTGAATACTACAATCTCCGGGCTGCCGCTGCTTCGGCCTCATCGCCTTCAACGCCTCGCATTATCGAGGTCCCTGATTCGGAGGTTCCTGCTAGCGAGATCGACGCGCCAGACTTTAACCTCGATGAGTTCCTACAAAAGACTGTGGCCGAGAGCACATTACAGGAGCTGTTGAAGCTGTACACAAGAGTACTGGGAGAAGTAAGAGCTTTGGATGCAGAGAAGAAAGCTCTTGTGTACGACAACTACAGCAAACTCATCACAGCAACGGAGACGATTCGAAAAGTATGTATCATCAAGACCCGGCGTGTACTTCGGGTTATGAATAGGGATTTACAGCAGCTAACCAATTCAGATGCGAGCTAATATGGACCCTCTGAATCCCATGGCTACGACACTCGACCCAGCCATTGCCCACATCTATAGCCAGGCTTCTGCCATACAAGAATCAATACGAAAATCGGTACCGCCGCCGGACTCAGACGAGGGCAAAGCACGGGAAGCTCAACAACGCCGCCACCGCACGAGGCAGCTGGCCATTGAGGTTCTGGCAACTCCAGAGAGGCTACAGGCTCTTGTAAAGGAAGGCAGATTCGAGGAGGCCAGGAGACAGTGGGATATGCCGAGAAAGCTGCTGGAGGCTTGGAAACAAAAGGGATTGGGCGGGGACGACGTGCAGTCATGCATTGACGAAGGCGATGCGGTCATTGCCGTGACACGAAACAGATCACCGGCACCCGATGAGATGGTGTCAAGAGGTGGGCCGTACGGCCCATTGCATTCCAACACACCGCCTGCTCTGAAGCAATGATCGCAAGGCCTTTGTTTATATGCAACGAGTTCAATCTACCTGACGCCGTATACTACGCCCCTCAGGCCTCCTGCAAGGTACTCACATCCAGTATCTTGAACGGATCCGCGTCATACTCGCTCATGATCACTTCTGCCTTGGGCTCGGCGGCCTTGAGCAGCTTTTCCAAGCTAGGCTTCAATACCTCTCGGAGATAGCCTCTTTCTGAGTTGCTGTGGAATACTTGGATGAGGGTTCTGCCTTGCTGGATGGCTGCTAGAGCAGAGTGATGGCTCGTTTCGCCCATGACGAGTAGATCGACGTCGGCCGACTTGAGAACATCGTATCCGCTGCCTGCGCAAACACCAAAGCTGCGCACCTTGGCAGTCTTGATGTCGGAGCCGACAGGAGAGGCAATCATGATGTGTTTGAGGCCTCCAAGCTTGAGAGCTAGTCGCTTGATAATCTCCGCCAGGGACACAGGACCGCCTTCTTCGAAGTGCCCTATTCTGCCATATCCAGCGGGAGAATGCGATTCGGGGGCCGTGACGCAAGGAATGGCAACGGACGGGGTGTGTTTATGGGGTCCGGCAACGATGTCGGCGAGCCATGTATTGAGGCCCTTGGGAGCAGCATCCACGGCCGTGTGCGGGCAGTAGACGGCAACGCCAGCCTTGGCCAGCTGCAGGAGTGTAGCTTGTTGGGGATCGCTATTCGTGACGGACTTGAAGCCGGAAAAGATGAAGGGATCTGGATAAGAGACACCAGGGCCAAATTAGTAGCTAGACAACGAACGAATTGAGACAGGGCAGTAATAGCATACGGTAGCTAACAATGACACTGACGCCCTGGCCAATGGCATCCACTGCGACTTGAAATGTGAGGTCGTTTGTCACCATGACTGTCGGCTCGAGCTTCTTGGCATCGCTTTCGGAGTTGCCAACCAGCAGTCCGACATTGTCCCATTTCCGATCGGCGAGCTCTTCGGGGTATCTGTAACGAATCAATCACCAACTATCAGCTAACCATAACAGCAGCACCTTTGACTACATATATAAAGAGAAGACATGTGAAGAAGAAAAACGTGACGACAAGACAGACAACGTACAGCGTCCTCATGGAGTTGACGACGAGCTGCGTAAACTTGGACGGCTCGACCTGCCACGCGCCCCAAGCGCCCACACCATCTGCGTATTCGGCCATTGCGCCGCTATCAGGCCGTCTGTTCGAACTAGAAGTAGAAATCGTACGCCGGGGTAAAGAACGAGCCGCAAAGAACCCGAGACGAGAAAGACCCGAAACTGAAGGACGACAAGAAAAAGACGTTGATCGGAGTGCCGACGACGATAGACCTCTATCAAGACGTCTGACCAATAGCATTGAAGTTAAATCAATATTCTGATGCTCAGAAACCCACAGCAAAGAAAAACAGATGATGAAAGATGTAGAGTCTAGATTCCAAATATGTTAAATAGTAGATCCCCCCCCAAGGGTGCTTATCGATGGCTATGCAGCCCCTCCAATGAAGAACCCCGGAAGCTCAGCTAAGCTTCTTTTCTTTCTGCCCAATGAGCTCATACCGTATCAAATCTACGTGCGATACTGTTGAAACCACACTGTACACATGCCACCAACCCCCACGATCTATCTAATCAATCAGATCGCTTCTTTCTTCTTCTTCCTCTACATTTTTGTCGCAATCCTTCCTCTCTACATACCACATCTGTTCGCTCTACAATGGCCTCAATAACAGAAGCCTCCCTCCGCGAGGCCATCACCCAGCGCCTCGGCGCAATCCACGTCGAAGTCACCGACATGTCCGGTAAACGAACCAATCCCTCCACCCATATTACAAATCCCCCCAGCAAAAGCTCACAATAGATGTTGTATGCACAAACAGGTGGCTGCGGCCAAGCGTTCACGTCTCTGATCGTCTCCCCCCAATTCCAAGACCTCAAGTCCCTTAAGCGGCACCGCCTCGTCAACACGGCGCTCAAGGACGAAATCGCTGCTATCCACGCTTGGACGGCCAAGTGCCAGACACCGCAGGAATGGGAGAAGGAGAAGGATACTGCTGCGCCGTCGCTGGATGGTACGGTCGGGGGGCACGTTGAGGGGACATCACAATGAAAGAGTGAAGAGTGAAGGGGAATAAATCAGTCGAATATACCAAGGGGGGATATCGAGGATGTTGCGGGAATCGACATGGTCGTGGAAACGAGATGTGCGCCGGGATATATACATCATCGAGCAAGACGACGCCAAGGAAGATTAACCTGCCCAGGTTAAACAAACAAATATTCATGGGCAATCCACCGGGGCTGGTCAAAAAAACTTGTTTGGATAACGTCAGCGTGGAAATAGCCCTGCCGCATCAAACAAGTTTACCCCAAACGACGATACGGAGGGCAGATGTTCTAAAAATATCTTCATAACTTGTATATATATCAGAGATATCAAATATGCATCACTTATTAACTATAGTTCCCAACATAAGCCACCCCCTTACACCCCTCAATCTCGGCATCTCCCGTAAAATGCCTTTTCCCAAGCTCTTCTTCTACCATTTTAGCCCGCTCGCATCCTGCCTATCAAAGTCATTGCGCATCTACAACAAACCCAAAAGATCATCGCTATCCTTCTTAGGCTCAGAGCCACCGCCGTGCAGCTGCATCCCTGCCGGTAATGGCTGGCTTCCATTCGCAGCTCCAAAGTTGAGCCCCTCAAACCCATTCATTAAATCATTCATGCCACCAGCTGGGGCCGCGGCAGGAGCACCGCTGGCTGATGGGGCATCAAACATGCTCATCATGTCAGCCATACCACCCGTAGCTGGGCTTGCCATTCGGTCAGGGGTTCCCGCTGCGCTTGACTGCTCCTGAGAAGCCGGTGCTGCGCCGTCGAAGTCGATGTCGAGCAGGTTTTCAATGTTGCTTTGAGAGACTGAGGAAGAGCCATTGGCGGCGGCCGCGGCCACAGAGGCAGCAATGGGGTTCTCCGCGGCGTTCTGGCGCTGTTCTTGAATGGCGGCTCGCTGGATCTCGTCGGCGCCGAATCGGCCCTTGCCAACAAAGGCTTCCGGAGGCTTGTGGTATACCGATGCAAGAGTCGACAGTTCGGACAAGAGTTGCTCCAGTAGCGTGGCTGGCAGGCTTGTCATTGTTGTTGAAATGGTTGGCTTATGTGACAAAACAATGTTCTTGAGGGTTGAATATCAGTACATGCGCTCTTCTACAATAACAGGCAAATAGAAATGGGTTCTTACCTTGGCCACCTCCAGGTCTCCTGATAACAATCGCCAGTAGACGTATGCTCTGTCACGGATATCGGGGTTGTCGCTGTTGGTGGTTGCCTCCTGCAATACCTTTTGTACAAGACTCTGCGCTCCACTGGGCTTCTTCAAGAACAGCTTGACAACGGCTGTCAGAATCTGTAGTTGAGTCTATAGGTGATGTTAGTCTAGAGATCTAAAACGTAAACTGCTGCCGAAGCGTACCTGAGTAAACTCTTCTGAAAATGTGTCCACAAAGCCCTCGAGAATCTCCTCGGCATTGCTAATCTTTTCAGCGTATTCTCCCACGATCCAGATGAGTGATCCACGGGCATTGGCCTCGTCGAGTTCATCGATGTAGTCGCACAGAGAAGGAATCACTCCCTCGTAACCGGGGTACTTTCGCAGAATGTCCTTGATGACCACGACAACTTCCTGCACCACGTAGTTGACCTTTGTGGCGAGAAGGTCTTCCAGCGCCTGGACGCACTTGGCACTGGCGTCCTCAATCTTGATGGCCACCTGGCCAATGGCCTTGATGGCTCGGCGAACAAAATCCATGTCCACTTCCAATGCGTACTCCTTCAGCTCGGAAAGGAGCTGCTCGTAGTTCTTCTCGTTTGCTATCCTGACCATGATTTCCAGCTTCTGCATCTTGACGTATGGCGGATCGTTGTATTTGCAGAAGAAGACTCGCAGTTCCTTGCTGAGGATGTCGGGCTTGGCTTGGAGGAGCAGATCGATGTTTCTAAGGGCAACATATTGGACCTCGGGCTGAGACGCAACCAACGTGACTGTTGTGTCTGTGTTAGCAACGCAGCAACCCACTTGACATCTACCGAACTTGTCTTGACGACTCAGCGGCAACAAAACTTACCCAAAGGAGGCGCCATCTTCTTAAGGTATGACCGCACGAGTTCCGGGTTGATGGACTTCATGTGGATGAAGACCACCTTGACAGCGGCTAAGACCACGCTAGGGTTGACGTGCTGAAACTGTGGAATGACCCTCTCGCAAATGTGCTCCGACTCCTTGACATCGAGGGCAACATAATCCGCAAGCACGGTCAAGATGGTGATTCTACCCCATTCGGTGCATTCGTTCATGGCCATGAGCAGCTTCTTCAGCACGGCGGGAGTGACCAGCAACGCCCTCGTCTCGGGGGCCGTCTCGCTGATTTCCGCCAGCGCCTGGACCGAGTTTGCGACCACCATGGGATTCGGATCGCCAATCATCTCCTGGAGCGCCTCGATGAAGCCGTTCTCGATGCACATTGCCGGGTTCAAGTCGAAAAGCTTGGCTACGCAGATGGCGGCCGTCTTGCGCACGTAGGGCGACTCGTCTCGCAGCGTTTTCCTCAGCGGCTCCTCCATGTAGTCGACCATCTTGTCCACTCTGATGCACCCCATTGTGCGGATGGCCAGCGCTCGTACCAGCGGGTTCGGGTCTTCCGAGTCTTGCACAAACGTGTTGACGGCGAGAATGCAGAGGTCTGGGTGTGTCTTTGCGTAGTTCCTAAGGGGTCACACGCCCTCGTTAGCATTGCCATGCCGGGATCTGGTTCAAGCAAATGTCACTGCGACGCACATGAGATAGAGATAGACCAGCTTCTTCTGGTCCAGGTCGGCCGTCGCAATGTTCTTCAAGACGTCGGGGAACAAGGCGGACACATCCTTGCCCAGCGTCATGGCCATGATGGTCTTCTGGATGGACTCCTTCCGTTCGTAGGCATATTGCGAGACCAGACCAGCTCGCAGCTCAAACGTCTCTCCCTTCCGAGGCGCGGCAAAGGCGCCCCGGATGCGATTCACCGCCATCGTCGAGGAGCTTCTTGGGGGGTGGAGGGGCACGAGGATAGTCCTGAGTCTGGTGTTTCGGACGGCTGGCGGGTTACGCAGGTGTCTGTCTGCGAGTTGATTCGGCGGCCGTGAAAAGAGAGAGGATGACAAAGAAGAAGAGAATTGCTATCAGGGTGTGATAGCTAGTGGCAAAGCCTCCAGCAAAGGCTCCGTGTCGTGGCCTCTGGGAATCGTCGAGCCAATGTTGAGTCGAGGGGTTGAGAGTTGCAGCTTACAGTATGTCTGGATTCCAGGCCATCAGCTTGCTGTAGTGCAGTGCAGTGCCTCAGCGACAGCCTCCCTAACTGGGCCAATCAAAACTCCACTGAAGTCGGCGCCGAATGGCCAGATTTACGTGCCCAGTCCCGCTGAGTCATCCAACTGTCACCGAGTTTGTTAGGGATAGAAAGCAGATGTGCTATTAATGGCATCAGTAAATTACAGATTTAGGTAGACACAATAGATATCTCGATGCCTAGACTTGATATCGCATTTGGCAGAATTCAGCATTTTGGATGCCTAATGTATTCGCTCCTTATGGATCCATTACTATCAATGCTATAGTTACCTACATGGCTATATGCTATAAGGGGCTTGTCTTCAATACTCGTAATAGTACTGTAGTAGAAGCAGCAGCCAATCTCAAGCCATTCATGCAGGCGTCCGAATAAATACAAGCCAAATCCATAGTCCACATCCACATGCATCATCACAAGTTTCACTGCACTTAGTCATCCTCTTTCAAGCTCATATCATACCATATCATATCACAATTTCTCATCCTCAATCAAATACAGAGCCATCATCACCAACCAATTCAATCCCCACGGAATTAATACTGGGCACTTTAGCTCTCCATAGTAAAGCGCACGGGCCTCTTCCACCAAAAAGCCAAACTACACACACCTCAAACGCCATAAACTCAAATCTCTAGCTCCCACTTCTTCATCTCTTCGCAAGCGGGATCCCTCTCTTCCCTCTTTTGTTCCGCCAACATGGTAAATAGCCACCAAACGGAATCATCAGATTATGACCATTTACGTATCTGTCTGCTAAACCTCCATGTCGCAGGCAAGCTTTCCCAACCTTAGGAGGCTATTCATCGAGGCCCGAACAGAAGATGAAGAGAGGAACATTTCCAGAAAAGCCGTAGGTCTTCTCGCCACAAGCCATTGCTTACTTTATAGCTTTATGTGTACACATCTTTCTAATAATATATAGTTTTATCATGCTGTTTTGTTCATGGGGTCTGTTGCCGTCTTCAGTCTGATTGCGCAGAGGCTCAATGCCGGAAAATGAATCATCTCGTTATACAGCCAGCCAGTCATCAATTCAAATCAATATTCTGTTACACCAGTCTCGTCGTAGTCATTGTACAAACGGTGCCATCAATTCTGGTATCTATCGAAAATTAGAATGAAAATGAATCATTCATCTTGCTCACCATCCAATGCGTCTTCCACTTCAGCCTCTCCATTCTTCGACATTGACGACGCCGCCTTTGCTTCTTGTTTTCTCCACAAGTTGGCTAAAAACTCATTTGTGCTCGCCTCGTCAATACCCTTGTCATCTCTCTTCTTCAAGAATCGCGGGAATCGTAAACTAAGACCTCGCTCGTCGCTCACAAGCCCAATGGCCGCAGTATACACTGGGCTGAGCGTAATATCCGCAAATGCCATCTCCCATACCTCCTGTGGCTCAAACCAAACGTCTGGGCTTGGGCCGTAGTATTCTATGAAGCTCGGCTTCTGTAACTTGGTATTCTTTGGCTCGCCGCTTTCCTCCCCGTTATCGTAAAACTCCTTATTCGCTTTGTAAAAAGTGTCTGTAAAGCCCGATATGCATTTGCAGACCACCTCGAGCGTGCCACTCTCCTCATTGCGTACTGCCATCAAGATGGGCGACCACCATTTCGCTTTTCTGCCCTGCCCATGCCATCCAGCCACGGGAATCATATCTAGCGTGTCGAAACTTGAATTATAATCTTTCTTGACCTTGAGCCAGGAGTCTAGACGTTTATCTGGCTCGTACGTTGCCAAGAGCGGCTTCCTTCGAGATTTTGCTGGTTTTTCGTCACCATCGCCCTTTGTAGCATTCTTTGTCTTCCCCTTGCCTTTTGCTTGAGTCTTGGGGAGTGATAACTTTTCAGGGTCTTCCAGAGGTTGCTCAGGCTCAACTTCTACCAAGGGCAGATCAGGAATATTGTCCAGGATTTTGACCATGATGCCCTCGCATTTATTTTCCAATGCCGACTTGAAAAACTCGAGGACTACTTCAGAGTCCCCAGAGGTAGCATCTAGGCTTTTAACCCAAGTAAAATGGTGGGGTACCTCTATAAAGAGGGATCGAAGAAGCTCTCGCCTTTCTCGAAATGATCTGTCCAAAAGAGATTGTCCGTTGAGATACATCAGATCAAAAGCAAACAGACAGACATCGATTTTGATGTCTCCAATTGCAACATCTTTTCGAGCACGATTGGTCAGTGTCTGAAAATTCTTGAGCTCGCCAGTCTGTCGGTCAACAGCAACAACTTCCCCCTCCATAATAAAGCTACCGATGCCTTCTCCTCTAATCTTGGGCACCAGCTCCACAAGGTCCGGATATTTTTCTGTCATGAGCTCCAGGTGTCTGGAAAATATCGAAACCTTGCCTTTTTCGTCGCAATGGACTTGTGCGCGTTGCCCGTCATATTTATACTCACACGCAAAATCCCTTCCCTGAAGTTTTGTGAGCATCTCCGAGAGGTCTCTGGTAATGCTTCCCAGCATTGGACGCAACGGCACGTGGAGGGTCAAGCCGCACCGCAGTAGCAGCTCTTCATATACCCCAACATCGAGGAGTGCAGGAACCAAGTCGTTGTAGTTTGGGTGCCTTGCAAAACTTGCTTTGACAATCTCTTCTGCTTTGCTCCAGACTTCTGCCAACTCTTCCTTCTTTAGCTTACTTAGCTCTGTAATGTCCTTCGTACCGTACTCGGAACCTGGGGCTTTAGAAAGCGAGAATGCTCTGGATAACGCAATGAGCATGGTAGTTTTAACAGCACCAATGCGCAGCTATACACCATTAGTTACGAGTTTGATGACAAGAGTAAGTCACAACGGAGAATACACACATACTGCGAGACGGTTCGAACAATGAACCGGCTCTCTTCTCCCCCTCGCGCATCCTGCAGCAATCGATCCACGATCCGCTGCTTTATCTCACCACTTCCTTGCCCATGAGTAGTGGCAATCTTTACCAGGGATTGATAGACGCCCTTTATTGTGAGAGGCTTTGGCTTTCTCAGTGTGAAGCTCTGTTTCTTCTTTGCTTCGAACGCAACATCGCCTGGGTCTCCGTATTTGTCATAGATGGCTTTAAGAGACCGGTTATCCAGACCACATACTTGGCGGAGAGCCTTGGAAATGGCAGACCCGCCAAGCCCAAGCTCCATGGAGATGTATGGAGGCGATATAGAGTTGGTAGCCAGCCAGACCTGGAACAACGATGAGAATGATTACGCTTACAAGGTCTGGTGCCAACACTTACAGCTGGTAGAAGGCTAGAAGGATCGCCTTCTATCAAAATGCGTAGACAGTTTACAAGAGTATCGACGATTTTGATACGGCTTGTTGTTGCGCTAACAAGAACGAAGCATCTGGTAAGGAGAGCATAGGACGCATCACCGTTCTCAGGGGCCCAGTACTCTTGCAGCTCCTTTACATACTTTGACGGATCAAAAGTGAGGGGAGACTCGTCAAGTGGAATCGATATTGTTACTGTGTCATCGGCCATTCCGGCAGATTGCAGAGAAAGCGTCTTCTTGGCATCCTGCTTCTTGGGTGTCGTATCCGGAGGAGATATCTCTGAATGGCTTGCAGAAGCGGGTGTAGAATCATCTTCTGCCGTCTCTGCTACGGATCCAACATCTTTGTCCTTTAAAGTCGCATTTTGGTCTCCTGAAGGGGTATGAACTTCATTGGTGACCTCTTGATTCCATTCCGCTTGTAGCTTCCGTGCCAGTTCCTCATCGGAAAGTATAGCTGATGAGCTGCTTGGAGCACCATCTTCACCAGCTGAGGTGTTCAGTGTATCCGTCTGCTTCTGCTTGGAAAAGAAGTATTCCAGTCCCTTTGACTGGGCTGCGGGCTGTTTCTTGCCACTGTTGAGCTTCCTCTTCTTGGCCGGACTCGACATGATGTCCTGTGTCTTGTCTTGTGCAGCTCGGAACTGCTGGGGTAGCCCCTCAACGTTGTAACTCTTAGCTCAGCAACATGGAGATTTCATCTCAGAATGATGCCAACTCATAAATCATAGCAAAACGCGTCATCTCCGGACAATCACTCGCAGATCATGGTTGAAGCTCCTCCTTCACGCGAGCCTCTCATCGTCCATGACGCTGTCCAACACGACGGCACGTGACCGTGAATCCCGCTTCGGCCCCGTCCCCCCTTGCACCGCTAAGCCCCTTTGGGCCCATCGAAGCCGCACAACCAGCAACCCGCAATATGCGAAATCTTTCCCTTCCAGCCCCACCATCTCGAACTTCCAGTCGACAATCCTCCTCCCCTCACCGAATTCCAACCTCAAATCCCCCCCAAAATCCAGCCCAAGATGAACGGCGAAGATCCCGCGGAACGGCCCGACTACATCACCACCGTCATCAATGGCCTCGAGCGCTACAACCCCGAGGCCGTTGGTACGCTCGAGAGCTATCTCCAGGAGCAGTGCGACCAGAAGTTTGCCGATTGCAATGCGAACCGGACGCTGTTGAAGCTGTGAGTGGCCTTGATGTTGTGAAGTGCGGGCTTTTCCTGTTGTCTCGTGCTTTGTGCGAGAATCGCCCTGTTTTGCTTTGCCTGTCCTGCTACTATCTATCTCTCCATCTATATGATGACCGTTTTTGTAAACGTTTCCTATTACCTGAGACTGGGTCTAAACAGCCCAGTCACTTGAAGTCAACTTTAGTGGTGTCTGAAAAGATGAAGATACAGAACACTTTTGTTTATTCATTCTTGTCGCTTGTCAGCGCATAAAAGTATACAGCGATGCTAATCAAAACCCGCCCAAAAACTACAGCTACCAGCTCAACCCCGACCGCATGAAGGATGAGGTCGTCACCAACATCCTCGTCAAGGCCATGACCCAATTCCCCTCGTCCCAGTTCACCCTCGCCCTCCACCTCATCAACCCCTCCGCCGCCTCCACCGGCGAGCTCCACGAGGCAATCACCAAGCTCCGATCCCTCAACTCCCAGCTCCAGGGCGCCCAGTACGCCGACTTCTGGGCCGACCTCGACGGCGACGACCTGTGCGCCGACCTCATCGCCGACATCTCCGGCTTCGAGGACCTCGTCCGCGAGCGCATCACCACCCTCGTCTCACACGCGTTTCGCGAAATCAAGCTCTCACACATGGTCTCATGGCTCGGCTTCAATGAGGACAAGACCCGCAAATTCCTCACTGAGGTTGCTGGCTGGACTATTGACGACGACGGCAACGTCAAGATTCCTTCCAACCCTGACAACGAGGCCAAGAAGTCGGAGATTCGCGAGGACGTTAATGTCGATCAGTTCGCGAGAGTGATTAGACGGTCTTGGGAGGAAACTGTATAAATGCTGCCACACACACGGAGAGAGGGGGGAAGAAGTGAAGGGCGACAAACACGGAGAGATAGAAGGCGTTGATTAAACCAGTATTTGCTTATACAGGGAGCAGAGTGACAAATGGATATGTCGACGGAACCCGTGATGCGGAATGAAAACAAAAATCACTGGCATTATTGGTGCGGGGTCCCAAAAACTCAGGCGTTTAATAGGAAACAAACAACTGTTTAATTTAAAAAAAAAAGCGAATACAAGATCAAGTCATGTATAGAAACCGGGCTATCTGTTTGGGCATCACATCTACATTCTATTCGCGCTCTCCTATTTGATATCATAAACTCGTGAAGCTTTTTGGTAATCCTCTTACACTTTTTGTCTAACCAACCACAAGGGAACTCCCCTGAAATACCATTATTTCTCTTTTGACAGCTCTTCCCACTGAACACCTGCCCACTCCTCCAAATAACCCGCCTCTTCCACGGCAGTATGTCTCAGCGAACAATCTCTCTCGCATACACCAACGATAATCGTCCCCCACTCCATGCCATCGAGGCTCAAATCGTCCTCTTCCAGCTCCGTAATAGCATTCGGCGTCAACTGTACCTCAAACGTCCTCCGTCCACCGCAGTTAGGACATCCCGGCATCGTCCGCTTGGTCAACAGCTCGCCAACCTCATCCGTCTTAGAATACAGCAACGGAACACCACTAAACTCATACCGAATACACTGCTCCGGGTTCTGCGCCATCCGGTCGGCGAATTTCTGAAAAGTAGCATCCATAGCGGATTCGAACGCCTCGCGATCAAGAGCAGAAGGTTCCGGGGCGTCGGCGTCGGCAATGGTCACATTAGCCGGCAGTTTAGTCGATGTAGGATCGAGAGTTTCGTAGTCGGCGTCGGCAAGGTAGAGTGTCGGGTACGGTGCTGGCTGCGCAGCTTTTTCAGGCCAAGGCTCGGCAGGAGGAGGAGGACCCGTAGGCGTAGTGTTGAGTGCCAGAGTTTCGGCAAAGGTTTTGGACAGGTTTGTTGTTGAAGTAACAGCAGCCGGCGTCTCGGCGGGCTTCTCAGCCGGAGCAGCAGCAGCAGGCTTAGCAGGCTGACTTGAAAACGGGTTGGACGAAGCAGAACTGAAAGGATTGCTCGACCCAGAGCTAAAAGGATTTGCGCCGCCGCTGGAGAACGGATTCCCACCAGAAGCCCCCAAAGGTTTCGCTCCAAACAACGATTCTCCAAGGCCAGGCCCATCCTGCTTCTTTTCCTCCGGCTTGCTCTTCGCCTCGGGCTTCTTCTTCTTCTCCTCAACCTGCGCTGTCGTCGTTTCGCCACCGTCCTTCCAGACTCTCACTCCTCTCAGCGCACGAACACTGCCAGCTTTCCGCCGACATGTCGCCCTACGACAGGCGAAAACGTATAGTCGCCGCTCGTGGGACGGGAATTTCTCCGGGAGCTCGCTGTTCAGCTGCAGAAGCAGAGCCATCATGTCTTTGCAGACCTTGCATCTTGCCAGAGCTGCTGATGGTGGTTTATCTGCATCGAGCCAATCCTAAACATCCATCTCATTTAGCATACCCTCGTCTCGCAAAGCTTTGGCGCAAAGCAATTCATTGTAGAGAGCAAAAGCGACATACCGGAGTGCCTCCCAGTTTGCTTATCGTGTCCTCTTCAGCCTCCTTGGAAGCATACCCAAGAAGGACATTTGTCTCTGTGAACTCGCCGTCCGAAGAGTCGGAAGCGTAATCTGCCATTGTCGCAAAACTGCCTGCAGGCTGGAGGCTTGTGATTTTGGTTTGATGTACCTATTTCAACGATTGGTGGGGTCAAGATTTTTTTTAGGTGGAAGATAATCTGGCGGCGGGGCTTATCAGCAGTACAGGCTCTACTTAATCCAGTATCATGAAAATGACCACCTACAATGAGACAAGGAAATGGATATAAACCACAAACACGCAGCTGTATTAAAATGCAATAGTAGATAAATGGCAGTGCCTAGATGTTTTGAGCCTGTTCCGGGATGATTTTTGTCTACCACTAGTCTGAACAATAGATTCAATTCATTACATGCCTTCCTCAGGGCCGTCCATTCCCGGGCCAGGTCCTGCAGCTCTGCCCATCTGTCGAGCCTTCAACAACTCGTCGCAAAGCAGCAGGTTGGACGCAATGCCTGAGCTTGACGCAATGCAATTTCTCAAGACTCTAAACGAGTCAAACACACCTTCCAGCTCGGGATCCATCGGCTCTCCAGTCTCCAGGTTCAGGCCAACGGTCTGGCCTTCAGCATACTCGTCTTGCAGGGCAGCAACTGTGATTTGAACGTTAGTCTTACACCCTCATACTGTGAATCCGTATCTTGGTATCAACTTACGGGCATCCTGGACATCGTGTCCGGCGTTAGCAGCAAGGGTCTTGGGGATGATGAGGAGAGCATCGGCAAAAGCCTCCACACCCCACTTGGCCTTGCCCTTGACCGTCTTGGAAAAGGCATCGCTCTTGAGGTGGGCAGCACAGGCAACCTGGAAAGCACCAGCGCCGGGAACGACACTCTTGTCAACAATCATGTTGTAGACGCTTCTTAGGCCATCTCTGACAGCATCCGTAACCTGGGCAATGGTGTGCTGGTTGGGTCCCTTGATCAAGACGGTGACAGACTTGGGGTCCTTGACCTCCTCGACAAAGGTATACTTTTCCTCGCCCAGTGTCTGCTCGTAGACGAGACCAGCCCATCCGAGAACATCAGGTGTTAGGTCGTCAACGCTGTTCTGAGCAATGCCGCCGCAGATGAGCTGAAGTCGCTCCATGTTCCTTCTCTTCGCTCGTCGCAGAGCCAGGATGCCGTTCTTGGCCAGGACGTCTAGGGAGAGAGGGTCGATGCCCTTCTGGTTGATGATGGCAAAGCTCTTCGTTCCATCGTCACCGCACACCTGCTTCTTCAGCTCAACAATCTTCTTGAGCTTGGCATCGATGAACCGACGCTCACTCTCAACAAGCTTGTCTCGCTGCTCGGCGCTTGAGTAGAAGAAGCCAGAGTTGATCTCAGTCTTCTCATACTCCAAGCTGACGTTCATTGTCAGGATGTAGCAGTTCTCCAGTCTCTTGGGCATGTCGGGATGTCTGGCACCGTGGTCCAACGCCAATCCTCGGATGAGCTGCGTGTCTGAGGCGGTACGGTGCTGCATCTTCATAATCTCCACCATGTGCAGATCGGGCTTGGCAGGGGCCTGGTAGATGGCCAGCACGGCATCGACGATATCGGGGGTAAGCTTGGCTGCTAATGTCGCGTTAAGCTTCGTGGCAAGGGATGTTCGGGCAACGTTCAGCAACAGTTCGCGGTCGACCTCCTTGGCCAGCTTGAAGGAGTCCAGGAACTAGCAACAGTCAGACACAACTCGTGAAATGGCAAGCGTTTCGTCTTCACCTTGAGAGCCTCAGCCTTGGCAATCTCGAAGCCGTCAGTGATGATGCGAGGGTGGAGTCCTTCCGAGATGTATCGGTCTGCCTGCTTCAACAGCTCTCCCACCAACAGCACCACGGACGTTGTGCCATCGCCGCAGATATCGTCCTGGGCAGTCGCGGCTCGAGCAATCATGACGGCAGTCGGGTTTTGGATTTGCATTTCTCGCAGCAGGACGTTTCCATCCTTGGTAAGCTTGATCTGTTGACGGGCGAGGGTTGGTTAGGAATAGGGGGTCGGTCACTGAGGGGTAGTAAATTGGGCATCGCGTACCTGTCCGGCGCCGTCGACGAGCCTGCAACGCTGTTAGCACTGATAAGATGCCGCGAATGAAGTCTTTTGTCTTACATTTTGATCGTGCCTCGCGGTCCGAGGTTGGACTTGAGCACATCTTGCAGACCCTCGCCAGCGCTGATGTTGACCCTCAGAGCTTCACCCCTCCTCTGCACCTTTGGTTAGACGACGGCAGCTCACGAACAGCAGACAGAGGACACACGCACTCGGGACTCGGCCTTTGGGTTGAGAAGTTGTGCCGCAGACATCTTGGTATCTCTGAGCTCGCCGGATCGATTATAAATCTCGTGGGCTCCGTGGTGGCAGTATCGTGCTTTCGACAAGCTTCCCTCTGCCTGGCACCGACCCGCAATCAGAGTGGTGGGCTGGGTACTTTTTTCTGCCTTGTCCGGTCGAAGGCGGTGTGGTGGGGGTTTGACTGTCTCTCTGGGCTCTGTATTAGCAAGCCACTTCACTCACTCCGCCCAATTGCGGGCTACCCACTCTTTTAACACGGTGTATCAAATACCACTTTGATGAAGAGGGAGAAAGTTTTCCAAATCGAAGAAAAAGAACACAAATGCATATGATTAAGTAAAGAAAAATGTAATATAGACGGTGGTTAGGTACGCAATTGGTAAGAAGCCCTGGCCTTTGATCCTGGTGCCCCCCCCGCCAAAAAGTACATACAGCTCCCTATCATCAGGAGCCCCTTTTCGTCCATATATATGGTAATACCAGGCAGGACTGTACCTCCGATCCCATAGAGACGAGACAAATAGCCGCTCAAGAAAGCGTCACCGTATACCACGGCTACTGGTTCTCTTTCTTCAAAATACTACACGTCTATGCACTTATGCACTCCCTCTTGTGCTGCTTCCAGTCTTGCCTCTGACACTCTGTCGAGCAGTAGCTAATCTTCATACACCCCTTGCACTTCTTCAGCTTCAGCCCGTCCAATTGTTCCGTCTTCCCACATGTGTTACATTGCTCAGTCTCGTCAGATGATTCTTTCACCACCAACTTCTTCTCATTGATGACTGGCTCAACAAAAGGGACCGAGTACATCGGGCTGATTGCAATTCGCACCGCGTACTCTGCCGCCTTCTCCCAATAAGGCAACCCAACGAAGTCATTCGGTAGCTGTCCATTGCCACATGAGCAGAGCCATTGTTTCCCATGCTCAAAACTCAGCGGTACGGTTGCGCCGTCCTTTTTGTATTCGCAATTTGGAAGATGGTTCCAAGTACGGCATCGCTCTACTAAAGACGGTATAGTCTTTTTCCAAAGAGCCAGCTCCTCATCGTTGACTATCATCGTGCAACCTCCCATTGGATCCAGTTCGTATAGGAATGTCCTCAACGAGTCGGATTCCAACATTTTCAACGAAAAAGGGATGATGGCGGCGTCCAACACCACGGATGCCGTGTCGCCATCCAACCGTAATGCCGATACTAGAATAACTGCCTGGATACCGCCCTTTTCTGGGTGCTTGATAAAAATCAGGCCTGTTTGACTTCCTTGTACGCCAGAGGAAACCATAAACATGGTAAATAGAGATTCCTTGAAATTAACGCGCACATCTGCTGCAATTCCCGATGTATCCACTCCATCTCTAAGCTGCCTCTCCTTGACGGAGAATTGCAGAGATGTTAGTGTCGTCAACCATGACAAGCGCCCCTTTTCCTTCAAATCGATGATGGGCAAGTTATCAAGGTTGAGATGAGGCATATTAACAGCCACAGGAAGACCGCGAGGCGCAATCACAGTAGGGGAAATAAAATCTCCCAAGACCTTGCTCTGCTTCGGATCTGCCAGAGGGGCAATCACCTCGATGTATCCAGATGTACGAGCAATACGGGTTTTGCTGCCGATGCTTGTCACGGGAATTGGATATCTGAGCGGGCAGATCAACTCTTTCTTACCAAACACGACGTTGATAGTAAAGGGATCACCCTGCTGTAATTCGATAGGTGCCTTATTCTGCAACAGTTTTTGGCCCATTTTAGAGGAAATCTGCAAGTGTGCAGTTAAATATTCGATGGCCTTTTGATTCGAAGGCAATTCGGCCATCAATGTCATAGGACCCTCGCTGCCCACCTTGGCAACATCATCTTTCAATGGTTTGACGCCGCCACTCGTCACCTTGTGCGCTATTGTGCCTGGCATAAGTTTGGATACGAACACTTTCGTTGTATCTGACAATGCTGCTTCATAAACCGTACTCGACATGCCCAGCATGATGGTCATAAGAGCGGTACTAGAAGAAGCCATTGTTAGGTCTAGGCCAACCAAACTCGTTACTGGCTCCTCCACCAGCGCAGCTGTAGGCACCAAAAAGGTTGCTACCAGAGGTGATGTTCCTGACCAACAGAGCGCATCTTCTTCTATGCTCACGATTGCATCTCCCGAAGCAATGTCGCCTGTTGTCGTCACCCGGCCAAAAACAACATGAACATCATCAAACACGTCGAATCTCTTCTTAGAACCGTTGCCAGTAGACTTCAGGGTGCCTACTAAGGTGGGAACTGAGGCTGTCGGCTGAGGTTGAGGAAATAGTTTGGCAAAGGCATCTCGAGGGACAACCAAGGTGACGGCTACCATGGATGGGAGATGCTTCCATCCACTAAGAGGCCTTTGACGAGGTACCGTCGCTACGACGTCATCATTCCTTGTAGTATGGAGGGAAGAGAGAGATAGCTGGAGGCGAAAGTCTTGTGCTTGTTTCGCAGTCATGTGCAGATTTCTTTCTTCTTCTATACTCTTTAGCAAACCGCTGATCACTGCATCCCAATCAGTCTTCACTCGGCCCTGGATGACTTTGAGTAAAGCAGTGAAGCTCCCGCGATGGAAACGGGGATAGCTGTGCAGGACCCTTCCACCAGAGGGCTCATGGTGACCATCGTCCATCTCGTTTGCAAACATCTCAGAATACATCTGAAATAGAATCTCGGTGACGTCTTTGGCTTTCATGTGCAGCTTGGGTCGCTCCATGTCATAACCACCAAATTGGTCGTCACGCTTCCATGCTAGACGAACATGAAACTGAGTCTGTGTCGTATCTCCAGCTTTGCCCATCGCCGATATAAAGATCTCATCAACGTGAGATTCAGCCTTTGCATTTGTCCAGGCATGCAAAGGGGTAAGACCCAATAACAGAGATACTGTGGATGATGGGCCGTGTAGCACCTGGTCAAGAGACTGTTTCCCAGCTCTGCGGTTGTCCAGGAGCTGCTCCGTATAAAGTGTTGCCCAAGGTGTGGCTTTTAGTAGGGGTGCTGTAGATACGAGGATATTCAAGACTTCAAAGTGATCCGATAAGTTGGAAGTATCGATGGCGTCGAATTTGATCGGCGCACTACCACCACGCCCATATGATGCCTTGTCCAAGCGGAGGACTTTTGAATCCCACAGACGCCTGTACCAGTTCGCGGATGCTTCGTCGGCTGCATCAGAATATTGGAGAGTATGGCTAAATGCGAAAGCATCGGAAATGACAAGGCGGACACAGACACTGTCCTTTAAGTTTCTGAAAGCTTGAGCCCATGCAAAGAACTGTACCCTAGCTGCTGCAGCAACTTTATACTTCTCGTCATCAACATGAGGCTTCAGAGGAGAATTCGCTGGCAAATCTGTGAATGCCGTCGCGAGGTGGAAACTGAGCAAGGGGTCATTGCCATAGTGGAAAAGTTCCCAGTCGGAGAGCAGGCCAACCAGCATAGGATTCGGTATCCTGGCAGTTTTCCCTTGAATCATTGCGACTCCCGTTTTCCAGTAGTGTTGGAAGTTTTCGGGCAAGGCAAACTTGGATGTAAGAGCGAGGGGAGCAGCTGATCGCATCCCTGTTAGAATCATAGAGCCCTCCTCTATGACTCCCTTAGATAGGCCGAGGCTCGTTGATAGCTTGGTAGCTTGCTTGCTTCTGTCATCTTTTTCTGCTGCGCCAAGAATGCGCTGAAGGGAGTCGCGAACATCACGCAGGGTATCCTCATCGCAAATTTTGATGACTGAGCCAAACGGGCTAGTGGTGAAAGAGTCGAGCGATTCCAGCATGGGAATGATTGACTTGACATGCCGGACAAGCCGCTCTACGGTCTGTTCGTCCAAGTACATGTGGTAGTATATGTCCCAGACTGCCTCGCTGTTGATGACTTCTCCATTGGCCAATATCATGGTCAGCAGGACTAGGTTCCGTGCTGTTGAATGGTTAGGATAATTTATTCATAAAACACAATCTATGCGGGATGCTGGCATTTTCAAACTCACCAATGATATTTTCGTCGATATCACAGCATGTAAAGTCCAGTTTTCTGCCAGCTAAAAGACGAAGAAACTGTCAGACCAGATGAAACTTAGTCCACATAGAAAAAGTAATGTTTGAGCTCACGAAGTCCTTGCTGCACATAGGAAGTGTACAAAACATTCCTCAAATCACCGCAACCAAGTGAAAGTAAGCTGGCATCCTGGCCATGGGGGATGCTTCGTGCCAAATTCGTCGCTGGCGTGTTCCCGATGGCATACAGCCATCGATATCGGTAGGCATTAGTAGGCGTCAACATTTTTGAAAGATCAATGCATCACCGGCAAAAGTAAAATAAATGCTAAATATGAGAGGTTAATGAAATATCAAAGAGCAAACAGCGTCAACATCTACTGATCAAAGCATCTGGCAGAAAGTGAAGCTGGCGGAAAGAAAAGAGAATTGAGGGCGGGGAGGTCCAAGTGTGTGTACTGTGAGAAATAGGGTAGCAGCTAAAAGGCACCTGAGCAGCCTTATCTGCCAGAATCTGTCCAACTGGCGAGACGTCATTAGCATCACACCGCCGGCAGAAAAAAACCAAACATGTCCTGCTTTTAATTTGATTATTGGACGTACGACAGCACGACGCCCCAATCATCTTCCATCAGATGCAGCCACGAATTCTCTTTTTCGCGATGCGGTGAAGGAGATAGTTCATCTCTTCTCACTCGAGCGGCGATCAGCAAGTTGCCTATGGACTGGCTGCGGACAAGAAGATTGGATGAACAATGGCAGAGGCGTGTAACATTGAATCAACATCACGGGGAACACATCACAGAGGCAGTCGCTATAGTTCCACAATATCCAGGCTCATTCGTACTCTAGTGTCCCTAGGTAAATATCCTCAAAACTCCGAACAAATAGCCAAAGAGGGACCCGGTGCCGGATTCCCGTGGAGGAGCCTCGTTTCCAAGCATCAAACGCGTTGTAACATGACAGCATATCCAGACAAAGGAAAAAATACAATCCCCCAATTTTAATCCCCAAACCCATTCCACCCCCGTATTGTACAATTGAACTGACACCATAGTTCCAACATGGCCAGCCGTGGTTCTTACACAGCAAATAAAGGCCAACGGGGTGTCGCAAGAAACCTTATAACGCAAGGAAAAGAAGATAAAATTATCCCGATCATTAGACCCGGTTCAGATTAGGGCGTCATCGTAATATCGACTCGACATATATAAGACAAGTTCAGAATATATCATGGCGCAAGTAGGTATATTCGACGCATTTGAGCATCTCATCAAAAGTAGTAGCCGTTGTCGTTGAGCATGCTGACGGCTACACCGTTGAACTCGTCGAATTTGGGCATCATCATCAGACTCTGGTCACGATCCAGCGGGATGAAGCTGTCGTCGTTTGTGAACTGGCGAAGTAGATCGTCTTCCTGTTCGCTGATGCTCAGGGGCAAAGGTGCGCCCATGGTTGTCAAGCCCATCATCATACCGCCGGCAGGGAAGCTGACGACTTCATCCGCTGTTGTTGATGTGGCGGGATCCAGCTCGAAAAAATGAGAGGGCGGCGATGACGATGACTGAGAGAGACCGGGCGGCGTGTTGTAGTGGCCTGGTGTGCTCTTTCCGGGAGAAGAAGGATGTGAAGCCCTCTCCATGATTGCTTCCGGGGATACATATGAGTGCACACTGGCTTCTGAAGTTGAAGGAGATGCGACGACGGTGCTGTTGACTGGTGGATTGGGTAGGCTGGGCATCGGGGCCGACGAGACCGAGCGCGGTGGTTCAGCTTCACGTTCGATTTCAATATCCAGCACCTCATCCAGCACATCGAGTTCATATCCGGGAGAGCCAACGTTGGAGATGTCCGAATAGCCCGAAAACGAAGAGATGGAGCTGATGGACATGTTTTTCTTCCTGGTCTTTGCGGATTTCTCAAGTCGCGCGTCCAATTCCGGACGGTTCTTCTTAGGTCGTCCTCGCTTCACGCTCTTCCTCACAATGCCATCAAAGGCGCCGACGCACATGCCTCGCTGACGGTGTCTCGTGAGAGCATCATGTCGCGCAAACTTGTTGCCGCAGTCGCAAGGGTACGGCTTGATTCCGGTGTGAATCTTGGCGTGTCTCTTGAGATCGTGCTGCCGAACAAAGCACTTCATGCAGGCCGGGCACTGGTACTGGCGGTCGTTGAGATGTGTCTGGACGTGGGACTTGATGTTCTCTTTGCGGCCAAACTGTTTCCCGCAGTCCTCGAACAGACAAGTCCACTTGCCGTCCGTCGTCTCGGGTCCCTGGATGAACTGGGCAATCTCTTCGACAGTGACCCCTGTCTCGGTTCGCGTCTCATCGATATTGATATCGGCGATGCTGGCCGCGCTCGCGATGCTGGCCGCTGACTCGGTGCGACGATGGCGATTAGGGCGATCGGCAGGAGAATTCTGCGCGCCGTAGCTGTGATTGAGCCGAGGCTGCGGCGGCTGAGCAGTATAACCGCTGCCAGCTACGGGCATCATCTGTGATCCTTCTAGCTTTGTCATTGGGTGAGGCATCCAATTATCAGCAGAAACATTGTCAATGCGCCCTGGTAACTTAGCTGATTCATACTTCATATTGTTCATGTTCATATAGTGCGATGTCTGCATGGGTATAGCGTTCAAGGGCTTGTCGCTTGGAAAGGCGCTTGGGCAGGTTGTGCCTGTAGCAGCTGAGAGGCTCGGCTCGGCTTGCTGTCGCATTTCATCAAACATGTGCGTACGGATACCAAAGGCAAAATTGCTCCAGTGACAAACGGTGAAGTTGGTGAAGAATGAATGGATTCCAGATCCAAGTTCAAGGGCCAGCTGAGCTGCAGTAATGGTTCCCAGGAGCTCAAGTATGGGATGGGATGCCGTCGCCACGGCAACGCGCCAGCGCAAACGTCTCCACCAATAGCCCGCGTCTATCAGGCTAGATGTGGCAGCTTAAAACAACCGGGCAATATTGAGACAAGTCCAGGAACAAAGAAAAGAGCTGCTGTGTGGCGATGCCGTCCGTGTTGACTCCCGTGGTCCGCAGTTGGGCCAAGGATGGATGAGTTGTCCGCCCGTTACTGGCTTTCCCATGCTCATGTCCATGTCGCTACTCCATATCTCCATGTACACATCTCTCGCTTACTCTATGAACGTGAGATTGATGCAGGTGAACTACAGCATTACTTCTTATGAAAATTCGAGAAAATCATATACTGGAACATGACTCTGGCATACCCGTACGAGTACTTTACAGCATCTAGTCTATGACGGCGGCGATAGATTGATTCCCCTTAGCAGGAGACTTCGAGGGACGCCATGTTTCACGTCGAGATCGATATCTTACCTAGGTGGTAGCCAGAGTGTCTGTGTTTTCACACCCATGCATCTCTTGGAAGTACAAGTACAAGCGCAAGACATGGATATCTCCCAAGGCTGTGCCAAGCAAGCACCAGTTGCTTCCTCAGCGCTTGTTTCGTGACCGAGCACATGCAATCCGCCCGCACTATCTGCTCTAGACAAAGTACCGGTACCTCGTACTCGGTGTTTTCTCATCAAAACGGCCCTATGACTACCTTGATAGCAGCTGACGCGCACCATGGCAACGCAGATTGCGCCCATAACATTGGATGCGATCGTGCTAAGCGCTATGGCTTTTTATAGTAATATTTATCGACGTCACCAAGGCTGCCCGAAGCGGAAATTACTCGCCGGGCAATCTCGCTCCAGGGCTTGGTGTCCTCAGCAATAACAAACAAGCTGAGGCCAATCAATGGGCCAAGTTAAATGAGGGCCGACTCGTGAGCAGGAAAAAGTACCAGACGCAGACATGAGTACAGTAGTGCCGCGGCTGAGGGAGTAAATATTATCATTGAGCAGGCCACTAAGACGACGTAGCGGCCATCCATCTTGGGGGGACCATCAACATTACTGCATTAGAACAAGATGAAGACGGCATCTAGACGCCATTCGGGCGGGACGGGAGCGAAGTGGCTGGCTGGAACACGCCACTGTTGAGCCACTGCCGGCTCGTGGATTGGACTGACAGATGGAAGGGGACCAGCTACTGCACATGCAAGATGCTGATGATACGATACGATGCATTCCATCCTGGGGTGTCTTCCCCGCTTGCTCACGTCGGAAAGCCTTGCCTGGGCGACGGACCAAGGAGTATGTACCCAGCTAGTAGGACGGCTAACTGCTGCTACGACATGGCACCGCTCCCAACGAGCTGGTACATCCATACCTTGATATGGAGTGCAGAATACCGTATGGAGAATAGAGAAGTGCTGCTAGAGCATACAGTAGCATCAATAGGTAGGGCGATGGTGCCCATGTTGCTGCATTCTAGCTGCAGGCCTCACCTACATGAAAAAATGGAGTATCCCGGTCTTTGAGCTAGGTCTAGCTACCTGACATGGAGCTTGACTGCGGCATCTCGCGGGAAGAAGACAAGATGCGATGACTCCACAAAGCTTGAATGATGTTTAAGATACAGTAGTATGAAGTCATGGAGAGACAAGCAGCAGGCGACAGATGGAAAAGAAACCAGACTCGTATCATTCGACGGTTGACCAGGAGAGTACGCATTGGGAAACTTGGAGAGCAGCGTCCAACATGTACTCAGATGGTATTGCAGAATGAGACACAGCACCAAATAGTTGATTGCGTTTGGTTAGAAGTTAATCAGAGACAGTATGAGTGCGATTCATAGATCTTAGACATTGACCGCCCTTCCTAGCCAGCCCTTTAATGGCGAGAGGATCATTCACCGTCTTCACCGTCTTCACCCTCATCAACCGCCAGCTAGACTCCCAATAACTCCCCAAGCTACCTGTAAATATGGATGGCACGATCAAATTTGATGTCCACATCAGTGCCTCTTACCTGTAGATTAGTGCCTACATGTACTGCTAGTACTCTACCACGCCCACATGTACTCTGTAATGCGTCTCCATCGGACCTCTCCAGTTAAATTGAAATCATCAATGGGGCACTTCCTTCATCTCGCGAACCAGCGCCGCTACATGTTTAGCACCTGCAGCACTAGGTCGGCTCGTGCTGCGCTTTTTTTCCCTCTTCAGTGGCCCGCGATGGAAGTTTCCGGGTTGTGCGTCGCCTGCTCGGGGCGCGATAGGCCTATAAGCCGCCTGTAACCTGCCCACTGGCCAATGCCATTCACTGCGCCAACCTAACACTGGAAGGGTTCGTCGGCTGAGCGAGAAAAAAAAAAGTGCCGGGGGGATCCTGGCCAGGGCTCAATATCTGGTGACCGACCTTTCGACTTCATTTCGTCACCCTTGAAAATCCCTCCTCCACTGTCATTGGCTGCCCACTGGCTGACTCCGGAAAACTGATTTCAAGGAATTGAAATCCGGTTTGCACTTTTTCTCACGTTGCTCAACACAAGACGACGCTTCCTTTACGCCAGCATTTCCTGACGCCTTGTCGCGGATCGCAGCCATGTCCATGGTCAACGCCTCCAGAGGGAACAATCCCAGCCGGAATCAACCCCGAAGCACCACGCCGTTCAATAATGGCCCTGCCGTCGCGAGTTCCGGCATCCCTCGCCCTGTTCTAGATGCCCAGCAGCAGCCAAACGAGTCCTCTGCCAGTCTCAGCGCGAGCAGACAGAAACAATCTAAGCGCGATGAGGTACGTGATGGCATCTATCACAACAAGTTGCGCTCGAGTCAGGTGGAGAGTTGTTTTGAGGGGAGGGGGGGAGAGAGCTAGCTAGCTACTCACCTTCATGTTCACCACCCCTCATTGCAGTGGCTAACTCGGGCGAAATGTAGGCGATCCGCAGGAAACTGGAGAGCGACCTCTCCAAAAAGAAGACCCTCACGGGCCGGTCACGACAGATTCGCAGAGCCCCTCCCGGAACTGTGCTTGCCCTCAAGCCCAGCCAGGCTCTCCAGATCAAGCCTGCCACCACTGTCTCCGAGGCTGCTCAGCTGATGGCTGCGAAGAGGGAGGACTGCGTGCTGGTTACCGACGATGAGGACCGGATTGCCGGTATCTTTACGGCCAAGGATCTTGCGTTTCGCGTGGTCGGAGCTGGACTCAAGGCTGCCAACGTCACGATTGCTGAAATCATGACCAAGAACCCCCTCTGTGCCAGGACCGACACGAGCGCCACGGATGCGTTGGACCTGATGGTTCGCAAGGGCTTCCGTCACCTGCCCGTCATGGATGAGAACCAGGATATTTCGGGTGTGCTGGATATCACAAAGTGCTTTTACGACGCCATGGAGAAGCTGGAGCGCGCATACTCTTCCTCGAGGAAGCTGTACGACGCTCTCGAGGGAGTGCAGTCCGAGTTGGGCGCCAGCCAGCCTCAGCAGATTATCCAGTATGTGGAGGCTCTCCGGTCCAAGATGTCTGGGCCCACCCTCGAGTCCGTGTTGAACGGCATCCCGCCCACCACGGTGAGCGTCCGGACCTCGGTCAAAGAGGCTGCGGCCATGATGAAGGAAAACCACACCACTGCGGTGCTCGTGCAGGACCAGGGTGCCATTACGGGCATTTTTACCAGCAAGGACGTCGTTCTTCGTGTCATTGCTCCAGGCCTTGACCCGGCCAATTGCAGCGTCGTGCGTGTCATGACCCCTCACCCCGATTTTGCCCCAATGGACATGACCATTCAGGCTGCCCTGCGAAAGATGCATGGTAAGCAACCTCTAGTTTCCCCATCCTCCCTCACCTTTACTGCTCTCATCCTAGCCTTATGGCTACCACATTTTTCGTGTGCCCAAGAAGCATCAAAACATGGTCAAGCATGTGTCTAACACTCATATTTCAGATGGCCATTATCTCAACCTTCCCGTCATGAACGATGGCGGTGAGATTGTGGGAATGGTGGATGTGCTCAAGCTGACTTATGCTACGCTGGAGCAAATCAACACCATGTCGAGTGACAATGGCGAGGGCCCGGCGTGGAACAAGTTTTGGCTCTCCATCGACCACGAGACGGAGTCGATGGTGTCTGGCGACGGCAGCCACAGCCATCACCACGCTCACCATTCTCGCATGATGTCGCCCGAGGCGAACCGCCTTGGAGATAGCGTCGCTCCCAACGACTCTGCATCGCACATCGGACTGGACTCGCCTCCTCATTCCATCGCCCCCGAGGTGACGACCGCCGATGTTCCGTTCGCTTTCAAATTCAAAGCACCTTCGGGACGTGTTCACCGGCTGCAGGTGGTTGCATCGCAAGGCATAGAAGCGTTTGTGCATGCCGTTGCATCCAAGCTTGGAAGTGAACTCGACAGCATCGGAGGCATGCCGGATGTTCTGGAGGGCAGAATCGACGGTCCTGGGTTTGCTCTCAGCTACATGGACAACGAGGGTGACACCGTGTCCATCACCACCGATAACGATCTCCTGGAGGCCATCCTCCTCGCCCGCCAGGCACATCTCGAGAAGGTTGATCTCTTTGTCCACGACTCAGAGAAGCCGCCTACAACACCCTCGTTGGACACCCTGCCAACCCCAGTTTCGTCATCCACCGGCCTTCGTGAACGCCGGAGAGCATACGAGGAGGAAGAGTCAGAGAGTGAGGAGGAGGAATCCGAGGAGGAGGAAGAGCAGCGGCCCGCGCGCCGTTCGCGGAGATCAAGGACGATTGTCCACCAGGAGCAGATTATTGCCGGCGTACCCAACGACCTGCTGCTGCCCGGAGCCATTGTTACCCTTGCGGTGGTTATAATTGGTGTGTTTACTATTGCCAGAGCGACTAGCCGGTAAAAAGAGAGCAATGCGTCCCCTTTGTGGGATTCTTTTCAATAATGACCTTACGAAGAAAAAGTTGGTTGGCATTGGTAACTGTAGATTTCTCAAGCACAGACAAATCGTCATAGATTTAGGGCTTTTTTACTTTGTCTCCTGTTTTATCAAATCTCAATTTTATTTTCTCGCAGCTCAATATCATGCCATCAGTATCTGCTCATTCTCTCGTGTATCCATACCATTGATGTCAGCCAGCATTTTAACGTGCTTAGCATGGCTGCGGCCGATGCAAGATGGCGTGTCAATCACAAGCCTCAAAACGACGTGGGGTAAATTTTCCACGGGCCGTCAAATTGATGGCGGGGTCATTTTTCTGCTCGGATGTGCCTTAGCTGCTCTAAAATTCTAGCGGCTGCTTTTGCCCAGCGGAACCGGAAAATATGCACCGCCGTAGAGACCCCATCCGTACCGGCGTGATCCAAATTTTGGACCGATGCGAGCAAGTCGGACGACAGTTGGAGCAAAACGAACGCCGCCATGAATGTTCAGAGCGCCGCTGTGCGGCATGGTAAGTCAATTGGATGCGATGATGAAGATGAGAAGACACAGGATGCTTATTAAAATCTAGGCCGCCGCGCACTGGCGTCTCCCCTGCCACGAGCCGTTCTGCGACAACTCTCGACCGAAGTCAAGACGACGACAGCTTCAGCTTCGACCTCGACCTCCAATGGCCCTGCTCAGGCATGGCCGGCTCCTCAGTCAGCCGCTGCGCCTCCCAAGATTGTGTCATCGGCCAAGAAGAAGCAAAAGATTGTCGAGGAAGTCATCATGACGCTCGGAGCCAACTCTTCGCAGGAGCACCACGGAGCAGCCTGGAGCAAGCCGCATCAGAGGGGCAAGCAGACTTTGACCCCTGCCCAGCAGTATGCCGAGTTCCAGAGGATCCAGAAGAACACGAGAAGCCTTGGGTCAAAACTCGAGAAGCGCTACGTGCCCACGGAAATCATTAGCAACCCACCCCGGCCGGAGGACGTTACGCTGGAGCTGTTGATGGCGTCGCAGACACACATGGGCCACAACACTTCACTATGGAACCCGGCGAATTCCCGATACATCTACGGAGTGCGACAGGGAATTCACATTATTTCTCTCGAGACAACTGCGGCACATCTTCGACGAGCAGCCCGGGTGGTTGAGGAGGTGGCCTACCGCGGTGGTGTCATTCTCTTTGTTGGTACTCGCAAGGGCCAGATGGAGATTGTCACAAAGGCATCTGAGCTGGCAGGCGCCTACCATCTGTTCACAAAGTGGATTCCCGGTTCCATCACAAACCGAGATGTCATCCTCAGGACCCAGGGTATGAAGGTGGTTGACCACCTGGACAAGGAACTTGATGGATTCGACATGTTCAAGGGTACGGCGAGACCGATACTGCCAGACCTGGTGGTTTGCCTTAACCCTCTAGAGAACTACACGCTGTTGTACGAGTGTGGCTTGAAGAACATTCCCACGATTGGAGTCATTGACACAAACACTGATCCTTCATGGGTCACATATACGATCCCGGCAAACGACGACAGGTGAGCTGAGCTATGCCAATTGCAAGTATATCACTCGAATCCTTTTTGCTAACCTTTTTTTCTTTTTAGTCTTCGTTCAATGGCTTTGGTTGCCGGAGTCCTTGGTCGAGCCGGAGAAGCTGGTCAGAAGCGACGACTACAAGATGCCGCCAGCGGCAACATCTCATGGAGCACCTCGCCAGAACTCAGCCGCCACATGAGGAAGGAAGTGCAGGCTGCCGTCCTCAAGAGAAAGGAGGTCATGGGCCGGATGCAGGCCAACATTCAGGGATTTACGGATGAGGAGATGAAGCTGCTGAGGTCACAATATCTTGGAGAGCAGCAGGATGAGGTGACGGAGGATGATTTGGTCAACATGATGGGAGAGACAGTTGCAGCTGAAGCATCAACAGAAAAGGCGGCGCCCTCGGGGGAGACAGTTGGCGCGCGTCTGGGCAGCATCGAAGCGCAGCTGAAGAGCTTGCAGAAGAATGCTGTTGAGATTGAGCAAGCTGTGCGAGGAAGTGTATAAAATACGTATTGTACAAGTGCTACTAGATGGATGGAAAAGGGGGAAAGAGAGGGAGGGACAAAAAAAAACATTGTATAATAGATGTATATGGGCATGCTGCAAACGAGATGAATGTTTTCCCACTTGAATTGACAAACCACATCCCTTTTCTCAACCTACATCCAGCTCATAGCAACAAAAAGGCGCTGCCGATTGAAGTTGATGGCCATGGCCCTATGACAGCATCGCCAGCTTACCCTAGAAGACCAAGGGTCCAGTGGCGGAGAAACCGTCATTCCGCAGCCGGCAGCAGATAAGGTACCGCTACCTTTTTAGTCGCCGACACACAACGCAAACCAAAAGTCCTCCCAAGGTCACGCCACGCCTAACCGCAACAGCCGGTGTGGTCCCTCCAGAAGGCAAAAAAGCCGCGCTTTCGTCTGACTTTACTGCGTCTGTACTTTCCCACCGACCTTATACTGTTTCTGTACTCTTTTTTCTTTTGGTCCGAGCAGAACGTCGCACGACGAACTTTTCAGCACAGAACCGGGAGCGCGCAAAAAAAAAAGGGCAGAGAAGCGCGCAAAAATAATCGAACAGCAAATCAGACGCGGGCTTGCAATTAATGATTCGAGTGGCCTAGAAACTAAGCTTTTTTTTTTCTTTTTTCTTTTCGGGGGGGGCGGGAACCCAAAAAAAGAAAAAAGTTGCGAGGGTTCTTTTTTTATTTGATTTTTTGGGGGCTGTTTCATATTTTGTTTGCCGCGCTTCAATTGCGCTGGAGGGAACGTCAGTCTCACTGACAGAAAGAAGAAGAAAAGTCCTAGCCTCTTTTTCTTTTCTGCTTATTCCTTCCTTGCTTCTTCCTTTTATTCCCGCCTGCAGCCTGTAGGGGCTCTGCACGGCTCTTTTGGTTGGGGGATCTGTTTGGGGGGATTATTTTTTTTCTTTTTTATCCTTTTTTTCCCCTCCTGCTGCAGGGAAAATTTTCCGGGCTGTTTCCTATTTTGGAGGTGCGGTTACTTTGTTAATTCTTTTTCTTTTTACCCATGGTATGTACTACTTTTTTTTTTTTCTTTTTACCCTTCCATTCTCCCCCCCTCTTCTTATATGCCCTTCTGGACTATGCCCAATCGGCGTTTCGCCCCCCCTTCGATCCAATCCCTCTGCTTTTGCTGCATTTCCCTTCCCTTTCCTTTTTTTCTTTCCCTTGCCCGGATGACGTACCCCATGGGTGAAGGGCCATGATTCCCTCACCGGGAAGTTGTTTAAGCGGGCCTTGTGGCTGATTATCAAATCCGGCATGCACAGAGCATCTCTTGGGTAACCAACGGTTTCCTTTCTCTCACCCCCCCTTATAACGCACACGCTACTCTCCTCGCCATCATCCGGCTCAGCCCAAACGATGCCGGCCGCCGTCGATGACCCGGCCAGCCCCACAATCCATCGGGTCTCCGGCCAGCCGCCGTTTCCGGACCCGAACAACCCGATTCTGCCGCCGGACATTGTGCCTCGCCAGGTGACGCTGAGGGACCGCCAGACCGTGGCCACCATTGTGCCCTTTGCATCGCGGCATCAGATCCCCGTGTCGCTTGTCGTCTATCTGTGCGCCCAGATCAACAAGGAGATTGACGGCGGCGACACGTACCCCCTGATGGACCCCTTCAGCGCCGATGGCTTCGCCGACTTCTGGTTCCAGAACTTTGGCGCCGTCATGCTGCTGGGCAACATTGAGAGCGCCGACCAGCTGCTGGACGGCAAGGACTGGGCCAAGGAGTGCCTGGGCAGCTTCTACATCCGGCCCAACTACCCTGGCCGGAGCAGCCATGTGTGCAACGGCGGGTTCCTCGTCACCGACGCGTCCCGAAACCGCGGTGCCGGCCGCCTGATGGGCGAGGCATATATCGACTGGGCGCCGCGGCTGGGCTACACGTACAGCGTCTTCAACCTCGTCTACGAGACCAACGTGGCGTCGTGCAAGATCTGGGATGCGCTGGGCTTCAAGCGCATTGGCCGCGTCAAGGGCTGCGGCAACCTCAAGAGCTATCCTGACCGCTTCATTGACGCCATCATCTACGGCCGGGACCTTGCGCCTGGCGAGACCGAGGAGCTGGTGAGCGAGGAGCGCTTCGACAAGATCAAGTACTATTTAAAATATGGCAAGTATCCTAACGGCGCTGATCGCGCGGAAAAGAGCCGACTGCGTAGCGCCGCCACGCATTACAAGCTGCTGGACGGGGACAAGCTCATGCTCAAGGACAAGGAAGTCATCTCGGACCCAGCACGGCAGTACGAGATTGCCCGCAACGTGCACGTCATGCACCACGGCGGAATCAACAAGACAACGGCCACCATTGCCGAAAAGTACCACTGGAGCCGCATCAAGGAGACGGTCAGCGACGTCATCCGCGCCTGTGCCGAGTGCAAGGAGCTGGGCAAGACGCCGAACCCGGGCGGCACCAAGAAGATGGTCGCGTCCACCACGTCTGCTTCTGCTCCGGTGGCCGCCGTCACGACGCCCGCGCCGACGCCGATCCTGCCGAGCAACGGACCGCCGAGGAACCACTCCATTCCATCCAACATCGCCACGACCGGGCGGATCCTCGCCTTGCAGAGCCATGACACGATGCTGTCTCTATCACCCAGCACGAGCCCCAGTCCGAGCGCATACGCAAACCCCAGCGACATCTCCGTCATTCCACCCTCGCAGACGTTCCAGCCCGCCCAGGCCCTGCATCACCACCAACAGCAGCAGCACCAACAGCATCACCACCACGGCCTGCCCCCGGACGCACATCACCACCACCACCTGCAGGCCCTGCACCACCACCAGGTCGCCCACCAGCAGCCGTCGCTCCACCACCCTCATCACCAAACACACCACCATCACAACCCCATGCTGCAGGACCAGCCTAACCAGCACGAGCCGCACGTCTACCAGCCCATCGACCCGCAAATCATAAATCATCACCACCATCACCCGCAGCCTCACCACGATATGGGTTTCGAGCATTATCATCCTCATGCAGACTTTCAGGCTCTACTTAGTGCGACGGAAGATGTGCCCACACAGCCTGATGATACTGTCCCGCCTTCTGTCGACACGGACCTGGAGATGCTCATCGAGCACGACGCAGTAGACGACGACGTGGATGATGTCGGGCCTAACGACCACGCGAACCACGTTATGGACGACGACGTAATGGTTGACGGTCTTACCGGTGGCCCGCAAGTGATGCGAAGAATAGGCCACCGAGACGGAAGGGGCATATACGACGTCGGTTTTGGCGGGCCCTCAGGATAAACCCGCTTATTCTCTTATCTTTTTCGATTTTTTTTTTCATGTCGTCTTTTTTTTATTTTATATATGGCATTGTTGAGAGTTGGGGGAGTTGTGTGCTGTTGGTTTGTTATAGCGTTGGGAGTTTGTAGCTGATGATGAATGTGTATGGGAAATAACGGCTGATATAGTTGTTGACTTGATGTTGGGATGTATATACGGCTGCCAGGTATGATGGAGATACCTTTATAGATTTCACATAAAAAATACACTCTCGTTTACCCTTTTAACAATTAGAAGCCAGAAGAAATACTAGACAAGATAGAATCAAGCAATATTAAAGAAAATTACAATCGTCGGAAAAAGTTGTCATATCAAAAGTCTAGTAGATAATAGAGGCCATTTTCTAGGTATCTTACAGATCCTCAAAACCTCCATTCCGTTTTTTGTTCGTTCTTCCTTTTTTGAAATGCTTTATATTTCCCCTGCGCCCCTATCTACTACCCTTTTTCTCTCTCCCCAAATCTACCGTCGAGGCATGCCCCGTCCTCTGCCTCTGAGCGCCCTCTGAGCCGCACCGGGAGGAAGCTGGCCCGGCGCCTGGGGCTGAGCGCTCTCCTCGTTTCTGATGGTCTCGTCGACGCCGAGGATCAAGCAGCTGGCCTCGGTGGCGGCCTGCAGGGCGTTGATCTTGACCAGGGCAGGCTCCCAGACGAAGCGCTCCAGCATGTCGGCGGTGCCCTCGTTCTGGAAGTCGACGCCGGCCCAGGTGTTGCCCTTGCGGTGCTCCACGCGGAGCTTGTTGAGGATGTCGGTGGCGTCGAAGCCGGCGTTGTCGCACAGCTGGCGGGGGATGATCTCGAGGGCCTTTGCGAAGGACTTGATGATGGCCTGCTGTTTGTGCGGGATGTTCTTGTCGGCGAACTGGTGCAGGTAGGCCGAGATCTCCATCTCGACGGCACCACCACCGCCGACAATGGTTCGGTTCTTGACGGCTCGCTTGACGATCATGATGGCGTCGTGGAGTGATCGCTCGACCTCGGCAATGAACTGCTCGGCACCACCACGCAGGACCAGAGTGCACGTCTTGGCCTCGGGGCAGCCCTCGAAGAAGTTGTATCTCTCGCCTCCAATCTGTCTCTCCTCAAAGGTCTCGCAGGTTCCCAAGTGCTCGGGCAGGATGTCTGAGCATGTTGACTGGGTGACGGCGCCGGTGGCCTGGGTGACACGCTCCATGTCCTCGGAGGCAACGCGGCCGGCACAGAAGATGTCTCGGTCGGCAAAGTACTGGGTGGCCAAGTCGCCAATGGGCAGCTTGCTGAGCACAACCTTGGCACCGGTCTTGGCGACGGCCTCGAGCTTCTGGTAGATGATCTGCCACTCGGCGTCGACGATGGCCTGGTATTCTGACACCTGCTCGACGCGGACCTCGGCGTTGTCCTTTTCGGCCTTGAGCTCCAGCTCGACGTTTAGGCAGACAATCTTGGGCTTCTTGAAGGACTTGGGCTGCTGCTCGAAACCGGCGTAGGCAAACGTCTTCTTGAAGGCAACGCCGTTGACGAAGCGGGATTCGGTCAGGGAGCCGCCGGGAATCTTCTTGATGCCAATCAACTTTTCGTTTAGGTCGTTTTGGTCGAGTGATAGGACGGCGTCAACCACCACTATGCCACGTTGTTAGTCTCGTGCCTCATCATCCACCATCACGTAGCCCCGTGAAGTATATATATATGTGTTTGTATGCATGCAGTCTTACTCTTTGTGAAAAACTCAGTGTTTCGCTTAATCAGCTTGCTCGTCATGGCGGTGGCGGCCAGCTTGCTCAGGGTATCGCGCTGGCTGCCGTCGTCGGTGCTGACAGCAATCTCCTTGATCTTGTTGACGGCCATCTGGACTGCCCTCCTCAGACCCTTGATGATGATCTGTGAGCTGACACCCTGTTCGACATGCTCCTTGACCTCCTTGAGGATCTCTCCGGCCAGGACAACGACGGATGTGGTTCCGTCTCCGACCTCTGCGTCTTGTGACCGTGCGATGTCGACGAGGATGCGGGCGGCGGGGTGGACGATGTCGAGGAGCTATTTGAGCGTGTTTAGTTGGCATATTGTTGTCACCCATAGAAATAGAAGAGGTAAAGGAAAGGAAAGGAGGATATGTAGCATATTGGGAGATGTGGATTTCGACCGTACCTTCATGACCGTCGCGCCATCATTTGTAATCGTCTGCTTGCCATTCTGGTCCACCATCAACAAATCACCACCGTAGGGACCCAGAGTCGACTTGATGGTGGCCTGGACCGCCAGACACGCATTGATGTTGGAGACGATCTGGCCTTTGCCCTGCGAGGTGTCGGTCCCTGTAGACGACTGGTGTCAGCTATCGTGTCTTGTGGCCTGGGATGCGTTGGACGGGCAGCAGCGGTGGGCGGAGGGGTAAATTTGGCAAATTGGCTACCTTCTTTGAGGACGATGATGGTCGGGGTCTGGCCTCCGAACGACATTTTGGCGGTGGTTTGAGAGAGTCAGAGGCCAAAAGGGAAAACGCTTGACGACGGAGAGTTGGAAGGCGGTGGTGACGGGCGGATTAAAGGGGCAATGCGGCGTCTTTTCGTCTCGGTGCGAAGCTGTGCTGTCGAGCTCCGGAAAATTGTTGCAGCCTTGACAATGAATTTGGGTGCACGGACCAGGGGTCAACCAGCGAAAAAGAGAGCCCCTCCAACCCCTTTAGGCACTAGAAGAATCCATGAGAACCCCGCCATAGGGACGGAATGATAAAGGGATGAGGACGAGATAATGGTAGAGAAATATCAAGACAAAAATATTATAAAAATTGTTGCACTTTTATGTGAGACTTTATTTAAAAAAATTGGAATTTTAATGATTATACAAGTCTGCGTAAGGTGTTTAGGCTGATAGATTCGTCAAAATCAACATCACTCAATACACTTGACACTCGACATCCACGGTGGGCTACGTGATCAATTTCAAGAAAAAGCATTATACTACTGGTATTAATCATTATACATCAGATTTCATCAAACATCCATCCAAATCAACTTCTCAACCATGAATATCAACCATTAAGTAGGCGGTTGTGCCTTGCCTCTTCCAGGAGCAGCCTCAAACTTGGCCTTCCATGTATCCTCCTGCTGAAACATGGACACGCACTCCATAGCCGTCGGCTTGCCATAATCAGGGTCTGCACCGCCTTCTAATAGTACCTATTTTATTTGAGTTAATACTTTGTTTTAAAATCGAGACAATAATACTTAGAAAAGAGACAAAAGAAGAGGTGCGTACCTCAATAACCTCATCCTCCTTCTTAAACACGGCTCCGGCGAGGGGACTCTGCCCTCTGTCATTCACGCGGTTCGGGTCGGCGCCGTGTTGTATCAGCAGCTTGACGAGATCTGCATGCCCGTGATATGCGGCGAGCATGAGCTGGAAAACAATTGTGAGTCATATAAGCACAAATCAAGACATGTCAAGGCCGCAAGACTGCAGGCCAACTAGGCAGCGCCGCTTTGGTGGTTGCCTTACCAGTGTGTCTCCCTTTTCATTCGTCATGTTCGGAGGTAACCCAGCTGGAAGTGCCTGTTCAAAGACCGCGACTTCACCTTTTCTAGCAGAATCGTACATTCTGCCAGCAAATGCGATGGCTTCGGGTGAGAGCGTCGGTGGTGCTCCGGGAGCTTGACTGCCTGATGAGGGATCCATGGTGTTGATGGCTGAAAGACTGGTGTTTCAATTCTTTTGGAAATGTACAATGAATAGTTTTATAATATGTCGCTTTCAAAGGGTATCAATATCGTATTAAAGGTAGAAAAGAGAGGATGAAAAGAAGAATATTCACGATGCACCAAACTTTTCTATATGCAGCTGAGATCCCGAGCTCCGAAGCAGTAGCCACCGATGACGTGTGAGGACAGCATCCACCCCGGCGACGATGCTGGAATTGACTTTGGCGTCCAAGGAACAGGCACGATAAATCTCATGGAAAATATCGAGTAATGTAGCATAGACTATCCCGTAAAGCTTCTATATTCATTGTGCATCAATTTTTCTCTCACCGTTCATTTTGATGAGTGCAGCCTATTTTTCGCAGAGTTGCCGAAGAGATTAATATTGAGCCTATACTGATTGGATCAGGGAACACTTGACAGCTCACTCACAACGCCTAACCATGAAAAGAAACAGCCTTGGCAGATAAAAAGTCCGTGTAAAACTGATAGATTTTCTCAATCAAATGAAAGCCAAAATAATGTACATCGCTCGCTCAATTCCAATCCGCATTCATTCTGATAAATCTGTCACTCCCTCAGAGTCGCGCTCTTTGGGCAGTGGCGGGGGCAAGTGTATATGTTATCGGCGTATCGTGTCGTCGTCGGCCGTTAGAAAAAAAAAAAAAAAGAAAGCCAAAAAGACATGCGCTTCATAGACGTTTCCTCCATGCGCCATCTCCGAGCATGTCTATTCAATCTAGGTCGTTTCCCCAGTTCGTTTCCGCAACCAGCATTTCGACGCCGCTCTCGAGTCTGCCATTTAGACTCGGTCGTATTCTCTCATTCCCGAGCGGCCCTGTCGTCATCAAAGTTGGAGCTTGTGTTGCCCCTCAGTAATCCGCAGTGCCGTCGCCCTCGCTGGTATCGGGCTCGGTGGGAAGAGGGGATTCGGGTTGTGGCGTTTCCGGCCTGTGCAGCGGCATCATTTCGATTGATGAGTGCTCGATATTAGATTGATGCCGATTGTCTTGTTTGATGGTTTTCTGATTGATTCAGTGGCTTGTTGCAACTGGTAAAATGTGGTGGTTGTCGAAATAATGTTGTCGCCAAGGTTGAGACAGAAAAGACGGGACTTATAACGCCCCTTTCAAGGCACAGTTGCCATGGCACAGGCTGCTGTCCTCGTGATGAGCATCGTTACGTCAGGAAGTAGCATTTGTGTAGCATCTGAGCGTCTGCCTGCAGCGGGTTGGACAAGCCTTAAACAATGACTGAGCGTCTCTGTGAGAGGACAATGCTGAGGTAAAATGGCTTGGGGGGAAAAAAGAGGCGCCACGCAGGTTGCCTCGATCTAGCAATGGCCACAGAGGTGAGCTCCCAAAGCTAATTGCATTCCTTCATCGTTGGCTCAAGGCGAATTCCTTCAGAGTAAAAAATCTAGATTACTTCTAGGCTACTTTGGCGTCCGAGTGTGACTCCGGCCTCGGAAGAAAAAAACAAAATAATTGGGTATGGCATCAGCCAATATGATTGTGATCTGGATGCAACGTGTAACTGTAACGGAGCCGGCCCTGTTCCTGTTCGCCGACGGTACAAGAGATACGGCATTGAGCTCGTAGACTAGAAATTCGTTCCGTCAAAGCTGTCAATGTCAAACGGGCCGGTCTCTCACATGTCAATCAACCGATCCAATCAAGCCATCAGCAGCCCAAGCGATTGTGTATACGGGTACTATTCAGGCATCCTAGCCCCCTGGTCTATATTGATTTCATGATCCTAAGTGGCGATCGCCGATATGGATGTCCAGTGAACAGACAGGCCTACCACATGCTAGCGGAGCCCTCCCAGCTCCAAATTCCGCGGTCTTCAGCGATATGGATTTTCGCCTCCAGGGTTCTCTAGGCCCCATCGACGCCCCCCCGCCCCCCGCCGCTTAGGCACTGCAAGCTGCAGCTCCGGCGGGCTCGCGGGCCTATTCCGGGCGCGGTGGTCCGAGCAGTGACGTATAGATCACGCCAGATGGTGATGCGAGGGTGTGCCAACTTTTCCATCAGCCAACCTCTAGTTGCTTCAGCCATGCCCGCAGAGCGAACCAAGCCCCGGCGTGGTCGAATCAGCTTCGCCAATCTCGAGAACGTCATGGAGCTTCCCCAGAGCCAATTGGCCGGACCGCCTGCAGCGCTGGGCTCGCACATGCATCCCGCAAGCTGCATCCTGCTGGGCTCGTTCGATTGCAACATCGCATGATACACGACCACTGCTGGTTTTTTTCTTTCTAGTCAATCGCGACTGCAGATAGTGCTTCATTTGCATTGCTGCTGTTACCGATAGCTTGTCTGATTGGTCCCGGCCCTTGTATCTGTTGGGCCAAGCTTCTTTAGCAGCCGTGTAAACGGGCCTCCATCGACTCCAGACCATCCACGACCTACACGGAAGTGGCAAGAGATCGAAATCGTCTGCAGCTTACCCCTGCAACGGCCTTAACAAGCTCCCGACTCGGCGGGAAGCTATAGCGATCCAAGCCGCTCTTGTCTCGTATATAACCAAGAGCTAGACTTCGCTTTAGATAGCTCTTCGTCCTTGTGTCTGAGGACAACTCCCTTCTTCATTACATACAATTGAATCTACCTGACCACAATGGCTGACGTCCAGTCCATTCGGGCATTCGGCAAAGCCCGCTCAACCGTCGAGGGCAAGCCCCTGTCTGACGAAGAAATCAAGCAATACAATGATTATTTCAAAGCCAGCTGCTACCTTTCTCTGGGTATGATCTACCTGCGAGAGAACCCCCTCCTTCGCGAACCCCTCAAGAAGGAGCACTTGAAAGCTCGTCTTCTTGGACACTTTGGTTCAGCTCCCGGCCAAATCTTCACATATATGCACTTCAACCGTCTTATCAAGAAGTACGACCTGGATGCCTATTTCGTCTCCGGCCCTGGCCACGGTGCTCCCGCCGTTCTTTCGCAATCTTATCTTGAAGGTGTCTACTCAGAAGTCTACCCAGACAAGTCACAAGATATCGAGGGCCTCCAGAAATTCTTCAAGTATTTCTCTTTCCCAGGCGGTGTTGGGTCCCATGCAACCCCCGAGACCCCAGGCTCTATCCACGAAGGAGGAGAACTCGGATACTCTCTTTCTCATGCCTTTGGCTCTGTGTATGACTACCCTAATCTCATCGCTGTCACCATGGTAGGTGATGGTGAGGCAGAGACTGGTCCTTTGGCTACTGCTTGGCATAGCAACAAGTTCCTTAACCCCATCACCGATGGCGCTGTTCTCCCTGTTTTGCATCTCAACGGCTACAAGATTAACAACCCTACAATCTTGGCCAGAGTCTCACACGAGGAGCTGAAGAACCTGTTCCACGGTTATGGATACACCCCTTACTTTGTTGAGGGAGACGACCCTGATACCATGCACCAGGCCATGGCCGCAACGCTTGAGCACTGCGTCAATGAGATCAGACGCTACCAGAAAGAGGCTCGTGAGAGTGGAAAAGCCACCCGCCCATTGTGGCCTATGATTATCCTTCGAACGCCAAAGGGCTGGACTGCACCCCGCAAGGTGGACGGCAACTATCTCGAAGGATTCTGGAGAGCCCACCAGGTTCCCATTACAGATCCATCGACAAACCCAGAGCATCTCAAGATCCTCGAAGACTGGATGCGCAGCTACGAGCCCGATAGACTATTTGACGAGAGTGGAAAGCCTATCGCTTCATTGACCGCTCTTACTCCAGAAGGTAACCGCCGCATGAGCGCTAATCCTGTTGCCAATGGCGGAGTTCTTCGAAAGCCTCTTAACATGCCTGATTTCAAGAAATACGGTGTCAAAGTTGAGCACTCCGGCGCTGTCATGGACGCTAGTATGAAGAGGCTGGGAGTCTTTTTGCGAGACGTTGTTGCGGCAAATCCTCACAACTTCCGACTGTTCGGCCCCGACGAGACCGAGTCAAATAAACTGTCTGCTGTCTACGAAGTGGGTAAAAAGGTTTGGATGGGCGAATATTTCGAGGAGGATGAGAATGGCGGCAATCTTGCTCCAGCGGGCAGGGTTATGGAGATGCTGTCTGAACACACCTGTGAGGGTTGGTTGGAGGGATACATCTTGAGTGGCCGCCACGGTCTGCTGAACAGCTACGAGCCATTCATTCACGTCATCGACTCCATGGTCAACCAGGTGAGCGAAGAAGATTTGCAATGTACACCGTCTGAGATTTCATGGCTAATAAATATCAATAGCACTGCAAGTGGCTCGAAAAGTGTCTCGAGGTGGAGTGGCGTGTCAGAGTCGCCTCTCTCAACATCCTCTTGACCTCTGTTGTCTGGAGACAAGACCACAACGGCTTTACTCACCAAGACCCTGGATTCCTTGATGTTGTTGCCAACAAGAGCCCCGAGGTTGTCCGAATTTATCTGCCTCCCGATGGAAACTGCCTGCTTTCTGGTAAGTCATTCCAAGTTACCATTGTGTAAAAATGAGCACCGCTAACGTGTCGGCTGTAGTCATGGACCACTGTCTTCGATCCTCAAATTATGTCAACGTCGTCGTATCCGATAAACAAGATCATCTTCAATACCTCGACATGGATGCAGCTGTTCAACACTGCACAAAGGGTATTGGCATCTGGCCCAAATTCAGCACAGATATCGGACAGGACCCCGATTTGGTCATGGCTTCGTGTGGTGATATCAGCACTCACGAGACATTGGCCGCCATCGACCTGCTTCTTCAGCACTTCCCAGAGCTCAAGATCCGCTATGTCAACTGCGTGGACTTGTTCAAGCTGATTCACCCAAGCGAGCATCCTCACGGTCTCAGCGACAACGAGTGGATTAGCCTGTTCACAGCAGACACGCCCATCATCTTCAACTTCCATAGCTACCCCTGGATGGTGCACAGATTGACATACAAGCGACCGGGAAGCCAGAACATTCATGTCCGTGGATACAAAGAGAAGGGCAACATCGATACCCCTCTAGAGTTGGCCATTCGCAACCAGACAGATCGATTCAGCTTGGCTATTGATGCCATCGACCGCATGCCTAATCTGCATAACCGGGGTGCAGCCGCTCGACAGGCCATGTTGAACGCACAGATTGAAGCTCGAAATGAGGCGTTTGAGAGAGGTATGGATCCAGAGTATTTGACCAAGTGGACGTGGAAGCGAGATGGTTTGTGGAATAAACATACATAGAAGGCTCTGAAAGGCTGGACATGTAGAAGATGCAGTTAGAGTGATGATTTCTCTACATAGACCTAATAATGGTGTGGTCAGGCTGCAATTTACATACTCGTATACAATATAAAAAATGGGTTTACTAAATTTATTCTTGATTCTGTTTTCGTTGTTTGCCCTGCCCAGTCATTAATATACCAAAGCCGTTTGTATAGTCGTGGTAGAAGTATCATACTACGGTGACAGTTTGGTTCATACTTCTAAGAGGTTTGATTATGCGGCTGATAGATGTCGGACTACATCTTAGGGTCCTCTATGTGCTTGTAGTTAGCTTTACTTTTAGAATGTTGAGAAACTGTATTCAATGTGACCGTGACATCTTCTCTAAACCACCATTGGCGAATAATACTTAATTTGCTTTTTTGTCATCTGTTTCTGTCATCTGAAGCACCGTATCAGATTCTGTGTGCGAATGTAGTGAGTTGAGGGAGCGTTCTAGTACCTCTAATTACTCGAGTATATTTACTATAAAGATGACACCTATTTATCGATATAAATATATTATTCAAGATGTAATAATATTTCTATTCAGTTGTCACATGGATCTGTGACACTGTGTGACCATTCCTTGGTTAAGCCTACTTTCTATTTGCTTCTGTATTAGCATAGCAGAACCCCGAGGGTTTTGCACCTTCTCAGCTTCGTCAGCTTGGTCAATTTCTCCACATGACTCAGATTAACGTGAACACTTTGAGTGGCCAGATTTGTATTGAATACCATCGCTTATCATCTTCCATGTTAGCCAAATGCTACCCACTGAAACTCTGCAATTTGTTTAGAACTTGTTGGCAGGTTTAGCGTAGAGCCTTCAGTATATTCTCGGTCGAAACAACTCCAAAAGAACCCTTTTACATCTGTATATAAAACCTTTACCTCAATATTCATTTTTCTGGTGCCTGCGAATTCAAGCATACTGAACGCCAAAAAAATTCGAGGGACCCTTCCAAATGTCTTAGCAAACTCTTGTCGTTGTATGATGTTGGATTCGAAATATCCAGCTGTGAGAGTGCCACTCTGAATATGCATGCTGTCAGCTGGGTACGCTAGCCATGATACGTGACATCTACTCCTGGAAACTGGATCATAGTTTCGAATTTCCATGTGAAACCCATTTGTCGTAATGCTATTAGGTATGGCGGAAACAATCCATTTTTCGTAGTTATTACGACCATTTGAGAAACCACACAGCCATACAACAACTTTGGGTTCTCGCTTGAACGCATTCGGAAATTCTATGTCTGCCCCGTAACCGTGATACGAGGTTTTCGCGTCTTCTCGAGAATAGAAAGAACTGCCAACTAAAATTTGCTCCATTAGCAATGTATCCGTTGAAAACATCACTAGCTGTTGCATCCTTACCTTGAAGTTCACGTTCCTCTGCACCTAATTCAATCCAAGTAATATTGGCAGAATCCACATGATCCCAACTCTCCTCATATCTTCTCCGTATGAGGGTGAATCCCGTCTCAGGAATTGGGTCTGCGCCCCAGTGCATATCAAGCGGTGAACCTTGTCCTAACGATAACCCACTGATGCCAATCATCAGACGGGGGGCTTCAGAATACGGAGGGTGAAACTTGATATGACATATGTCAGTAATAGGAGTCGAGGGAGGGAGAGGAACATCCAAAGTTGAAAATAATCCATCGCTGTGGTTTCGAAGTGGTTGTAAGATGGAACCACATGCTAGTAATTTCTCTGCCTCTCTCATCTCATCGTCACCTGCCGGTATCAGCGCTGAATAATCTTCTAAAAGTAACCGCATGACATCTGTATGGCCTCTCCAGGCTGCCCAAATCAAGGGATGTACACGAATCTTAGAAAGATTCGACTGTGTCATTCGACTGTTCGTTTCCAGGAATTGTTCTATCACGCCTTTCATGTCAGGGCGTACCCATTTTTTTAAGAGGCCGCAATCTAGGAGCAGCTTTATCACGCGTGAGTGGCCCCTTCTGATGGCCAAATCTAACAGCCCATCTCCTCCGTGGGTTTCCATGTTGACATCGGCTCCTTTATCTAGGAGTTCGGCAATAGTGTCAAAATGATCTTGATTAGTTGCAAGCCACAGGGGACTCCTTTCGCCAGAACCACCTGATCCGTTTAGGTCTGCTTGGCCAATTTTTATCAATAGTCTCACGACATCATGGCGCCCGTTCATGGCAGCGTAAGCCAGAGGTGTCATTCTATATTTATCGGCAAGGTCAAGATCAGCATTCATATCCATTAATCGCCGCAGGGATTGTCTCAGATCTAACTCCGCGCAGTGAGATGCCAGAGTTCTGCCATAATCGTCTTGGTCATTTGGGTTCGGCTTCATTTCCAACAGAGCATAAACGATCTCATCCCATCCATTCCGAGCAGCAGGCGAAAGATATTTGCTAAACTTGTGAGGAATGAAATTCCCAGCGAAGCATAGATAATACAGAGCATCTTCTCGACTGCGGTCCTCCACAGCCTGATGAAATTCGTCCATCCAACCTTGGCTCTTAATTCTTGTGCCGTTTATTCTTTTAGCGATTGTGCTGTAGAGAGCTACGATTGGATTCGTGATGCCAAACTTGGATGCCATCTGTTCGATTCCCCTTGCGCCAAACTCTTGCCGAACGTTGTGCTGCATCTGTGCAAGCGACCAGCGGTAGAGCTCACCAAGTTCTCGAAGAGCCACCATAAAATCGCTGGTTTCATCTGTATCTGCAGGGTTTAATTTATGATAGTATTGGCACGCCCAGCTTAGAACGACTTCTGCGCTACTCCACTCGTCATCCCGTCGGTAATTTGAAGCCACCGGCGTCAATGCTGATAGAACCTTTTCTTGATAAGGAGGAATTTCAGATCTCAGGGATGGAATTAAACAAGAAATGGCGTCAGAATGTGTTCCCATCCCATTGTCTGTGAAACATTTGGCAAGAGCTGAGATAGCGGGATTCTCTAGGCGAAGATTGCCACCTGACTCACTGACAGATACTTTGTCTAGTTTTCGAAATTCTAGGGCCTTCATGGAATGTAGAAGCGCAACAAAAAGCTCTTGGGCGCATATATCAAGTAATGAATGCTCTGTATCCTTCATCAAAAAGCCTTTGATGTCGACTCTCCTTCTTTCAGATGTGTTATTGCTCTCTTTCTCGGAAGTAGCAGTACTTAATGCGTCATATATTAAATTCCACCCACAGAATCTCTGAAATCCCGCGGTGGAATCATTCGAGCTCCCACCTACTCTTTGGTAATTTTTGCTTTCGTTGTCTTCTTTCGTTGTCTGATTTGTATCTTGACCGCCGAATACAGATTTCTCATCTGTTGGAATCCAATGATCGGCAAGGCTATATTTATAGCCGTTGTATAATCGCAGGTCAAGCGACCGTTTGATGTACTTCAAATCGCCAGAACCCAACCATAGGCTCATATCTGTGTCGAAAGAACTGTCCCATTCCTGTTCTCCATGGCACACAGATACAACTCTGAAGACTTTTGAGTTGAGTACCTTATTTGGAAGACTCGAAGTATCGCTGCTAGCTTTCTTCTCGCTATATGTGTCATACTCTCGTCGGGTTATGGACCAGAGCCAGAGTCCCAAAATTGCTTCAAGCTGGGAAGAATCGACACCCCAATTGATACGATCGGGGCCTGTTGGTGGTTTCAGCTTGATAGAAACAATGGTCTCTTCGCCATTAGATTTATCATAAGAAAAGGTAGCTTTAATTCTCAAATGTATGTCTTCTTTGTTTGATTGGTTTCGCAATAGAATTGCCGCAGCTTGAGAAATCATTGAGCTGAGACTTTTAGCTTTAGCACGGACCCTGACTCTCTCATCTTTCCAGGGCAGATAACTTTTCGCGTCCATGGATTCGCCAAAATGTCCAGTTAGATTCGAGAGTCGAATGCGGTTCTGAATCAGTTCGTCATTGTAAGCAACAAGCCACTCATTGGACAAATCGCTCTTGCGACTTCTTTCGAGGGTCTCAGATCCGGAGTCCTTCACAGCGACATTTCCCCATCGAATGGCTTTCTCATGTTGTCCTGTAATATACCAAAGGAATTTTTTCTCGAATCTCTGCGATTCATCCTTCTCAAAAGATGCATCTTGTACAACTATTTTCAATCTCTTTGTGAACTCCTGCTCTGCAATATCAAAAGCTAGCCAGTCAAGTTCATGGCCGGTAGCCACATCTTGCCACATAGTCAAACGATTGTTGTTCTTGTCCAAACGCTTCATCCGTAATATCCCACGTAGAATGCTCATAATGAGAGTAATCCCCAGTTGGGCAATTGAGATCCATGCGTTTAGGCCTCGTAAGCCGATGAATTGAGCGATATAACCGAGCAATACGAGCGAAACGGCAAAATAAGTGACAGCTTCGAAATTTTTATCAAAGTCTTTTGTAGATGAAGTCCACATCATGAGTCTATCTTTCCCATTTGCATCTGAATGTGCAAACGAGCCAAAAGATTGATCTCCAATGACTTGCGGCCCAGGCTGAATCCAGTATAACACGTCAGAAGACTCAGGTAGCCGTCGATAATATTGTTCATTGGTTGTTTGCCCAATAAGTGCCGCGCAGCTCCAGACACCTAAACACAAAGTAATTGTTCCGGCAATAAAGATGCCTGGAGCATAGTTTCGAGAAGCTTCACTATTCGGTTTTTGAAGATTCCATTTCAGAAGCCACACCGCGGTGCCAGCAAAGACAAGGATACCGGCTTGGAGAATAAATCCGACAAGCGCGATAACATAAAAGACCCAATCAGGTTGTCTTCTGATTCCCACATTGAGAGAGAGGTTCGGTTTTGGAGCAAGGTCTAGAAAATTCCCAGAGGTAGAGTTGACCATCTTGTTAAAAACAGCATTTCCACTTCCCGAGAACGTTATTTTTTGCCAGCATTCATTCGAACTGTCTTCCAGATAGCTAGTAAACAATCGTAACTTTTGTGGTGCTGTTTGTTGTTGTTCCTTTTGTTGTTCCTTCTGTTGGCTCCTGTTGGCTTGGCCTCCGTCAGGAATATATACAAGCTCAATTATATCCGGTCGACCAAGAACTCTAGTGATGCCACCTTTATTAAATAGCTCACAGACGTCGGCGCTCGTGGAAGTACATAGTTCAGCTTCTGTAGTGCCTTGGCCTTCCTGCGCTCTACCAATAAATGCTCGGAGCGAGGAGCTCCCACATACTCGAATAACAGCTGTGATTGTACCAATGATGCCTATAGGGGCCATGGCGAAAATAAAATAATCAATGAATGTGGTGCTCTCGCTTAGATATTGGCGAGTGACTGCTTCTCCAAAGAGCGAAAGAAGAGGCCCAAGGTCCGAAGCTAAGTTGTTGGAGAAATCGGAGAGGCCATCAGCCCTGACAACGACGATAATGGTTGCGCAAATAAGAAGAAAAAATATTGCCCTAGCCATCGTGGCCTGATAGGTGATTTCTCTGTTCAGTATATTAAACACAAGATGCTCAATATATCAAGAAGAATCAGAAAAAATATATTCGGGAATCATATGACCAAGGCGATGTGGCTATGGAACATCTTAAGGGATATCAGCTTTCGGTGCAACTGTTGACCATTATATACATATATTGGGTGGCTTAACAATGCCCGCCTGGGCAGCCAACTCCTAAGCAGCTTGCAGCAGTAGCGCATCTGCATTACAAGGCTTTCAACCCTTGTTCGTGTAGCATGCCCCCGGTCACCGAACGCAGCCTCGTCTGCTTCTTTCCAATCACCGCCACCAGTTGCATTGTGGCTTGCGGGTCTTGAGCGATATAAAATATCAGCAGCATGAAATGTTTCAGATTTATAATGTTGGGTGTGACGGACCTAGGTGAAGTAGTGTTAAGCTTGGGCAGGAAGGCATAATACTTCCTCTCATTTCCCTCGATAGCTACGACTCTTAAGTTCGAATGAGTCACGAGATGCTGTGCTCAGCTTACGCGCGAATAGAGTTTGAGGTCTTTCCATATTGTATATATAATTAGTCAAATTTGCGAGTTCATTGGGAACAAATATAGCGGTTGAATCTTGATACTCGTGTGTAATTAGTAGTGTAGTAAACCAGGTATGATCTCTGGAAAGAGAGGCGCGAGATAACACAAACTCCTGGCATGCATGCGTAAAAATTAGCCGTGATATGCGTAAAGCTGATGCTCAGCAACTCTAATTGGATGTTCGGCCGTATATTACGTGCTACTGTGTGTACCACTCGGCAAATCCTCATCAAGACGAAAATGCATGCAACGTAACACTTACATGTGTGCAATCCCCGGCGCGTGTCGGATGCGAGTTGCTCAGAATTATGACCTGATCCTTAACTCTTTTATTATCTATTTCACTATACTAGTAATGAATCTCCTGATAGGTTATGTTTTAAGATCCCCTTATCTCAGTTACCACCTTTTGACTACTTTTGCCGTCTCTCGCGACAAATTCTCTCCTGACATCTTAAGGCCTGAGACGAGGCCAAACCGCCACCGGCGCTTAGACGGCGCTTAGACGGCGCTAATCCGGTCACCACCTCGATGCCGAGCATCAATTTGATCTAGATTGACGCGGGTAAGCTTAGATCTTGCATTGATGGGGTAAGTTAATGTGAATGCCCAAGTATCCTTATGTAGTATTATCGGATACACTTATATATGCGCAAGAGAAGAGTAGGAATGAAGATTTCTGTGACTTCCACTAGAGATATGTACCAATTATTCTAGTAAATGCTTCATCGTTTATTCGAGGTAGATACCTGTAAGTAATTACGTGTAGCGGCGGACTCACGGGTGGGACAATTGGCCTGGAATCTGCACATATGCGAATGCTTCACTCAACCCTGCATCTAGAAACAACAGTATCATTGGCTCTTGCTATTCGAGGTGACTTTCAACTCCAGTCTTATACTCTCGCTCTTTAAACTATTCACCACGACCCGTCGGTGAGTATTTGGGATTATCTCTTCGTAGGTACAAACTCATTTCTACCCCCTCTCTGTATCTCTCCGCAGTCAAGATGTCTGACATCAAATGTCATGCTTCCAAACTCATTTTTACCAACGTTCGGGGACCCGCAGAACCTGACCGGGGTAGATCAAATCAGGGTTGTCAATACCATTGTGCCTGGCAATCGCCTCATACGAGGTGCCGTAGCGAGTAGCAATGGCACGGAGAGTGTCTCCCTGCTGAACAACAATGGTGTTTCCGTGACCGCGCGATCTGGAGCCAGAGCGTGACCGCGAGCGCGAGTGGTGGTGATGCTTCTTCTTTGACGAGCCGCTGGAGCTGCTGCTGCTGGATCGGGAGCGACGGCGGGAGTGGCTTCGGGAGCGGCTGCGAGAGCCGCGGCGGCGGCGCTCCTCTTCATATCTGTGCTCCTCGTATCTCTTCTCCTCCTTGTACATCTTTGCGTCGTGCTTCTCCTCCTTTCGCTCCTCTCGCCAGTCCGAGACGCCGTCCTGCAGCTTTGACCCGGCAATGGCTCCGACAATGGCTCCAACAACACCGCTTGTCTTGGCGTGGCCGGTGGCCTGGCCTCCAAACTTGGCACCGCCGAAAGCTCCGGCGGCACCTCCAGCCAAAGCTCCCATCAAGCCTCGCTCGCCCTCCTGGGGTCCGCCGTATCCCTGCTGGGGTCCGCCATAGCCTTGCTGAGGGCCACCGTAGCCCTGCTGGCCCTCGTTGCCATATGGCGGAGGGGGCTGCTGGTATTGTGTGTGATAGCCCTGCTGCTCGTTCGAAGCTCCCTCATAGTATGCGTTGGCAGAACCGCCGGGTCGGTGGCCCTGCTGAGGGTAGTCATTGTTCTGACCGTACTCGTTGCCGTAACCGTAGCCGCTCATGATTGCTTCAATTGGTAATGCTTCGTGGTAAAAGGACAGAGGATTCGAGTCTAGCTGTCTAGAAGTAGTCTGACGAAAGCAAAAAAGTCAACCGAGCAATTGGAGCGGGACAAGGCGCATTTTGTAAGAAACGACATCTACACTCGGTCCCTCGTAATACACAAGCTAGCTGGTCAACCCCAATCCCCATCTCCACTCCCCCTGCGTTCAAGAGTGGCTTATGACCTTGGCCTACGACAGGGAGAAGTCGACACAGCCCCAATATCACGCTGCCACGTATGCCCGCCAATGGGTGGCGGCCTATGGGATCTCGGAAACGGCATGTTCAGGATGAGCGGGAATGCGGTTTCCTGCAGCACGATTCTCATGTCCAGATTCAAACTGTTGGACGGTTGGATCTTATCGATTGAGCTGCAAGGAGGGACAGAGACCCCTCCATTTGCTGTCTGAGATGTGGCGGTGTATTATTTCCAGCACGGCGGGCACTCCGTATGGGTATGTGTGGGTTCATGTTAGTTGTTTGTTATACGAGTCGAATAAGGCCTCCAAGACCTCCAACTTTACAGCCAGACACACAATCTGAGACACGAAGAATCTATGAGATCATCTTTTCTTTTTATTCATAAAATTAAACTACCTAAAGAATGAGTGACCAAGATGGGTTGAGCAAAATATCAGCAACAACAATAACATATCATAACTCGTGCCATACAAACATTCATCATATTTCATTCAACGCCGAGCTCTCATGAACCCCTCTTTCCTATTTGCGCCATAACATGTGCGATTTCTCCACCCCAGAAAACGGATCCATCTTGCAGCTCCTTCGTCGTGGTGGCGCGATTGGTCTGTCGCAGCCAGACGCTAAACTCTCATCCTCGGGCGAGTTTCAAGTACATTCTCGGGTCCAGCATATGAGGGTATACTTGGCTGAATCGCGGGCCTTGACGTGATCCACCGGGGAAACACTCGATATGTTTCACCAAACAGAGTCTGATGGTGGAGAAGACTTGACAGTTGAGCTAGTCCAAAGCCAGCCCGTGTCGTGAAAATCTCCGAATAATAAGCAATAAGCATACAGTGTAAGTGTATGTGAAGAATAATAACCATAAACGAGGACTTGTTGAGTGCAAAAAAAAGAATAAGAAAAAAAAGAATAACAGGTGACGATAATAAGGAGAGAAAATAGTACCCAGCATATGAAGCAGGGGTGTTTTGATCTTTTGCGAATGACTTCAGCTCATCGCCCCTCGCGGGTAGACCGCAATGGTATTGTTTTCTGTCCGCTACTTCTTCGGCATGCTCAATATGCCAAGTTTGGACCTCTATCAAGCCACCCTAGGGTCTGCCTTTCTCAGATTTAGGCCCATACACCTGGCAAGCCACCAGACCCAATATTGCGAGATACACAAGCAAGGTGAGAACAATTTCCCGGGCAGACAGAGGCCATCGGCTGTTATCATAACCATAATGGATATCCATTGACAAATATGATGCATCGTCCGCGCGACCAAAGATACTGTTTCGAAAGCGTAGATCATGTTCGATGGGATGGCGCCATAGGAACTCAGAAGCCTCAGTTTCGAAAGCAGCAGGGGAATAGCTCACGATATCGGAATTGGCATTAGCCTCGACGTCACTTGGACGAAACCGAAACAACCAGCGGACGCGACGAGCCACCAGTTGAGACATGATGATCGAAACTGGTCGACCAAACTTTTTGAAGCAGACAACTGTAAGAACAATAGGCGTAATCGTGCAAAATTTCTTAAGCCGAGCTTCACGTGTAACCGAATAGCCTTTTACCTCTTCTTCAAGGAGAATCACAAAAACATATAGAATCCAGGCTGTTAGGGAAACGAAAAACCACGGAATGACGCCCAGGAAAAAAGTATGTCTTGGCTGTGTTTCGCGATATTGGCCTCGGGTCAAGCCAACCATACCAATGGCTAAGCAAAAAGACGCAAAGGCAGGTTTCCAGTAGGCTATGTTTGTATATGGATCTCCCATCTTCCAAAGGTCATGTTGTATCATGAAGGCATGTGAGTTGAGAAAAAAGGAACAGACGAGTAGCCCATGAGCAGCGCGGGGGGATAGCAATGGATATGCAATTGCTGGAAGTAAGACCGACATTGTGCTGAGATACGCTGGAGAAATAACTCCACAGCAAGCGACAACAATGTTGTTTAATATAGGATTTTCGAGTGTAGTAGCACTCTGCAGCCGCGCATACTCTGCTAGTATCTGTTCTGAATCCATTGTATTGGTGCTCGTTTACAGAGGATTGAGAGTGTTCAGTGATAGATATGATCAATTGGGCAAGAGAGAGTAGATTATCTGTTGCTCTTTAAATGAGAAGATGTCGTAGAAATAGATGGTGAGAGATGGTGAAGGGAAAGAGAGAGAGAGCAGCATCAGCTTTATATATGTTTTGATGGGATTGTCTGTTTACTGGCCGCCTTGTTGACTTATACTCTCAACGATGTAAACAAATCTCGTGCATGGCAACGTAAAAAGACTATTTTAAGTTCATTAAACACAGATCTCATACTAGAGTTTTAACATAACATTTGAACCGATCCCTATTGTTGTATTTATTTGTATCTATCACGAAGTATAATACTCCCAATGCCCAAGCCCCCCAAACTATCCGGAGTCATGATCCGCCCACTGCTTCTTTAGTAAACTCAGTATACCGAGCCGGAGTTAAAACTGGTAAACCACCAGGCTCCACATAGTGATACACACAAGGAGCATGGAAATCGTGTCCCTGAATAAAGTAATCATTTCCGGGGTAGAAAAAGATCGCAGCACCTCATCCCGCTCAAACAAGCCATCTTTTCCGGAAAGAGTTGCGCCATATTCAATATCAGCTGCACTGTCATCGATATCAGGCCTTAAGCTTTCCAGATTTCTGATATTATCAAGGAAATCATCGAAAGTGTACGGAATATAGGCCTTGGCGTTGGCTTCGATGTCTTCTTGGTAGAACCGGAATAGCCAGGAGACGCGGCGCGCGGTAAGTCGAGACAAGAGTACTGCAAAGTGTCTACCGAGCAACATGAACCAGACCGGAATAGAGACCAAGCTTGAAATCGTCCAGAGTTTCGTAATAGGGCCCAAGTCCAGTCCCGTAAAATACGCCATGTCGAATTCCTCCATACTGGGGAGAGCATACGCCCAAGAGCAAACCGAAAAGAGCATGACTAGCAGTAGGACACCGGGAAAGGTGTCCTTTGGTCGGGCTTGGCGTGGCCCGTTTTTGCCAATCCCTCCACCAACGAAAAAGTAGAGGATCGTTAAGAGAAATTGCCAAGCGTGTATGTGTAGATGAGGCTGTCCCTCAATATACAGCCTAGCTTGCTTGTGGTACGACCATAAGTTCAGTGCGGCCGACCAGACGAGCATCACATGGGCTACGCCGGAGGCAAGTAACGGATACGCAATTGCTGGGAGTACAGCTGCCGCTAGCCGGAGGTTCTCTGGAGTGGTAAGTCTGCTGACATCGAAGCCGGTGCTGTTAGAAGCATTCGTATAATAGGACATGGAACCCATTTCGTCCTATTATTGCGTGAGGTGGTTAAAAGTGTGTGGTAATTTGTTCCGTAAATCGTGTTTGAGAGAGTAAATCGAACGTTAGGAGAAAGAAAAACAGTGAGAAGGGTGAAGGAAGCAGAGCAGCTTTATATATATGTCTGATTACGGGACCTTCCGAAGGCGTTCTCCCCTATCTTCCGTTATACTCTGGAGCTTCTAAAGACTTTTTATATACCCATCAGGACCGTACTCAGCCCCTAAGCCACGTTGCCAGATACTTTATCTTAGACCAATATCTATCGGCTATATCTGTGCGTACTAGTTTAGGTCGATAGAAATGAGACTTATATTCATCAATGCCATATACCATTGACAAGAATATTGTTTTGAGTTCTATTTGACTAATAAAGTTCGTGGTGACTCAGAAGGATACGATTGGTAGCCAGAATGTAGACCTGATTAATAAGATTAAGGGAAGCCTTAAATATAGATGCAATTAAGCTTCCCTCCTACATCTACAGGTACCCTACCTTTTGGGTGCCTAACTACCAAAAACTCCCACCCGTTTAACTAGCTATTAGATAAAACGACTACGATTTTTTTATTTACGGTTCTATCTGGGGACCCTGGAGAGATAGAAACATTTGTAAACCCTTTAGATAATTAGAATAGAATAAAACCTATTGCCCCTGGACTAGCGACAGCCTTTAAACTACTGAAGGAGGTAACCCCCTTAGGCCTAAGAGCGGGAGAGGTTATAGTCCTCCCCTTTACCCTTAAGAAGAAAAGATACTTTAAAGAAGCCCTTAGCATAAATAAAATACCCTCGCCTAGTTTTAATAAAGTAAGACTAAGTATAGTGATAATGGTAACTGCAGCGTAGATAGCCTTAAAAGACTTTATTACTTTTATTTTTAATAATATAAAGGAAGCTATTAACCTAAATAAAAAAGGGAAATCTTTTATTAAAAATAAAATTATAAATTAAATTAATAAAATTAATATATAATAGTAGGCTAAATAAAATATAGTATTAAATATAACTATAGTTATTAACTTCTGCCTAGTGTAATATACCTTCTAGCTTTCTTTAGCAGTAGTAAAATAAGTTTACTTATATTTAAATACTACTTTTAAAAACTTTATTACCTTTTATATTAACCTTAAGGGAAGGCCTAAAGACCCTAAGAAATTAAGTAGTAAAAAAAAAGCTGCTTAATTAATTAAAATAATATTAGCTAATATATTTTATAATAAGAAAAATAAATTAAATACTACTAGGACCTTTATTATAGTAGGAGCTCCTGTATTTATTAAAAAAGCAGGCTAAAAAGACCTTAAGGTTACGTAGGTATAGATTATGTTATAAGAAAATACTTATAATAAAAACCCTTAGAAGGGAATTAATAACCTAAAGTATTCCTTTATAAGTAGTAAAGGGCTGGCCCCTGTTACTAACGGAAAGAATATAGATAAAATTAATAAATTTAAGGAAAGCCTTAATAACTGTATTTTTATTTAAGTTCCCCTAGATTATATATAAAGAAAGCTGTTAGTTATTAAAGCTAGATAAGAATTAATTAAAATTTTAAAGTTTATAAATAAAAATATTACTTACTTTTAAGAGGTTTAATTAGGCTTTACCCTTAGAGGTAAGAATTAAAATATTAAAAATAAAATTATTATACTTTAACTAGTAGTAGAGAATAATAATCTAAAAATTAAAGAAGTATATTTATAAAAGGTTTTTCTTATATATAGTATATTAAAGACGTATACTAATATAAGCAGGACTTACCCTATAGATATACTAATCTTAGAAAAGGTATATACTAGGGCAGGGGCTAAGAGCTTACTTATCTCCTACTGTAAAGCTAACTTTAGAGAATCCCTTAATATATATAGCTATTTTATCTTTTTTAATAAAAATATTAAACCTAGCTTTAAACTTTTTAGTAGCTCCCTTCCAGCGGAAATTTAGGTTTAGCCCCCTTAGGTTACTTAGTATCTGTAATACTTTAAATTCTATAACCTATAGAATTACACTAAGACTAAAAGGTATTATAAATATAGTAAACTATTTTTTAAATATAATAATATTATAGTTAACTACTTATCCCCGCCTTAGTATATTAACTATAATAACCCTTATATAGCGGACTCCCTAAAGTACTCCGCTAAACTAATTATTAAAAACAGGGAAAAAGTATAAATAATTAAAGCCTAACTTTAGGTAATTTAGGAATTAAGCTAATAGGAATATAATAAAATTAACCTACTTAAACTTAAACCTACCCCTACTTTAGCCCCTAATATTAAAAAAACGTTTAACCTAAAGACTTAAACAGGCCCCTATATAAAGCTGCTAATCTTTAGCTTAGCTTTACCTTTCCCTTCTTAAGCTTTAGCTAAAAAGGTTATTATTAAAGTTAACTTAGATAAAAAAGATCTTTATAAAGGAACCTCCTCCGCTAGGTCAGTAGTCTACGTAGCTGGCTTAAATAATAAAGAGAAAGAAGCTAAAGGTAATAAAAATATACTTAATACCCCCTTTAGAATTAACGGACCTTTTAACGTAAGCCTATAAATAATAGGCCCTATTACAGCTATTAAAGAAATACTAGCTTTAAAATCTTCTAAGCTAATGTTAGGAGGAGCGGTTTATACTAGAATATTACTTTATTATTAATATAGGAAAGTAGCTATAATATTATATTAATTTAAGAATCTTATGCTTAATAGGATAAAGTATTAAATAAAAGGTAAACTAAGAATTACCCTAAATATTAAGTATATAACCCCTTAAATAGTTAAAGGGATGCTAAACCTTTAATTTTTATATTTATTAAAATTTCTTTAAACCTTTTTAATAAATAACTCTTTCCCTTAGGCTTAGAGGATAAATATATATATTAAATAAAGGTATATAGTTATACTATTACTAACGTCTACTAAAGGGCTTTAGTAGACTTAGTTATAAAGACTTTTACTAAATAAGGCCCTCCTTCCTTTTACTTAATTATTACAGGCGACTTTAATACCTTATATTAACTTTAGGAACTAGGTAGGGGTATGGATTTAGTAGGTAATAAAATTGTAAAATAAGCGGAGAAGTATAATCTCCTTTTAGCTTTAATAAATATACTTACCTAATACTTAGGAAAATATATTAACCTAGTCTTTATAAATTACCTTACGTTAACTAAGGTTAAATACTTTTTTAATATAAGGTTAAACTACTATATAGTAATTATAAACTTACCTAAGCCCTTTAAGATAACCTTAGGGGTAGGGAAAAAATATATTTTAATAAAATACTAGGAAGACTTTAGCTAACTTATATACTCCTTTACCTAAACCCTCCCTATAGTTAATTTAACTATACTATTAGAAACTAACTTAAATAAGTATACTAAGGCCCTGCAGGACTTCTTTAAGTAAGTTATAAAGGCAGCTGGTAAAACTAGGTACTAGAATGGCTATAGTATACTATAGTAGTTAAAGAAATATAAAGTAGCCTATAGGACTTATAAAGAAGCAGCAGACAGCTCCCCTGCTTATAAAAGAGCCTGTAAAACCTTTAAAGACTTTATACGCTGCAGTAAGTAAGTTTACTAAAATAAGATTATAGCGGAAGCTAGTATTACTAGGAATATTTAATTAGTAGTTAAGTAGCGTAAGGTAATAGACTGCTTTTAACTACCTTCCTTAATAAATAAGGATAAAAGTATTTTAAACTTTATAAAAAAAGTAATTTTCTTTAAAGATAAACTTCTTAAGTAAAAGATAATAAAGGAGGATATTTTAAACTTATAGGAAGAGGACTTTTCTATTAATAAAAATATTTACTAAAATTAAATAATATTAAAGCCGGAGGCTAAAAAAACTATAATAAGGTTAGGAAATACTACGCCTAGTATAGATAGTATATTAGTTGCCTTTTTATAGCTTACTTAGCCTACTATCGGTAAGTATATAATTAACCTTTTCTATAGATATTTAATAATAAAATATTATTTATTCCTTTTCTAAAGTATAGAGATTATTATTATTCTTAAACTTAGGAAGCTGGAAAAGGTATATATTATATATAAAGGTTATAAACTTATTTTTTTACTTTTTTATATAGGTAAAGGCCTTAAAAGACTCCTAGCTAAAAGAATCTCTCTTTTAGTAATAGAATATAAAATACTACTAGAATAATATTTCAGGGCTTTTTTAAAAAGGTTTATAATAAACCTAATTACCTACCTACTATATAATACTAAAGTTACCCTAGCCTAGGGTTTTATTATCTCCCTTTTTATACTTAATATCTTTAGTATATTTAATATTATTATATATAACTACCTAGTATATAAACTTAGGGAATAAAAGTAGCCCCCCTTCTTTATAAAATAGGTTAACTCCTTTATAAGTAACTGTAAGGCTTTTATTTAAAATAGCTATAGGACTACCCTCTTAGAAATAAAGTTAAAATATAAAGCCTTATAGGGGTCCTTTATTTTCCTTATTATCTTTATACTTTATTTTTCCCCTAGCCTAAAGCTTAATAACCCTAATACCTACTTTAAGTATATAAATAATATTAGTATTATAATAGTAAGGGCTAATATTAAAAAAACCTTTTAAAAGCTTTAGTAAAAATTAGAAAATACCTTAAATTAAAATAATAGAAATATAATCTTCTTTAACTTAGATAAGGCTAAACTTATATATTTCTATAAAACTAGAACCTAAGTATATAATAAAGGAGTAGATTTTAAAGGAAAGATTATAGCCCCTTAGGACTTAGTTTAGTAATTAAAGATATACTTAAATTTATAGCTCTTTTTTAAAAAATACCTTAAAATTATAAAGGGAAAAGCCTTTAAAGTAGTTAATTTCCTAAGATTTTTAAATAAAATATAAAAAAGTTCCTTACTAAACGTAATAGCTATAGTAGCTAAAGCCTGCGTTACCCCTATAGCCTTATATAGGATAAAGGCTTTTTAGCTTAGTAAAAGTAAATAAAGTATAATAAACCTAAATAAATAAGTAGGAATAGGCTTAATAAGATTAACTATAATTTTAGAACCTTTATTTAAAGCAGTAGCTAAAGTAGTTGTCCTTATGTAGAAGATAACTAACCTCTTTATTATATATAGAGAATTAGGAGTCCCCTTAGCGTTAGTATAGGTAGTATAAACTAGACTTTGTATAGTAGTTTACTTCGTAGGTTTAAATAGGAACTACTTAATTAGCAGATATATTAATAAGAAACTCCCCCCTAGGGTTCCTTTTACCTAACTATAATATACTATAGCTTTAGTAAGGAAAATAGTTTAACCTTTTTTATTTATTAAAAATAATAAAGTAGTTTAAGTAAGCCTAGACCTTAGAGGTCTACTAAAGTTAAAGGTAGTAGAGAAATACCTAAAACTACTTAATAGCCTCCCTAGGTCTACCCTTTTTACTTACTTAAACGGGTTATAGGATAAATAAGGTAATACTAGCTAGGGAGCTGTTATATACTATAATTTTAGGAGAATTATAGTATACGGCCCCTTTACTAATACAGAGGTCTACGACGCTGAGGCAGTAGGCGCCTTTAAAGCTATAAAACTAGCCAGGACGCGTGCCTTTATAAACTTAAATATCTAAGAGATTCTACTTTTCCTAAATAACTTAGTAATAGTAGATAAAATACTAAGGCTAACTTCTGCCTTATCTTAAGGAGCTTATATAAAGCTATGCTAAATTACCTAAAGACTACTTTTATAAATAATTATAAAGGTAGCCTAAGTCTTAGGCTATAAAGATATACTAAAAAATAAAAAAGCTAATTAATTAATAAAGGAGGGTTTAAAACTCCTTTACTACTTAAAAAACTATTTTACTATTACTTTTATTAAAAAGTAAGTAAAAAAGAAATATAAGGAAATATAAAATAATAACTAAAATAATAACTACTTAAAGTTATATAAGACCAGTAGATAGGGCCTTTATAAAGCCCCTTTTATACCCCTAGAGTTATATTTCCTATGCTTAATCTTATATAGGCTACTAGTTAAAAAGTTTAAATACAGGAACTTTATAAAATACTATAAAAGATTTAAATATAATACTAGGCCTACTTATAAATACGGAGAGCTAAGGATATAAGGGTATTTTATAAAATACTATATAGTAGCTCCTTTCTTCCTTAATATACTAAAGAAAAAAGCATACTTTAGAACTACTTATATTTAATACTTTTTTAGTAATAGAGAGTATAAGAATTTCCAGAAACTAGTAGAGGAGATAAGCTTATACAGCCCCCCCCCTATAGAAATAGATACGTAAAATAAATTAATACTTCCCTATTTCCTTTATTATATTAAAATATAGCAAATGCCTAATTTAAACTCAGCGGCTCCTACCGTCCTAGTGCCTAGATAAGGACTTATGTAACTAGCTTACTTAGTGGACGATAATAATAAAACAAAATAAATAAACAATATAGATGCGATTCGAAGAGGAAGTCTATCGGGAGATGTACATATATCCTTCGGATGTTACTCAATAGCATTTATACTGAACTTAACAGCTACCAGGAATGACGCACAAATTTAGTTCAAGATGTGGCAATGCAGATTAACTTCCCATGTAGAGGCCTTCTATGTGCCTCGCTCCAGGATGACCACGGCAAGTATTAGAGGGCTGATACTGACTTGAATAACCCCCATAGCAACGAGGACAGCTCTTTTACATAGATTGGCGCTCATATGTTCTAGCTTTTGTACTTCGTATATTCAAGCCTTTCTTTTACTTCACCTTTCGTCGCAATTCCAAGGTATAGTTCAGGTTTGACTTTGCACTACTTTTCTATTGCGTCCGAGCGCGATGATTGATATAAAGTTTGCATATATATAGCTGATACTAATGCAATAAAGGTCCCTATCAATAACCCCCGAGAAATTTAATCCAAAGGCGGAGTTGGAAATGTCAATCTAAAAAATATGTCCTCCAGTTCTCTCAATAAACCATCTTCAGCCTTCCCTCCCATAGCCACTTTAAAATTCGATCTCACATGAACTCTCACCATTAACTCCAAGTGTTCTTCCTCAGAAGCAAAAGGAAGATGGAATAACCCACCGCGTATACCTTCCGTGCGGAGGCCTTCCTCCTCTCGCCTAGCCAGCAGTTCGACGTCGGGAATACCTGGATAGCGTCACCGTATTAACGTGAGATGGCAAAGGGTATGAGGTGGGGTGGGGTCAACATACCGCAGTCTCGAATTTTACCTGTCGCAATGATTAGTATCAATGTGGTGTGGCTCTGTACTTTGGGTTTATATTCCTACCTGGACGGGCAAAGATAACGGAATGAAATAGCGCATGAGAGACGATATAGTTAGTGTTGAAGGCCTCTATCCACAGGTTTTCTATCATATAATTTCGAGTTACAATGTCGTTAAGTACCGTGGTCTGCATCAAGTTATTTAACGTATTCTCAGTATAGAGCTGAGAGGCTGTACTGGTCAGTATAGCTCAACGTCCACGGATTGAAGTATTTAGGCCAGCAATAGGATGCTTACTCTGAGCAAATATATCTTCTGGGCCTTCTCTTACTTCCTCAATCACAAGAAGGTCAACCTCATCTTGTGTTGCATCACGATATCCGAATTGCTCTTTCCTAAGCAACTTCAGATAAAGCCAGTACCGTGAGCAATACGAGGCCATAAACATAGTGGAGATGATTGACCTATTTCGCATTTGGGTCATTTCACTGCAACCAACACTCAGTGATTCGATCACACTTTGGAAATGAACCATTTTCCCGGCTTGGGGAACGTCTCGATTAAATAGTGCTTTCCCACCTGGACAACAAGTAATCAGCACCAATAGTTTACAATTATCTCTCTCAATTTGCGAGGCTTTTACTTACCAAGCTTCATGTATAGTTCAAAAAAGATAGCCACTGGATTATCATGAGAAAGACCTTTCTTCAACCTCTGCATCACTCTTCGAAATTCTAGTTGCTTATCCGTTGATGGCCGCATAGAAATCGTCGGAACCATTTTCATAGTTCTCCATACAAGGGGCTTTTGAGACCCTAGGTGCTTGGCAAGAGTCTCTAACCCTCGCATAAACGAGTATCGACTGTCCGGATCATCGCCACCCACAATCTTGTGTGAGTCGCATGGTCCACTCACATAGGACTCCAGTATTTGTTTGATGTTTTCTTTGTTTCGGTAAGCGATTGTGCTGAATCCGTGTGCATTATCCAAAAAAATGTTGTTTATGGTGTTCACATGGCCATTTTTGATGGGATGATATGTAAAATGAAACTTATCGGTTGGCCGAAATTTCCCATCATATCCCGCAACAGCATGAGCCTCCCCATTGATAATTTCAGAGTAATTGTTCCTGCACTTCTTTATTGGCAGATCTTCCAGCATTGATTTCGTGTCCTCACCGTAAACACGCTGGAACGATGACCAGAGGGCATCATTACGCGCCTGGTTAATTTCCCAATCGTAGTCTTCCTCAGGATTTGGTAGTGCAAGACACCGTAAGACGATTATCAGACGCGGTGATATGGGTGCAAATTCGTGATATCCGGCATGATAACCGGCTATCATCTTGCCTGTGGCATCCCTGCTGAAAGTACTAGGACCCTCAAAAACATTGTAACAATTATCTGTCAGGATAAACTCATCTGTCACCTCTGAAGGGGTACATATGGCCATATAATACATTTCGCAATGCATAATAAACCAATACGCGTCGTCAGAAAACATTTTGCATGGGAGTTCTCTGGTCCATTTGCGTTCAGGGTCCATTTCCAAGTTCATGATTGTTTCCAGATTATGATACCACACATCCCTCGGTGTGGAGAAGTGGTGCTCCTTCATATATTCAAGAAGTAGCTCTCGATCATTGGAACAGTAATCCTCAGGCTTATCATGGTAGAAGCGTTGGTGAAACCCAGAGCCGCGATACTTCAATAGAAATAGAAACTTGCGGAGCAAATCTCTCTCAATTCTTGTCAGGGTCACAGCTGCGTCACCGGCTTCATGGTTTTTGACAATGCGGCGAAATATGGTGCTTGCTTGTGACTCCATTTTACCAAACATTGTTTCGATGCGGCGTTGTTCATTCGATGCAGTTTTGGCTGGATCGTTGTACATATTGGGGGCTCCAAATATGCGTTTTCGCGGATAAGTTTCCAATTGAAAATGAGGAGGAGTTAGGTCCACACAGTTGACGACGAGGTCGCCGGGAAACTTGTCCTTTTCATGCTTGCATTTGCATTTTTTTCTTCCTTTGTGCTCGGCCTTTGGACATTGGAATGGATAAGAGTAATTCTTCAAGATGAATTGGGGAATAAAATGTTGATACTCCGTATTAGTGAAAGACATCGCGGCAGATTTGTATGAAATATGGGAGCCAACGATGACAGGATATGGAGACAGAAACAAAACAAGCAACTGGGGAGAGAGGGTGGATAGGGAGATGAATTCAGTCGCTCAACATGGATCTAGGCTTCAAATATATAGGTATATGTAAATCATTTTGGGAGGCCAACGCATAACGTACGAATCGCATCTCATTTATATCGTACAAGCCTCATATGACTGAAGGAGTGGGCCGTATTCTGGGTTTCCATTGGCAAACCCCAATCGTTAATGCAACGGCCTCCGAGGCCACCAATCATATGTTGGCGATTGTCTCACCCAGCATATTCTGTACCACCCTCCCCTACCTTACCTTATGCAAAGGCCCCCGAGCTTTCGCGAATCAGCTCTTAATGACAGCCCAAGCATTTGATGTCGCTAGCCCAAAGGAATTGCGCAAGGCGGAAAATAACCCCCGCCTGAGAACATCGACAACCTTAAATACCCCGACTTGCCCAAGCGACCACCAAGCACTCTCTGGAATTTCTCCTCATCCTCTTTCCATTTTTTTTGCTTTTTACAGCACCCTTAGCTTTCATACCGCCAGAGGTAGTACCACATGGCCCAGCTATCACATCGATATCTGGGCCATGTGGTACTACCCTTGGCTTCTTACACAGGGCCTTGTTATTAGCAAGGTCCTGTTATCTATATCTCGATCATATCGAAGTGGCAACTGGTATGCATTCCAATTATGAGACTTGGATTTTGATGGGTGATTTGCTAACAACACGATTTTGATTCAAGAACTAATGATTTTCGGCATGGGATCCTACGTACAACTCAATGAACGCGAGTGCAAAGGTTCACTCGAAGGCGGTGGCGTTGCCAATCATCGGCAACAGATGGCCCTGCCTTCAAGTGAACTGGTGAAGTGCGAAAAAGTTGAGTTGTATGCTCGGAAACCTTGCCTCATCATATGGCCAGATTGTTATCTTCGCAACGACTCTTTTGCTTTCAAATATGGTACGTTTGTCGTCGACGTATCGCATGCTAGATGCCGAAAAAATGTTGACCATTTTCAGAAAGCCAAATTGCCGGACCCGGATAACGTCATTAAAAGGTGTCCAATTATCGTTCTCTGAAAAGAGTCGAAAATTCATAGATATTCGCAAACCAAAACTACTTATTCAACACTGCAATAAACAAAGCAGAAGCTCAGTGCCAATCATGGACTGGGCTTCACGCCAAAATCCAGATTCCATGTTCTTATTGGACCACAATATCGACTGGGATCCTCCTTTTATGGATTCAACTTTCTTCGGAGGCAACTACAACACGGATGAGCCAATGGCGGCCGCTGGAAGCCATAGCATTTCAATGCCGGGTTTTCCAAATATTGAAGAGGGTATGGGTGACGGCAATGACATATTCTCACCACAATTTGACTTTGATTTGTTTCTACAAACAAGCAATATTTTTCAACACGAGACAATTGAGCCGAATTTCGAGCCTGTTGGTGAGGACTATACAGCATTAGACACTGAGACAACTCCAAGCGCCTGGAGTTCCAGCAATACAGCTCTTTCACCAACAGACAAATTTCTCTCGGGATCCCCCCCTACTTTCCTGAACTGCCAGCTGCCAGGAATGTCATCCCACAATGAAGGTCAACCGGAGAGTCTTGGTCGGTACATGCCAATAACTCCGATGAATCCCCCAAGGAACCCTACAGATGTCCAAAAACCAAGACGACGCAAACGAAAAGATTTAGAGATGCTAAAGTGAGTGAACTTGGATTCGGTACGAGTATTCATGGCTAATGTATTTCCTCATTGTGCAGAAGAGACGAAAGAAAACTGAGCAAGCCAGAGAAGTGCCATATATGCGGATTAGGTCATGATTGGAAAAGAGATTTGGATCGTCACATGGTATCGAATCACCGAAAAGAGGCGGAGAGAATGGGACTTGATGTTTTGAAAGTATCGTGCAAATTTTGTGGGCTTGAATTTGATAGCATTCGCCGCGATCGTTTACGTAGGCATATGAAAAGAATACACCCAAATTCTCTCTAAAGTCAGCGTCCCCAAATCATGAGATATGAAATGAGTCCAGTGAAATGTAGGACCGAGTGTCTTGAAGAAGTTGACCCGTTGCATATGCTTCACTGACCCCTCCAAGCAACTATAGCAAACCGCAGGTGGTAAGAACCATTCATCCTCTGAAGGAATTGAAAGCAAAGCGCTTAACATCTAAAGTTTTTCACTCCTAAACAGCATGCTACTTTTTGTAAAATTCTTGATCATAAGTTTGTTCAACAAGTCTTAGACCAACCGTTAAATTGCCTCTCTATATTATTGAGCGTTTCCTTCTCAAGCACGCCTTTTTGCAGCAGTACTCACTCGAAGGAGTGGCCGTTGGTAGCCGCAAAATCAAGGATGCACAGCATTGACGAAAGGTGTTAAAGAGGATATGTTGTAACTATCATAGCATATCAGGTTACATATCTTAAAGAAATCTCGACCCTATTCAGTTTATACTGACTCTTCCTCGTCTTCGTCGGAGTTAGATCTATCGCTACTTCTGTCGTAGTTGTCGCTATCATCGGCCGAGTTATATGTATACTCAAGGCCGTGATCCACAGCTCCACGGCTCAAGAGAAACTTTCTCACTCTTTGGCAAAGAAGCTTCCTCTGCTTTGCTGCGTCTAATGCAGTATTGTACTTTCCCCCTTCTAAGTTTATGTCTGCTCCACGTTCGAGCAGAAGCTCAGCCACGTCCGCATGGCCATTAAAAGCAGCTGCTTGCAATGCAGTGCCGTATAAACCGCCCATTTGGTTTACATCGGCGCCATTTTCGAGCAGCCAGTACACCACAGAGACGTGACCATGATACGAAGCTGCTTGGAGGGCAGTCCCACAGCGACCGCCTTTCGCATTTATCAATGCGCCATTTCTAAGAAGCATTTCGACGAGATGTACATATCCCTTGGATGATGCTGCCTGTAAGGCACTGCCATAAAAGCCGCCTGTTGTATTGATATCGTCTCCAGTTTCTTCCACTAAGAAACCGATGGCTTCGGCGATTTTCTCCTGTATTTTCATTTGATCGGCCGAGGAATCGGTGATCCTAGAAATTGCTGCTTGTATAGTGGTCCCATACCTATGCCCAGATATAGGAGGATTCGTTTTGACGCCATTCTTAATGAGCAGCTGATAGTCCTCTGGGCGAGCCCATTGTAAGATACTGCCAAATTTATCGGGGTATTCTTTCACTTTGGCTCCTAAATCAAGCATGATCTGGACCATGCCCTCCTTCTTGCTGGCAGCCGCTGCATGTAAAATGCTTCCTCTCCTCCCACGTGCATCAAGAGTAGCCCCGTACTCTAAGAATAATCGCACAATGTCATCACGCCCGTGATAAACAGCTTCTTGCAAAGGAAACTCTTGCTTGCAATTTTTCCTCATCGGATCTGCCCCGCTATCTAAGAGCATCTTGATTACCGAAATATTGTCTCTGGGCCCAATAGCCGCTAAAAGTGGTAGCGCTTCTATGCAGTTTGGATCTGCATGGTTGTCTAGAAGAAGCCGACAGGCTCGAAGGGAGCAATTAGACGCGGCGGCACAGAGAGCGCTTCCATATTTTGGAACCCCGACACAGTTTATATCAGCTTTGTATTTGATCAACAGCTCGATAGCGGATTCATTGTCGTAAAAAGAGGCAATAGCAAGCGGCGTGCCAGATCCCACGCTGTGAGCATTCGGGTTTGCTCCATTCTCTAGTAATATCCTTGTGATAGTAGTATCTTTCTTAACAGCAATATGAAGGGCGGTCCTATCCTCATATAAGCCAATACTCTCAACGTTGGCGCCGCGTCTCAACAGCAGCTGTAGTGTGTCGATGTGCCGCCTAAAAACGGCTGTGGTAACCGAAATATCCTCGTTTTCCGCACTGGCGTCGTATCCCTTGTCTAGAATGTATATAACCAGATTGTTCATTTTATTCGAGACGACTTCTTGAAACACCCTGGCGCACACTTTTGCACCTCTATCCACGAGTGAGATGACAAGTTGCTCATCTTTTTGCTTGATTGCTGCCAATAGAGCCATGGATGAATCCTCGCTTGCGTCTCGACATGCTCCTTTGTTCAAAAACGTCGTTACATATCTTTCTGGAAGGTAAGAAATGACATAGGGCAATAGCTTATCGAGAAGGCCATCTGTATTGTCAAGCTGTGGTCGAGCGTCAAGAAGGACTTGAAGCATTCTCCTTTTCTTGGCCAGAAGTATTTCCCTCTCCTGTTCCAGATGCATTTCCCCCTTTTGGAAATATAGCTCCCACCCCTTCCTTTTCATTATTCCAACATAGATAGGATGCTTGTGATCAATTACGGGATATTCTCGTAGCATATTCGCCACTATCCTATGACCATTATCCTCATCTTCAACTGCCCTTGTAAGAATATCGCCAATAACATCGAGATTATCCTTGTCTATTAGCATCTCAAAAATATCTCGATAGCCCATAATAATGGCCAATGTAGATGGATATAGCTCCTTGTAGAATACTTTGTCCTTTCGAAGTGAGTCTGTTGAATCTTGCCGCCTTGAGGGGCCATTAGTAGCATGTCTGAAGATGTTCCATTCGGAAGCTTCAGGGTCGTAGCCTTTAATGGAGGGGACGATTCCGGCTTTTAGCAGAATATCAACGAGGTCTTTCTTATTGTCTCTTACCGCTCGCATAAGCAGCGTGGCTCTTTCATTTCCCCCCAGAGATCGAAATTCGTTCTCTTTGAGCAGGTGGCAAAGAACTCCACGAAGTTGTAATTCGACAGCATTGTAAAGTCGAGATCCACGAACCTCATAAAAATACGGTTCCACCATCCCAGGCAGAAGTGTTTGTCTTGTGATCCAAGGGTCATAGGCGTTGATGTAATTTTGAAATAACCCTTCATCGGAATATAGGAATAAAATTTCGCTCTCGAGAATCTCCATCTCGGCCTCAGCAGATTTAATTTCATAAGGAACGTGCCAACGCCATCTTTTTGCAGCATACTGAAGCAACGGATAATTTCGTATTCGATCTCCGAATGTTTTGTCTCCATATGCACATTTCGTTTCGAAAACGTCCATTGATAGGTACCTCAGACAAACTCTTGCAATGTACAGGTCCGGGTCTATAGCAGACCCGAATACTTGAGGGTTGCTCTTCAGATACTCTTGAATCGAAAAATGAGCTAGTTGAAGATTGTTTTCACCATCGCTCACGATTAAACCACAGCACACATCGACCAAGTCTTCAATATCTGGTATGTTGTCTCTGTCAATGTCATTCAACATTCCCTCTCCAAGCTCGACAGACAGTCCATGGGACAAAGCGTCAAAGTTTAGTTGTTCTTTCGTATACACAAGCCACAACAGTGTGCGCAATGCAAAATCGTTATCAGCAATACGAGACATGATGCCACCAAAGTGGGACCCGGCAACAAGGCGGGGAATAAAAAGAGTAGGAATAGGATTTGCCGGTTTTACGTTATTTGATTTTTTCTGGATACTAGTATTGGATTCAAACCACAGTTAGATTGGGTTGGGATGCATCTGTCACGTACAGTTACGCAGCAGCCGCAGCGCGTTGTGACCTGAAGAAGTGATACCCAGCGTGGATCCTTTCCAGAGGCATCAATCCAGTTGGGCTGCCTGTGCTCGCATGTCTTGGACGAGATGCGTGATTATTGGCCTGAGCCGGACAATGCCCTTTTGCTGTATGATATATGAGCTGCATGCAAGAGGGGGGGATTTTTAACTAGTACGTGCCTCTACATATGCCACGCATGACGGCGGCTTCTCTTTTCCAGTGGTATATTGTAGAATGGGACGGGACGCCACGTGCATGCAGAAGCGGTTGGATAACAGAGCAGAAATGAGAGAGGATTTGCCGCCCCTTCATGCAGTGAAGCGTTTTGGGAAACGGGCTGTGACAGGGATGGGCGCTTGCGTGAGTGGGATGTGGTGGGATGTTGTTATCATGACTTTTCTGCTCTCTGGTGGAGGTGACTTCAAGGAGGCTGGTGGTGGTGATATGGCACCATCTTCGTAGCAAACTCTGGCCCTCTTTGTAAGGCGGCTGCAACCAGGGCCGTGTGAGGTGGTGACATGGAGAGGTACGAGCAAGAAATTCCAACCGTCTGCGGCGTCCCGAGATCTAATGAGTTCTGATAACCCCAGACCTATATTTCGTGCGTTATTCGGTGGTCACGCCTTCGGCAGAGTGACGTCTTTCCAGGGATTTTTGGTTCGGCAAGTAAGCACGGTTGACCATTGAACGACAAATCCGGCGCTGGTAATGTGCCGCGCTTCCTATCCTGCATTCAAATCATATGCCTTTTGTGGTGTTGTGTAAAACATGTGGTACCCTTCTGAACTATTATAATCGCGCTAGCAGCAAATACATGTACATTGTCGAAACTCAATGGGCGTACACGAATATGCAGTGGGAGTCTCGCAGGGCGCTCGGTCTGCCAGCGGATTGGCTCGATGCGAGGTCATGTAGGAGGGTTGCCGATGAGGCGGATTGGATCAGGCAAATGGGGGAGGAGAGTGGCGCGAGACTTTGAACTGACAGCGCCTTTAGGGGCGAGCCGGGCCGCCGGTCAAGTCTCGGACGTAGCATCGACGGCAGAAAGAGGCGCCTTGACGATGCCCTTGGCGTCATCAGTACCCAAAACGCTGGGGTAGCCGCAGCATCGTCCGATATGCAGCTTGTTGAGCAGGCGGAGGCACGAGGCTCAATGTACGTGCGGGAAGTAAATCACCCTGCCTGCGGTGGCGTTGCCGTCACTGTTGCTAGTGCAGACAGTTATTATTAAGCTGATGAATAACACCAGCTACAGCTATCGACATGCTCGCGGCACCTCACTGTATACTGTACTGGTAGGCGGACGGACTTGAAACCCAACATGGCGATATCAGCATGGGCTGTGTTGGTCCAAACGAGATGAACACATTAATATGGAGCTCCGAGTAGAAACATGTTAGCGCCTATACTGCTCCCGGCAACGTTACTCGCTGAAGCTCAACCGGTGGAGAACAAGAGCCCGACCGAAACTGATGCGCAGCCTAAACACTCCAGGGCTGCATATCCAAGGGAGGGGAGAGGCTGAGGGAGCCGATATTGTGCTGAACTCGAAGCGACATGATGCTGCAGGTGAATGGAGTATTGGGAGGAGGTGAGAGCATCTCTGTGGCAAGAGGAGCGACACACCTGCCACGGGCTACCAGGATGTGGCCACCTCAGGTGAGAGTCCCTGTTTCTCCTCCGTGTTGTGTTCTCGTGTTGTCTTTAGTCAATCCCGTCCTTGTGTTTGCTTGTCTTGATGATGGGGATGATGGATATAGAGTAATCGGGCCAGTTGTCGGTTTCATAACCGTGCAAGGTGCACTAGCACCGGGTTTCAGCCGAGCATCCCTTGGGAATCAAAAGCCATTGCCAGCGGGATTTAGTCGCCGCGCTCTGCTCATTGATAAGGACGCAACAAGATCAGCCGGGCATTGGTTGTGAGACAATACATGGGCATCCAAGGAGGTAGAAGGCGCTTTACGCGCAGTAGTACGTTGTGTGATTTGCCTGACCTTTTTCAGCCGCCCTGTTCTTGGTGTGATTGGGCTCTTTTTTTCCTTTTTCCTTTTTCCTTTTTCTTTTTTTCTTTTTCCCTCTGCTCCTTTCCTCCCGGTGTCGTTTCTTTTTTTCACCCCCTGGGTCAGCAGGCTCCCTGCTTTATGGAGTTTAGCAGCATCCAAAATTCGTCCGCCGCCGCCAGAGGTAGATTATGACCCTGGTGGGAATCCCGGTATGAGTGACTTGTTGAGAGGAGAAGCTGGGTTTGGTAGGTGTAAATCGGCGGCAGTCCGGACTCCGTACTTAGGTCGGTACCAAGTCATTAGTCTCCGCAGCAACTATCGGCGTAGGATGCGGTTCCGCGGCGGGTTAAAGAAGGTCCCTGCTGGAGTCCCTTTGTGTTTCGTTTGCTGTTTATGATTTTGCCTCTCTTTGTTTCCCCCTGATAAATGAAAGAGGCTATGTTGGTTACTTTGATGTCAGAGGTGTTGAAGGGAAGAGTGTTAAAAGCCGATTTAAATGTGACAGGTTGAGAAAGACGCCAACAGTGAGTTGATCTTAGTAGCTTCCATAGTAGTAGAGATCGCAAAAGATCGCACTTTCCTTCCCTGCGTACAACAGAACTTATGGCAAGTGATAGCGCTATGGACGTCACTGTCGGAGCCGCTACCCACGGCGACGTGATCGGTACGGAGCATTTGCGCTGGCCTGTGCGGCTGTGGTTCCCGCGCCTATGGTTTGTGCCTCAGGGTACCTGGTACTGACCGGCATTCCGCCATCATCCCTTGTACCCCTTGTACCCTGGATGTACCGACCGGACGTTAACCCTCCCCTCCTTCCCCCAGATTCTCGCTTGCGTCCAAGCGCTGCCATCCGATCCATCGACAAAATTTTCTCTTCGGTGTGATCTGATGCAGCTACTGACGCTGAGCTCCTGATCTGCAGGGCCTTTTCCCGCCTCCTCGCCCGCGGTGGTATTTTTTTCTTCTTTCTCTCCGGCTTCCTTTTTATGATCCCCTCATCTCGCTCTCACATCACATGTAGTACAAGGTGTCTACACAGAGCACCCAGTATTGCTACTCCTGTTTCACAGGTATCTGTTTTGTCTCTTTGATATCCTTGTCTCCCTGCGTTTTCGTTTCCTTTTCTTGTTCTCCACATGTATCAAAATGTCGTCGCCGGCCTGATATGATTCGTAGCCTCCAGTTTGTTGTCCAACTTGACCATTGGACTTTTGGCTCTCGCCTCGACGCCCGGCCCCAAGCCTCAAGCCATCCTTTACTTACCAACTTCCTCTTTGGTGACATTGTTTGTGCCGTGCTAAAAGCCTCAGCGTTCTCTAGTCTCGCAGGCTTTCGCTTTAGCCCTACCTAGGTTTAATCTGGAGCAGCGAATCGAGCACAAGTAAGCGAGAGCGTATTCGCGATGCCGCTTCGAAGCTCCGTCTGTGCCCTGCCCTGCCCAGCTCCGTCCGCCCTGGATTGCCTCTCGTCTGCTTCGTGCCCGTGCAAGTCAAGTGCTATTTCCGCCGCGGGTGCCATGACTGTGATCACGACCACGACCACGATCCCTCCCGGCTTCTGACGACGTTCAACTTCTCTCCTGATGGTGTGGTGGGCTGCCACTTCGATGGCCTGAGCCTTGACCTTGCTCTCAAACAGGCTTGGTCCTCCGTGCCCGCCACTACGCTGGATCCTCGTGCTAGATCCCGAGCAAACCCGCCTTCTCAGTTGAGTGTTTTACTCTGTGACCGACGTACATGGCCCGGTTGCAGGGATCCGTGGTTCAATGCTTCCGGTAGGCCATTGTCGTTATTATTAGCCCCCGTGCCACAAGTACTGGGAGGTACCGCAGGTTGCATACTTGGCGTGGGAGCGCTTTAGGTACTCATACACATGGATGCAATGCCACCCTTGTCCACCTTGGGTATACCATACCTGTGCGAGTATCATGTCCCAGACCGAAGCTCTTTTCATCCAACCTCGGCCCTGTCCTGTCCTGTCCTGTCCAGCTTCACATTTGCCCAGCGACTCAGGCTGGCCTTGGCATCCCATCTCCGTGATTGTGGCGCCTCTCGCGACGTAAATTGAACGGCTTTGCGCTGAGCTCAGGCCGCGTTTTGGGCCGCTGCCGCCGCTGGCATTTTCTCGTCTCGCCGGCTTCCTCTTCCCCTGCCACTTTTTGTTGGCCCTCCTCCTGGACAAGACCCCGCGTTCCCGTTGCGCCTCTTTTCTCCCTCCCGACCTGTTCATCAATTTTTTTCCCCTTGAATTTTTTTTGGCGGGGTTAACTGGCCTTTAAACGCGCCTGGCCACTACACACGCTCACCTGCGCATACATACAAGCCGTACGTAAAAGAGTACAGATACGCGCAAAAACAAAGACGACCTGCGGGAGCGAAACCGGGGGCAAAGGGAGCGAATTTTGGAGGCGCCTCTCACCTACCAAGTATACTTGCCTATCTAGTATTGTTACCACTTTTCCAGCCTGTGTCCTCCCCTTTCCCAGCACCCTGTTCGCATCACATCACCATAAACACACGGCGCATCGCATACCTTTGGTAGCTCAAGCAGTGGGTATTATACAAGCTCTCTCTGCCTTTTCCCCCCCTCTGCCAGTCATGTTGATTTCGCGAGACTAATCGCCTGCAAGCCGCACCAGCTCCGCGCCACTCAAAGGGCCAAAAAACCTGCATCCTGCAGCGTCCGATTCAGTAGCTGTTGCCGAGCTCACACAGCTGTGCGAATCACAGTCACGGCTGCAATTTGCGCGGCGAGAGGCGGCCCATAAACCCCCCGCCTCATCTCCCGTTCTGCTGGCTCAGACTCTTTCACCATTTCGCTCCCTCACCTTTCTTCACCTCGCCTCACCGTGATCGCGCTTTCTGCTCCGGGCCCCGCCCCCCGCCAATAATGGGATTTTGATCGTCCGCGCCGGTCCGCCGTCACATCGCCATGAACTCCGTCCACAGCCTGATAGACGCTCCAGCACCAGCCTCGGCCCAGGGCCCGGCCCAGGGCCCGGCCCAGCTTGGAGCCCAGGCAGGGCTTCATCTTCACGACCACGCTCAGGAGCAGTCTCAGCCGCATCACCAGCTGCACCGCCTAGCCTCACCCACCCCGATCCCGGTGTCGGCTTCGGCCCCGGCCCCGGGCCCCATCGGCCTCTCGCTGTCTCCCTCAGCGGCGACCGCGTCGGCGCCAACTCCCGTCCATACCCCGAGGCCAGACGATCTGCAGCAGAGACAGCTGCCGCCGCCCTCTACGCCGTCCATGGTGCATTATGCGTCCATCGCTTCGCCTCCTCTGAGACAGGATACTAGCTCGTCAATCTCAACTCAGGCCACCACGGCTACCCTGGCCTCTACAGAGACCAACAACACATCGTACAGTGCCGACACCTCCCCTAACCTGCACCAGTCCATTTTCTCCCTCAAGGATGGCTCCGACGTCTCTAACAGCCGTCGAACCAGCAGGAGACGTACCGGCCCCCTATCTCAACAGTCCAGAGAACGGGCCGCCCTGATCAGAAAGCTAGGAGCCTGCGTCGACTGCCGCCGCAGGAGAGTTGCCGTAAGTCGAGGCCCTCTCCCCCCTGCGCTCTACCCTGGCCAGCATCTCGCGGCTGACATCGATCCGCAGTGCCACCCAAGCCATCACAACATGACTTGGGAAGACGTGGTTAGCAAGTTTCACAGGTCGCACAGCCCGGCCGTTCAGGATATTGCTCCCTCTCTCGCCGCCGCTGGCCGGCCTCTCAGTCCCGCAACTCCCCTCAACGCTGTCCAGCCCATATTCACTCATGATCCCCAGGAGATGGAGATTGATGCTGGCAACACGACGCCTGGCAGTCACCATCAGCCCGGCCGTCCACCCCTGAGTGAAGCCCGCATTCGCACCCCGCTCCCGACTGGCCCCAGGCTGGAGAAGTCGCTGTCTTTGCCGGGGATTGAGAGCCTCAAAAACGACATTCAAAGCAATGCTGCGCGCATGTTGTCTGCCACTACCCGCGGCCGGTACAACTCGGTGCAGGCCCTGTTATTGTTTTGGCAAGAAGATGATGACGGGCTGTTAGTCCAGAGTGCAGTCAGAGAGCTAGCTGACGTCTTTGACAAGTACTATCACTATACGTTTCAAATTCAGACTATCCCCTCCTCTTCAGAGAGCTGTAAAAGCTCATGGAGGTGGCTGTCGCGAAAACTCAACGACTTTGCCGAGGAGCGCGATCAGCGTGACGTTTTGAAAATCGTTTACTACATAGGCTATACTTATCTTGATGGGAACCGTGATATGGTCTTGGCAAGGTAAGGCTTCCTTCGCAAGGTAATACTGGCTGTATGCATTCAAACTAACTGGAGCGACTTTCTTCCCACCTTTTTAGCTCAAAAGATCCTGGCAGAGCATCGACAATCCGATGGAGTGGTATTCAACAAATCCTCGAGGAGGCCTGCTCAGATACTCTCATCATTATGGATGCCGCATATTATCCCCCAGCTAGGATCGTACGGCAACAAGGCGTACTTGAAATCATCGCGGCTTCTTTGTCAGAGGATCACCTCATAGCCCTCGATCGGTGTGCTTTTACTCTAGCTCTCGCCGAACAGCTACGCACACGTGCAGCGCGCCAGACGCCACTCTCTGTGGTTGAACTGCACTCCATCCTCATGGCTCTTTATCCTAAAATGGCCCGGGACCGTACGCCCGAGCGAGAGATTATAACGAGCTTCCCCTCCCCGCTGCATACTATGATGTCCGGAAACTCGAGGCTACCTTCGATATTCCTCTCGCCTGTCCAGCAAAGTAGCCCGCTGCGAAGCAGCTTCTCCTACGAAAACAGCCCACAGCTACACCTAGCTATCAAGTTGAACGATGAGAACATTGATATCGACAGTTGGAACGAGTGGCTGCGCATGATGCCGGAAGGAATCAAGGACATCAAAATCGACGGTCCATTCCGGGCACAGTTTAGGTAGCCAAAAGGGGTGGCTCATGCGCTTTGTCTGTGGCACGATTGAGTGTGGTGGCTCATCGTGGTTTCGCGCCGAGCTGAGTGTGGCAATCCCACCGCTACATGTCTCATTTGTAGGCTTTGTTTCTTTTTGTTTATGTTCAAATCTTGGAGTTGCTTCAAACCAGGGTGGCTGGCGTACGGGGGATTTTCTCCCCAACTATGCTCAAAAACAAGCGCGCGAATTCTCACACATACATACACCCTCTCTGATGAGTCAATGATTAAAAACCTCCGCATCATGACATTGTATAGCGAAGATTTGGGATTGGCAATAACTGATTTAAAAGAATCATGTGGAAACTGTACTCGTATGGTAGTTAAATGAAGAAAAAAAAGTTATTATGTAAATGGATGAAACAGAGAAGCAACACGCCCAGTGATGATCTACTGCGTCTACGTCATTGGTTGATACGATGTGCCGTCATTTGTGAGATGATCCTTGTGTGTACTCCGTAGCTAAAAATCGATTTCTGGGGATAATGACATGGATACAAGCTGCATTTTACTTTGGTGAACTGTCACTGCGTGTTTGTGTTGGACGGACGGGCCTGGTGGATCGCGTCGTTGCCCAGCAACCAGCAGCTTGCAGCCATCCCCACAAATGCACAACAAAAATGCCCCCCAGGCCTCCACCACGCTTCCCTGCCGTCAACATTCACCGCCCAAGTCATGTCAACACTAAGTCATTTTTGAACCGCGTCTTTTTGTCCATACCGGTACCACTCACTCCATCAGCATCACGTACGCAGAGGAGCAAACAGCCACACCAGGACACAATGCGCTCCCCACCCAAGCGCCTGACACGAGCCAGGGCTAAGGACCCTGAGCCGGCGACTTCGAAACAAACAAAAATCATCACAGCTTCCGCAAAGGCAAAGGCAAATGCATCCGTTTCATCGACTCTGACCGCGAACACGAAGAGCACGGCTGCTAAGAGGAAGGCGAGATCCGATGACGCGGATGAAGAAGAGCGCCAGGCGACGCAGATCAAGCGACCAAGAGGTCGACCCCCTAAGAAGCCTGTTGAAAGCAATAAGGACATCACCATCGCAGTTACATCATCAACGACATCAAAGATCTCTGAACAAACGCAAGGAGCACGAAAGCCAATCTTAAAAACGGGGAGTGCAGAAGCCTCAAAGGAGGTACCACCAGCTCCAAAACCCGGGCGTGGCAGGCCGAGAAAGGTTGAATCGAAACCTGAGGATGGTCAAAGCAAGCCGGAGCCAGTTAAAAAGGCACGAGGCCGGCCGCCAACAGTAATGAAGCCAGCCTCCTCGACGGCAACGACAGGAACCAACAAACCGCCAGTCAAGAAGGTAGTCAAGTTTCGAGAGCCAGATAAGGAGAACGTGGAGCCCGCCGCCGTACCAAGGGAGCCTGTCACTACTACTGGCATGCGCGGTCGTCCAGCGCGGCGAGGCGGCGCGGCTGCTGCTCGAAATACGCGACCAGCTGCAAAGACCTCAAAGCCTCAAGCTGGAGACAAGAAGCCTCTAAGCCCCAAGAAGATTACGCAGCTGATGCTTTTACCAGACGACTCTGAGGACGAACTGGCATTGGAGAAAGTGTCTACTAAGTCGTTAGCAAAGAGCCCAATCAAGCCTCCATCCAAAAAATCGGACCCTCTTCCCGCCGAGTTCGAGAACGTCGATACGACTGTTGCTGTCAATGCTGTCATGTTCGATTTGCCAGAGATTAATTCCACGATTCTTGCATCACCAGCCAGGAGGCATACTTCGCCGCCGCGAGATACAATCAAGTCTCCGGCCAAGAGAATGGCGATGTCCTTGCCTGGATCTACGTTGAAGTTGAGCAATGACTCGAGTTCTCAGACGCCTTTCAAGCCATCGACGCTTCTGCAGTCAGCTGCCAAGCGACCACAATCTCCCACCAAACCCTTCATCTTCTCGGCCCAGAAAGAGCAACCAGGTCAATCGGCAGCCAAGCCTTCCATGCTTCAGTCGCCAGCGAAGCGAGCGATGCCGGGCCTCAGATCTCGAGTAGACGCCCAGCCGGAACTCCCAACACTGGATGAGTCTCCTCTTAAAACCCCAAGTCGTCCACCCAAATCTTCAAGGTTCGTGGTGGAAGAGGAGTTGTATGAGGACGATGACGCGTCTAGCCCTTTTACAGGCCCCATTGAGATTCCTCAGTTTTCCTTGCGCCAGTCCCCCGAATTGCCTTCCGAGCTTGACTTTGCTCTTACAGAGGAGGGAGCTGAAGTGGAAGCTGAGGTGGAAGCTGAGTTGGTAGCAGAACTGGAAGCCGAATTGGATGCAGAGACAGGTGAAGCGACAGAGGAGGAGGTGGAAGTGGAGGAAGAACCAGAAGCGGAAGCGGAAGATAATGACGAGGAAGAGCCACAGCCAGCCACGGAAACGGCGGAAACGGCGGAAACCCTGTCAGCTGACGAAGAAGAAGATGATGCAGTCGAAGATAGCATCATTGTCGCAACGGGAGAAGATCAGGCCGAGGACGAAGAGGCACCGGCCGAGGACGATGATGCTGAGTCAGAAGACACCATGGTTCTCGATGACCTTGAAGAAGAGGTAGAGGAGCCCGTCGAGCCTTCGCCAAAAGCAGAGCCCCAGACAGCAAATCACTTCTATCAGCTTCGGCAGAAAGATTTGGATCCCTGTAATGATTTGAGTTCGGCCTCTGAGTCCGAGGACGATACACTGCCCTTTGAACGGATCACGGCCGCTCCATCGGTCAGCGGAGAGAGGACGCCGAGGACCCGGGCCAGCCGCAGCTCGCTGAGGCAATCTCGTAGGTCTAATTTGGGATTTACACCTCTATCCAACCAGCTCGGCTCTTGGTCGGCTGCAAGCCCTGTCAAGAACGCTCACTCGTCTGCGGAAGAATTACAGCCAGAACACGATGAGGATGAGAGCCTTGAGCGCGAAATCGAATCATCAAACCAAGACAGCCCTATGAAGAACTCGTTTCCTAGCGGCGAGATGGCGTCGATGCAACCCGAAGTCGCCACGCTGCCAGAGATGGAAACCGCTGTGGAAAGTATTGAGCAGATCTCGGAGGAGATCACAGAGGAGGATATGGCTCTGGCCCAAGAAACAAATGAAATGTCTCTGACAGACTCCAAGGAAGGCGATGACGTCTCCAATTCTCGCCACTCTTTCGATGACAGCTTGTCGGACGCCAGCCAGGAATATAGAGATGAAAACCAAGTGCCTGTCGAGAGTCCCACGCTTAGTTCGCAGCCTCAGGCAGCGCCACCGGTAACTCCCGTCTCTCGTCCAAGGACGCGGTCATTCAACACAACCACCAAGATTCCGCTTAAGCCAGCCGACAATTCAACGCCAAGTCCGTTGAAAAAGAAGAGCTTCAGCGCCTCGCGAGCCGCTCCAAAGCGCCCATCCCAGCCCAAACGGGGTGCCCCTGTTTTATCTTATGCGGAAAAGCCGCGGAGGAGAAGCTCGCGAAATTTCAGCACCATTGCCGAGGAGCCTGAACAGAGCGCCAACGTCGAAGAACCCTCGACGCCGACAGCAAAGATGGACATGTGGGCCAGCATTGGAACGCCTGGACGGACTCCGCGCAAGGACCTCAACCCCAACCTGCTTCGTGGGGCCATTGTGTTTGTAGACGTGCACACAATCGAGGGCGCGGACGCCAGCGGCATCTTTGTGGAGTTGCTCACGCAGATGGGTGCCCGGTGTCCCCAAAAGTGGAACTGGAATCCCAGCAACTCAAGCAACGGCGAGTCGACCAGGGTGGGCATCACTCACGTCGTCTTCAAGGACGGCAGCAAGCGGACCCTGGAGAAGGTCAGAGAGGCAAAGGGGGTGGTCCAGTGCGTGGGCGTAAGCTGGGTTCTGGACTGCGAACGTGACAACCAGTGGCTCGACGAATCGCCGTACAACATCGATACCAGCAGCGTTCCTCGCGGTGGTGCCCGTCGCCGGAAGAGCATGGAGCCAAAATCCATTTCCAATCAGAATGGCAGCGCGGTTGACGGCTCGTCTAAGGGGAGACGTGAGTCGGCACCAGCAGCGTCACCCAAGACACCCAACCGTAGGCAGAGCAGCATCTGGATTCACACACCGTCGGATGGGGATGAGGAGGAGCAGAAGGAGGAGGAGGACATTGAGTGGTCCAATCTCATTCTAACCCCCGTGCCCAAGACGCCGGCTCCGGAGACAATTATGAATTATGCTATGGAGACGCCGTCCAATCTTGACGACGAGGAGGACAATGACGACGAGAATGCTGCGTCATTGAGGAGAGAAGAGCTGTTGACGCGGACATGCCCTCCCAGGGCGCAAAAATTTGTCGAGCTCGGGGGAGGCATCCTGTCCAAGACACAGGATGACCATGTGCTTCAGCGGTTAATGGCTGCTCGGCGAAAGAGCCTGCAGTTTGCTCCCAAGGTGGGCAGCCCCTTGGCCAAAATGTGGCAATAAGGTGGTGGCGGCCCATACATTGTAATTCAAAAGGTTTATTTGACCTAATATTTTTCTTCTTCTTTTCTCTTGTTTTGACCCAGGGCTCCTGCCTGATGGGGATGCTGCATGGGGGGGAAGGATACACACAAAAGCTTGCATTGGCTAGTCGCTCACTTGGAAATGAAACAAAAAAGGGAGTCTTTATGATGCAAATAAAGCATGGGATAATGGAGTACATGGAATAGGACATGAGGCGTTTTCGGGATAACGAGATGGATGGCATGAGGCATTGTTTATATGAGGCCAGATATAGAATCAGTCACGATATTGACGTAATGGACATTGAAGTTTTTTAAATAAGCTTGTGCTTGCTTCCTGATTATGGCATGTTTTCGGCTGTAACGCGCTGTTGGTGATGGATACTGCGTGTTGATTGTGTCCAGACCACCTGGTGGGGAGTAACTGTCTTATTCAAAGAGTATATTTTTGTGTGAGTGTTTTTGATTGGTGATGCAGTCGGGATTCGCTGGTGAATAACGGGTGTATAATTCCTTGTAACGCTGTCAAGGGGTTGAGTTGTCGAATGCGCAGTCGACAGAGTATGATGTGGTGTTTGTTGTTTCGTATCCCAGTAGTAGTATAACTCCCATTCCCATGCAGCAACAGCCATACACCAGATTCTCCAAGTGGAGCCTCCTATTTTGCATGAAACATGCCCTTTTCACCCATCTCTCCCGCTATTTCTTTCACCTCTCTCTTTCTATCGATCAACCCCTCGCCCAAGCCCTCATAACAGCAACAGCATCCCCATCATGCGCCTTAAGCAACTCCGTAGCCTTACTCTTAGTCACATCCAACTGGTCCACGAGCAGCGCGACATCAGCAGCATCAACTTTAACGACGTTCTTCTTTGCGGTCGTGGAGGCTCCCGGGGCAGTGTTGAGGGCGCGCATGGCCTTTGAGACGGCTTCCTGGTCGAGGTTTGTCGGGGCGGAGGCGGAGGAGGAGGATTCGGTGGGGGTGTCGAGGGCGGCGAGGGCGGAGGCGGCTTTGCGGTCTTCGGCGGATTGAGGGGGGGGAGGGGGGTCAGAGGCGTCTTCTGGGTTGGACATTTTGGAGATTTGGCTGAGGGGAGTGTAGATGGGGGATTTGGGGGTGATGGTGATGGTTTGTGATTTGGTGTTGAGAGGTGTTGGAAGCTAAGGTGAGGTGAGGTAACTGTGGTGGTGGTGGTGGTGGGCTGGAGGTACTTATTTTGGGTACCCTGATGGAGGGGCAGGAAAGATGCGTGGGTTGCACGTACCCTGGACTTGGGTATTGGAAATGGGCGTTTTTTTGCTTTATACTATATGTGATAGGCTGTATTGATGCTATTGGGTACAAATTGTTTTGAGCAGATTATTTAAGACAAATTGATGGATTACAAGCATTCATTAGGTTAAATAATTGTTGTTTTCCATCCTCAAAGTAGCAATATGTACTAGATGGTCTACGGCCATCCATGGCTTCATCAGCCGACCTGCAGCATACCTAGTAGTCTATTACCCAACCGAAGATCCTGCTCTAGATACCTCTTCAGTTGGATGATTCTTATCTCTAATTGATCAAGGCTTACAGTTCTTCATATATACATGTTGAGAATTCACGTTGTTTATATCAAGGCTAAAGCAGTCTTGTACAGCAAATGCGTCATCGCCTCTGATTCGCCAATGCAAGGATCGCCGTCGCTAGAAAAAAAAGAAGCGCCGGGAGAAAAAAAATCAAATCGGTACGTACCCGGACGCTTTTCGGGATTGGCTGGCTGCACAGGCTTAAGGCAATGCGACTGTGTTACCAAATAAGTGGCCCTTGACTCATATTCAGTTCGATTATCGGACTCCGAACTCTTTTGCAGCAGCAAGGCAAAACAACACCTGCATAGCCATTGTCATTGTCGCCGGTATATTTCCTGCTTTGTCTCGTACTTGGGGATATCGAACTCGTGCATGCGCATAGAGACAATCCTTGAGAAACGTATGCGCAACCGCAATTGATTTTGTGTTTTATCTATTGAGACGCAATATTTTCAGAAATCTTGAGACCACGATATACTCACTGACTCATCCAAGTCTCTCATCTTACCTCAGTCTTGCGCCGCGACAGGCTTCGTTGCGCCTCTCCTCCTTATTCTTCTCGATTCCTCATCTTTCCTCTCTCATCCTCATCATCGTCAGCATCATCCACCATGGCCCAGCAACAGCAACAAACTCCTCTCCCCGAGGCCATCGCCTCCCAGCCCTGGAACCCTTCAACCTGGCGCTCAAAACCCATCAAGCAGTCTCCCGCCTACCCAGACCCTTCCAAGCTCAAAAAGGCCGTCACTGAGCTGGGCCGGATGCCTCCCCTGGTCCATCCCCACGAGATCAACGCCCTGAAAGCCCACCTGCGCGAGGTCGCCCAGGGAAACGGCTTCCTGCTGCAGGGCGGCGATTGTGCTGAGCTGTTTGACTACTGCGAGCAGGGCGCCATCGAGTCCAAGATCAAGCTGCTGCTGCAGATGAGTCTGGTGCTTATTTGGGGCACCAACAAGCGGGTTGTGCGGATTGGTCGCATGGCTGGCCAGTATGCGAAGCCAAGATCTAGCCCGACAGAGATGGTCAATGGCCAGGAGCTGCCGAGCTTCAGAGGCGACATTCTCAATGGTTACCATGTCGACGAGCGAGAGATTGACCCTAATCGTCTCCTCAAGTGAGTCTCATCTTTCTGCTTATAATAACAAAGCTGAATCTCTTCCATGCTAACATCCATACAAAGAGCGTACCACCACTCCGCTGCTACGCTCAACTACATCCGCACTGCCCTCTCCTCCGGCATTGCTGACCTCCACCGACCCCTCGACTGGGGCCTGGGCCACGTCCGCGACCCAATCCTCAAGGAAAAGTACTCCAAGATCGCCTCCAGCATCCAGCAGACCCTGCGCTTCCTCCAGGTCATCAACGCCCGCCCCGGCGAGCTCGAGACCGTCGAGCTCTACACCAGCCACGAAGGTCTCCTGCTCGAGTACGAGCAGCCCCTGACTCGCCTCATGGAGAAGCCCACCCACCCCGGCATCAGCAGGCCCGGCACTCCTCCCGGCTCTTCTCCCACCATCAGACCCGTTGCTGGCGATGAATCCAAGGAGTACTACGACACCTCTGCGCACTTTGTTTGGATCGGTGACCGCACGCGCCAGCTCGACCACGCCCACGTCGAGTTCTTCCGCGGCATCGCCAACCCCATCGGCATCAAGGTCGGCCCTACTACTCCAACCGAGGACCTCCTCGCCCTCCTCCGCACCCTCAACCCCTCCCGCGAGCCCGGCAAAATCACCCTCATCACCCGCTACGGCGCCGGCAAGGTCGCCTCCCTGCTCCCCACGCACATCCGCGCCGTCGAGGACTCCGAGTACCGCAGCTGCGTCGTCTGGCAGTGCGACCCCATGCACGGCAACACCCTCTCCACGCCCACGGGCATCAAGACCCGCCGCTTCAACGACATCTACAGCGAGCTCGAGCAGTCGCTGCGCATCCACAAGGAGCAGGGCAGCTACCTCGGCGGCGTCCACCTCGAGCTCACGGGCGATGCCGTCACCGAGTGCCTGGGCGGCAGCGAGGGGCTCGACGAGGACGACCTTTCGACGAATTACACGTCCTTTTGCGACCCGAGGCTGAACGAGAAGCAGGCTCTTGAGCTGGCGTTTTTGGTGGCTGACCATTACTCCCGGGAGCACAAGAAATGAAGCTTGCACATGTTTGCCCTGAAAGAGAATGAAGAAAATGAATAAAAAGTTAAGCAAAAGATGAGATGTAAATTTAAAAAAAGAACGACGGTTTTGTATATAGTTCTACCAAATTGGGTGCTGCATTGGGAAAAATGGAATGTAGGCAAAAGAATGATATGAGATGGAAAACACGAGGATGCATCTCCACAGCATGAGTCGATATCTAACAAACAAACGCACAAATTCAACATGATTTCAGTCCTAACAGCGCTCACTCTCGTGCTAATATACTAGGGAGGCGACTCCCTCTTTGTCCAGGCAGCCCATTGTCTCTCGACAAAGACGTATAAAGATAGATATAAACAGGCTTATGCATCCTCCCCCAATCATCCTCTTCAGTGCAGGTAAATCGTTTGCGCGCCCTCGAAAGCATCTCCCTTTTCCAGCTTCTGCCATGAGCTGACCGCACCAGCCTCCACGCAGACCATGTTCTTCCAGCCGTCCTTGGGCTGGAAGTCGCCCATACCGGCAGCCTTGTCGACCCAGGGGTTCCAAACGACTACGTCGTCGAGGTTATCGCGCACAACGCGGAACTTTTCCACGCCACCGTCAGTGATGATGACGGGGTGTCCGGGTCCCTTGACGGGAGTGTAGACGCGGTCCGTCTCGCCGGAGAAGGTGATGGGGTCGGAGGATTGGGTCTTGTCTTTGACGCCGTCGACCTTGTCGTGGAAGGGGGAGTCTTCGAGACCGGTGACCTGGACGGAAGCAATGTCCTTTGCGAATGCATATTAGCTTTTATTCTTTTTGATTGTATAATGGGGATGGCGCAATTTTACCTTGATCTTGAAGTAGGTGTGCAGAAGTGTCTGGCATTCAAACGGAACATCACCCTCGTTTGTCACCACCAGCGCAGTGCTCAAGCTCTCGGGAGCAAGCGTAACGCTGTACAGAAGACCAAACTTATAGGGCCACAGCTGGCGGGCAGCATCGTCGAGATTCTCAGAAGACAGGCCAAAGTCGAGCTTGACGCTGTTAGAAGAAGTCTCGGACTTGCCGAGGAACTCCCAGCGAGAGTTGCGGGCGAAGCCGTGCTGGGGAAGCTTGGAGGTGGCTTCGTGGTCGGGCGCAGTGCCAAAGACCTAAGATATGGCGTATTAGACAAGATATGTTCCTAATCAACTTCCTTTGTACCCAAATACAAAAGACATGTAGCTCTTTGTTGGGCGCAAGTCGGGCGAGTAGCGGAATGAACATACCGGGAAGACCAGAGGAATACCTCCGCGCACAGCCTTTGTTCCATCCAGCTTCGCGCCCTCACTCAACCATAGCTTCTCATCGCCCGAAGCATCCTTCCAGCTCAGCACGGTAGCACCAAACAGAAGGATCTCGACGCTCTCGCCCGTGGGCAGAACCGCTGTGACGCGCGAGCTGCCGTCTGAGATGGTGACCTGGGCCTGAGGCTGCAGGCCGGGCGTCGCAGCTAGGGCGGAGGGCTTGTTCGGGCGGTCCACCATGGTGATGCGATTGCGATTGAGGGCGTGGAGAGTGGATGGTCTATCGACGGGAGAGGAACGCTCGAATCAGGAGCTTCGGCGGGTTCGTTGGAGACGATGTACTGGAGTGATCGGCAGTTGCGTTAGCATACAGCAGGAGGAATAGCTAGATCGAGGCAACTGAAGATGCTAAGAAGAAATGAAAACAAGTTGGTATCAAGCTTACCGATTAATACAAGTTGCACCGTGTAAGAGTAGAAAAGCTTCAAAGCGGGATGAAGCTGAAGAGGATGAACTGGACGAGGTAGTGACTGCATGCATTTGCTCCATCTGGCGGGGTAGCTGTTGCAGCGTTGCAATTACACCCCTCACCTGCACTTCAACCGGGGTGCTTTGTACCGTGTACTTATACTACGTCAGTAATACGGCTAAAAGTGCCTTGAAATAATTGAAGCAAGAGCCCACAGAAAAGTACATGTACTTTCAACTCTGCCCCCTTTGCATCGTGTAAGAGGACGGGCATTGGCTCCTTGCAACATATTTGAAACGCAGCCACTGCAGCCAGCATTGCTTGTGACACTGCCGGGACGCAGATGAATCACATTCACTGGTCAAAAGACGGTCAGCAAGTGCACATATCAATGCCGGGATATAAGAGAATAGCAGTCCGATATCCATGTACATAATTCTGGGCATGTACGAGTCCACTGTCATCAACATGTGCAAAGGAACAGCAATAATAAGTAGGTAGAAAGAATATATACTGAGACGAAACGCCGAGTGCATCTCAAACACACTCGAGCATCATCCTCTAACCCAATTCGTCTATTCTACCTGTGCCCGTCTACAGCCTTCAAAGGGCTGCACTTGACCATGAAAATTCGTAGAACCAGTGGGTATATGTAACTTCATTCCTCATCGTAAAAGGTTCAGAGAAAGGAAAAGGGGTGAAAGTAGGAAACAAAGAATAGCAGAAAAAATGGGGAATTATCAGCCACTGCATATGCGTATGTGCAGCAAGAATGTTCAAGAAAGACTAAGAGGCCCTCGTGCAGCCAGCACGGCATCTACACTCCATGTGATGCGCTTTACTGGATACCTCGAGCATTTTCTTCGTCAACGCCCGTGAACATGCCCTTGTTGGCATCGCTTCCCTCGCTCGTGCTGCCGTTGTGGTGCTCGGCGTTGGCCTTCTCATCAACCTCATCGATAGGGATGAGAATCTCGCCGTTCTTGCCGTATCGCCGTGGCTCGATTTCTGCCACGCGGACGACATCGAACGCTCCCTGCCAACCCTTGACCTTTTGGAAGATGTTGTCCATTTCTTCCAGAGAGCGGTAAGCTGTCTCGGGGAAGAAGAAGTAGACGCATGGAACTATAAAGGCGTTGAGAACGGCGAACACAACATATGTCTTCCACTTGATGTTTGTGAAAGATACGGGAGTGATCATGACAACCTATTAACGAGTGTTAGCATATGTTAAACTTTGATGAATGATTATACAAGATTAAGAATAGGAACCATACCAAAAAGTTAAAGATCCAGTTGGAGGAAGTCGACAAAGCATTGGCCGGCGCACGGGTTCGTAGAGGCGTAATCTCGGCAGGGTACAGCCAGGTCATTCCCAACCAACCAACCGCAAAGAAGGTGTTGAATACGAATAAGAAGACGATGCCTGCAATCTGGAAAGGCTTCTCTGTTGGGCGCGAGTTTACGCCAGCCAGAATGGCCATGGTAGCGGCTTGGCCAATGGCACCGAAGAGCATGAGCTTGCGACGTCCAACGCGTTCCACAAGGAAGACAGCGGGCCAGGAAGCAATGAAATACTCGGTACCGTTGAGAGCAGCGAGAAGACGAGACATGAAGGGAGACATGCCAAGATCAGAGTAGATCTTGGCAGCATAGTATGTGATGAGGTTAATACCCGAAATCTGCTGGAACATCTGGTTGACATAGGCGATGATGGTTCGGTGGAGGGTGCGGTTGTGGTCGTTTGCGAAAAGCTCGCCGTAAGTGCCCTTGCTCATTTCCAAGGCCGTCTCCTTGATGGCTTGGAACTCGTTCTCGACGTGCTTGTCTCGAAGGTCGACGTCTGCGATGGCCGCGATGACCTCTCTGGCCTCTTCTTCGCGACCCTTGAGAATAAGCCATCGAGGCGACTCGGGTAGGCCAAGAACAAATGCGAGAATGAAGAGGCAGAAGACGATCTGGAAGGCTAGTGGGAATCGCCAGGCAACTGAGCCAGGGGCAAAAGACAAGCCAAGGTCGATCCAGTAGGAAATCATGATGCCGCCTGTGATGAGGGCACCCTCAATCATGACGAGTTTTCCTCTTTTGTGGGCAGAACATGTTTCAGACTGCCACATTGGGACTGTGGACGTGTTGCCGCCATTACCCAGACCTGTTATGATACGACCAATGATGAAGTGCTCCAGTTTGAAAGCGGAAGCTTGTAGTGCAGCACCAATGACCATGATGGAAGTACCGAGGAAAATCATGCGCCGACGACCGAGAGGATTACCGATGAAGATGGTGATAATGGCACCGATGAAGCATCCCAGGTTGTAAGATGCTACAGCAATGCCCTGGTAGGTGGAGCGTTTGGACGCATCAGCGTCGTCAATAGCGGCTCCCGGGTTGATGATGGGGAACTGGTTAAGGAAGATGGGGAGAGTCAGGATACCACCCATGACACCCTGATCTGTGGCATGTCAGCTCATGTAGGAAATGATGATGGTGTATTAGAATAATAGGGACTCACCATAGCCAAAAAGCAAAAAGTCACAGCCAGCAATGCAGCCGATGGCCCAGTTGAGGGCTTGGCCTCTGAGGCCGAAATATTTCTTCATGATGGCAGATTTAGTTGTCTCTCTTCTTCTGCTTCTGCCTTGCTCTGCTGAATATCGAATTGCTCCCGTTCTTGTAGGGACGAGGAGTAGAAGAAGGAAGTGGATGAAGATGGCAGGCTGAGAAGGACAAGATCAGCACCATGGAGGAGGGAGGTATCCGGGCCTTTTAAGTCGCATCGCGGCTACACAGTCGGTATGCAGAATGAACCACAAACTGGGCCACCGACACGACGGACCGGAGTACATTACGGGCCAAGATGAAGATGGAGGGCTCCGTCAGACACCAGAAAACTGGGGACCCTGAGATCGTCCATGGCCGTTCCCGTCAACCGTTGCATTGCAGCAGCTGGTGAAGGCGCTGTACAGTAGCAATCAAGCAAGCCGGATGGACCCTCCTTTGGCTTGTCCGGGGGTGTGTACTTGTACGAGTAAATGCGGCAACGTGCGAGTAGCGTCTGTTTGTTTCACATGCGGGATGAGGAATTGGAGGCCAGTGGCGTGGAGAAGAAAAAGAAGCCGATCTTTGTCTAGTAGAACAAGTACGAAGCAGTAGCCTGAGTTTTCCTCCAATGCTGGATTTGGGCCTTGCAGAAACCCCCACCGCCTTGCACGTGCGGGAGCAGATGCTCTTTCCTCTCCTTTATAATATCTTACCTAATCTCAATCTTTCCACTGCAACAGCATGCGAGAACATCTACCTCTATCACACAGATACAAAAAAGATCGAGAAATTCTGAGTCTGTGCCTCGTACATAATATTCGATACTGTGCTGCGGATAGCCTGTATTACCGTCTTCGTCGTCTTTGGCCCCTGTCCGCTAACTGCTCTAGTGCTTTGCCATGCAGACAAAGCCCACAAAAAAGTTCCCCGTCAGCTAACCTACCGGCCGAATCGTATAAGTCGATACCAGATGGAATGCCAACTCGCACAGTATAGTACGTGGAATGTGGCCAAAAACTTATTGGGAGGCTTGTTCCGATTCTGCTCTTGCTGAAAAGACAAAACCAAAATCACCAATACCCAGCCAGTTGACTCGGAGAAAGAGAAAATTGCCGCCTTCAAGAAGCCCAATCTGGAGATGCTACAGTACAAGACAAACCGCCTGGAGAAACGTGGGGAAAGCGACGTCACACGCCGAATCACAATCATGCTTAATAGTTCACACGGTGGATCTCGGTGGGAAACCGTTCCTTGGCTGCCTGGACACGCGCTTTCGAACAAGGCCGGGAAGCAAAAAGCCACTCAACATGCGGAGGGATTATGAATCGGATGCCCTTTCAACGTAACGTGAATAACTGTGGCGGCGAGGCTTGCAAAATGGCGGCGTCGAGAAGACATCTGAAGCCGGTGGCGCGTACCAGCTAGGAAACCCGATTTCCTCTCTTTGGCTTAATGCCCTGCTAGTTTTGTTCTTTAAAATCGTTCCGGTACTCGTAAGAAGCCGGTAAAAAGCCAGCAAGCAGGCCGACTTTGGTGTGCACGCGGGAACCGGAGCGGATCGGTCAGCGTCAGCAATACAAAGGAAAGGAAAAATAGGTGCTGCATCGGAGAAAATCTAGGCACATCTTTGTCTCGAACGCTAGCTGATCGAAGCATGCTAGTTTTCGAAATCACGCCGCCTTGTTTTGATGTGGTGTGCAGAATTCGTGTGTGCCGGCCGTCAATCAACGTGCTTCGACGCTTTCTAGATCACCTCGCGATCTTCTCTGGATGCTCATGCTCGACGGCTGTATCAAACTGCATCTGAAGCCGCTTTGGGTCTGTGTCACGATGAGAAATATTGCAGAATCTGGGGGAGGGTCCATCGCATCAGTCTCGACTCTTCTTTTTTCCCCGCCGTCCTAAAATCTTCCTCTTTCTCATCTCGCGTGCTCCCCCAGAAAAGAACTCCCCAGGTTTCCCCAGACGCCCTACATTGAAGCTATCCCGGCCCCCTTTCTTCCCTCTGGAAATACCCAAAGAAGCGATCCGAGGCACACATGACAATGCGAAACCTGGGGTAAATTGGGTCTGACTGCTAACCCGCCGAGGCCTAAGCAGCCTCAGCAAAGCAGGTCCAGACTGTTCTATTGCATGCCATTTCTAGGTTTCTGCAATCTCACGATGGTGTCAGCCTTGTAGGAGTGGTTGACTCCGATCCAGGGTTCGGGAACTCCGTGCTCCCATAAAC